CCAACACATGCTCTGCCTGAAATAGCTATCTTTCTCAGCGGCTACTGCTTGAGAAGCGAAGCCTATTATGCCTGAGGTGTTCTCTACACTCAGAGCGCATGCACGCGCACTCCCAACTATGGTGTCTTTCCATTCTTCCGTCTGCCTCTTTTAGGGCTTTGAAGTCGACTATCCTGCATGCAGCAGTTGTATTTGCATGGAGACATTGCTCTGAGGCGCGAGCTCTGCTCAATTAGTGTGCAATCTGATTACCACCACTCATTTTACCATGCCTCTGATTTTACGTAGCAGGAGGCTCACACATTTCAGCTCTCCAACGACAGTAGTCCACTGTGTGTCGTGATGTGATTATAGGTGGCGATTTATGGTTTGATGCGCCCATTGTTTGCTGTAGTTTACTGATGTTTTCTGTGTTTTTCTTTTTTTGTTGTCTGTCTGATCGTGTGAGCCGTGGGGCTGTCTCTGAAGTTTTGGACAGTCCGCACGACACAAAATGGCGTGTTTTATGAATCTGGGCTCTACTAACTAGGAGGCTCAGCTACGCCTATAGGCACTTTCTGCAGAAGTACTCATGCTGATTGGAGTACTACGAGAACATTTAGCAATTAGTTTTTTTGATCTATTTCATTTGTTGTACAGCAGTGCTAGAACGTTAGAATAGGCGCTCCGGAGATTTACCGCTGGTTGCACTAGCATCTAGCCTTCCATGCACACAGCATTGTGTCTTAGATATATAGGAATGACGCCCCAGCTGGCTCTGTCTCCTGATACTGGCAGGATTAAGGGGGCAGACAGGGGAGAGAGCTCTGTTGGAAGAACATTGAATTCCTCCTCACGAGCGATGCATTCCCGCTGAAGCGAACTGCACTCCAGTGTAGACCTTGGATGGAGCGCGACAAACTGGATGCGCATGAACGCTCGAAAAAGCGCAGAACATGCGGAGTTGTGCAGGCCATTTGTTCCTCTGCCTTCATGCCAGTTCCAACTCAAGAGGGCAAGAAAAAGGAAAGCACTGTTGCGAGGGCATATCAAAGTTTCTACTTAGCTTTTGATTGGGCGTGGAGCTAAGATCTTCTGAAATCCATAGGAGTGGTGCTACCCTCAGTTGCACTGCACTGATGTAGCTGTTGTTCAGCTCATTTACTGACAGTCGATGCACTTAGGAGTCATGTTTCCACAAGGCAGCTGCTCTATTTGGATTAGGCATACACGTGTGATATATAGAACGGTGCTACAAGGCCTAGTAAGGCTGCAGAGGCCGATATGCACTACCTGTTCTTGGACGCGGTGGCTCCATGGTTCGTAGAAATCTGCATTTGGCAGTTAATAGAGCTTTTATCAGATATTCGTTGAGGCAATGCAGACTAAGAGAGAATCCAGGCCTTGAGGAGAGACAAGCGCTTGGGGATTTTAGAGCGATGCTTGGAGGAGGAACTCCAGTTTTACCCCTAAAATAATGAGACCAGTGCCCCACCCCGCGCGTTTTTCAAACAAAGTAGCACATCTACGACAGTTTGACTCCCGCAGACGATTCCGTATTCCTATCCTTGCTCCCCCACCGTGTTGAGGATGGTCGGAACCGCGTCGGAGCGCAGTAAGTACCATTCCATGAACGAGTTGTCGGGGACCCGGACCTGTACAGGCAGACACTAGGATACAAGACAAGCTACCTAGCGTAGAATCACAGTGACTGTTAAAGTGACAGCCAAACCTTGTATGGCTTTTCCGTGATTCCTAGGGCACACAATCCTGCCACATATTGGCTGCCAGGGGGGGTCTTCACATGGGCAATGGCAAACGAGATGATAATCTGCCTCGAACTTCCTAAAACGTATGCGAACTATGCCTTAAAGTTTAAATCTAACCAGTCTTGAAAGTCAATTTAAATACTTCACAATGGTGTCAGCGGGATTAATCTGTATTCTCCCGGTTCCATGCTCCCTGGGCCAGCTTCTGCACGGTTGCTGCTCAGATTTGAGCATCCATATCAAGATTCTTTGCGGTTACAAGGGCTTAACTGTCTTAAAGGAACATTCAGTCGTATGCAGAAGCAACGCTTTAAGGCTGTTCTGTCATCTATGCATGTCTCCACGTACAGTGCTGCATGCAAGCCAGGTCGAGGCTTCCGGTTAGGAGCATTCCCATGCGCTTAGTGGATGTCAGTTTCGCCTTGAGCACAAAAAGCCAAAATAAACAATTTGTAGTGCTAGCTCTCCATCCCTGCCAATAGTCATGCCCGATTTCGGTGTTGAGCTTAACTAGAGTGGTACAGCAGGCAACCCCCAAAAAGGCTGGAATAATATTCTATTCCACAGTTCATCTACTCACGCAATCTCCTGATTACCATCTGCTATAGAAACCATGCACCTATGCTAATCTTATAAAGGCCCCGAAAGCCCTGTTAGTCCAACGACCATTTTGCCCCTAGATCCGTAGATGATAGGGATTTGAAGTACCCCCAAGTGAAAAGAAAGCCACTAGAGATGCAACTGTAGTTTAGTTCACTACGCCTGAGGCACAATACAAAGTATTACAAGCGGCCACAGTATAACGAAAAAATTGTCCAACAGTTGAATGAGTTATTCGATAACGGAAGAATTTCAAGAATCGACCGATGCTTTTGGGCATAGACCGCTGCTGGTACGAAACAGGGTGAAAGGTAATGTCATGCGCCAACGTAACAGCCTTTGACCCAGATTTTGCTGTGGAGTCAAAGTTTCAAATGCCTCAGGGCAGCAAAAAACCCAAGTAGTGAAGCAGTCTACTCGATGTTTGAGCACATCGAGGCCTTACGATTTCCCCTTAACAATGGAGGCCGGCACGGAATGGCAATCCTTGGCTGCTAGGGCAAAGTCAAGTATACTACATGCCTTTAAGGCTATTCAAGGCCTTAGCACGCATATGACGGCATATTCATTGTAACTTTTCGGGGTATATACACAAGGGTTGGCTGTCTACGTTGGCGGCAACAGAATGCAGCCATGCTCAGGAGCAACTACGGCTTGACTTGCAAGCAATCCCTAAGAGTTAAGCGATGGTATGCAAGTGCTTGAAAGTGCTATCCTCCTAAGACTACACGTAAGCTGAGGCCGATATTTCGAAACGGGCGATTCAGGCTTGTCTGGCAAAAACGAGAACATACGGAACGGCATTAGCGTATTACGGTACGACCCTATAAATCGCCTCGTTTACAGCAAGTGTTGTTGATTAAGCTACAAAGTCGGAAGAAGAGATGTGCACTAAACAGGGTAATACTCCACACTAGAACGTCAACCTTAACAGCAACACCTGTATTCGCCACGCTGCGAGATTTCTGTGGATTCCAGCGGACGGAAGAACAGAGCCATAGCAGGACATGTATGGACCTGCAACTGATTTGTGCGAGACAGAGCTCCCTGAGTGTCCTAAAGTTTCGCCTTCGCCAGCCTGGGGCACCCCGTTCTTGCGGCGAGCGTTCTTTCACTACGGTTCAAGTCCAACGTATATTGGCATGTACTTAACGCTTACACGACAAGAAGACCTATCCGCTTAAGTGCATACTCCCCAGCTGATATGCAGACAGACCGATTTTCGCACGCGTTGTGCAGTGCGTATTTGATTGTACCTGCGTTACAGTTTGACTCCAGTCAGAAATAGAAGGCACGCACCTGAAAAGGCATGCATACACAACTGCACGCATTTGAACGTGTAAGCGCCTTAGAGACTTTTACTTCTCGCATGATGGCACGTCTGGTGAGGCGGTGCCGAAGGGAAGAGTGAATGTCGCAATAGGCTGCATTAGCACAAGTCAGCCTTTGCTGCCATCTGGCATCTCAGAATCACACTAGTGACGATTTCGCAGTAGCTGCACGCAAGCCTTGATGCAGGTTTATTTGTATTCGATAAACTGTTTCCCTTCTTGCGGTCCGCACAAGTTCCCAAGCTTGCACCACCCTCACCGCCTTCGCGCCTTCCCCCCCTCTTGCGCTACCCTCAATCTTTTCTAGGGTAATACTGATTGGCTGCTGGGGGCAAAAGCCACCAATCAAAACGAGCACCAGGTGCCCTTGCATTCTGGAAACGATGGGATTATCCGTTTTGAAGGCAAAAGCCTATAAACATAAAATGCGGCCTGTCGTCTACCGCATCCCCGCGCCAATTGGCTCCCCAGCCGGTCTCTCGATTGTGTTGGAACTCTTGGGGGAGTCCATAATGAAAGCTCTATACGACAGTGCTCGCTGTAGCTACTTCGAAGCGCAGCAAGCTGTGAAGGGAGTCTTGACTGAGACACCGTTGCTGTGTTACCCCCTAATCCCAGCAGTTAGATTTGCGGCCGCTGCGATCGCCTCAATGCCCTGCTGCAATCTAACCAGCTGCTGCGGAGTGAGGTGGTGCACTGCGGTGAGCAGCGCAGCAACGGAGGGATCGGCGTCTTCTTCATGAGCTGCGAGGTGCTCACCCCGACTAGCAGCGTCGTCATCTTGTGCTAGTGCTGCAGCTGTCCTGCCGGTGCTGCTGTTGCTCTGAGTGGCTGCGCGGCGCCTTTGCTGCTCCTGTTGCATCTGCAGCAGCAACAGCTGTTGCTGTTGCTGAACGGTGCGCCTTGCGGCAGCCTCTGCTTCCCCTATCTGGGGTATAAATGTCTTCTGGTAGAGAAAGGTAAAAAGACCCATGACGACTTGACAATCGAAACGGTCAGTGACTCCCCCATGACCAGGAATGAAGTATCCAAAATCCTGTATGCAAGCGCCTCAAACAAGATCACTCAATTGCAAAGGACGCACAAAAAGCCTTTGAGGAACGGACATGGAAACACGTGAGTGCCCCGAACACACGGATACGGTTTACCGGAGGTGGCTGATGGCTTGTGGGAAACATGTTTTTGTTGGATGCACTGTTTTTTACTTCCTTAGGGTAGAATGACATGAATATATAAATATATGTATATATATAAGGGAGGAATCACAAGCAGGTGTTATGGAGGTTCAAACAGCCCTTGTGGGATCTACAAATATGGGAATTTGCGCCTCTATACTCCTCTCTACTACATGTAGATCGGCTTCTTGTGCATATTGGGTAGAAAATGGACATATTGTGTAAATACCTTGATCCTGACGGCGCGCTTGAATCCTGATGCGAAAAAGCCTCCGAACGGCGCAAAGAAAGCGGCAAAGGATCCGAGTACCATTGAGTGGAAATCAAAAGGAGAAGCGAATAACGAGCGGCAGAGGCCCCTCTCGGCTGCTGCAGTCTCCTCTCTCGCGGCTTCTAATGCGAGTAGGCGCGCCACTAGGCTAGAGCGCATGGCTTGTATTGCCGCCTCTTGGTGCTGATGGTGTTGCTGTTGGTGCTGTTCTGGAGGCTGCAGTTGCTGAGAGTCCGAAGGCAAGGCGCTAGGCGGCTCGGATTCCCAGTCCTGCTGCTGCGCTGCAGCTGCTAGCAGCAGCAGCTGCTCGTCTGCTGCAGCGGCCTTCACGGTGAGTGCCTGGTGCTCCTTGAGAAGCGCGAGCTGCTGCCGCTGCAGCACCTGCTGCTGCTTCAGCACCGCTGGGTCGTCCTCCCACCAGCTAAGCCCAAGTCTGTGGATTTCGGTGTCTGTACACCGCGAGATAAAGACAGGCGAGGGCGTGCATGAGAGCTCTCCAATTACGGAAAAGGGCTTGAAGGATATATACGGCTGGGGACAAACAAACATGGGATGCGCTTCCAGCTGCCTACCCACAACCCATGCCCAAAGGAGCGTCACGCAGGCAGCTCCTAAGTACCCCTCAACCGTCTTTTTAGGAGAGAGCCGAATCAAGCGAGTCCTTCCAAACGCTGTGCCACAGAGATATGCAAAGATGTCGTTTACGATAACGAGGGAAGTTGGAAGAAAGAACCAAATAAGCCCGCTGTAGATGTTAGCGATTTGTATCAAAGATTGGGAAACCACGAAAAGGAGCACCACCAGCATAACACCCAGCTGGCTAAACTGGTACCGCAAGTAGCTCTTTCGCAAGGAAAGAATAAACCAAATGAACCCGACGAACCAGGCGACATACACACCCAAGGAATGATAACTCAACACCACCTCTGCCGTACGAGGATCCACACCCCGAAGACGCGGCAAGCCCCAGGGCAGCCCTATGGCTACAATTGTCAACAGCAACCAGTACCACTTCAAGAGGTGGAAATCGGGAAGGCGCTCCTCTTCCCGACGCTCCTTAGCCTGCAAAGCACAACAGAAATGCAAGAAGCACACTCTATCTATGAACAGAAAGGGCATCGCACGCAACAAACACTCCCTGCGCGAAAGTGGGTCTGCGACTTCTCGCTCACAAGGCGTACGTGCCCCCTGCCTGCATCTGTATGAATGTATGTATGGATGGATAGATGTATGAAAGGGATGTAAAGTGCATGCATGTATCCTCAAGCGGCCTTGCCAGGGAGTGTGGGGGTCACTTCCTGGGTACGGGCAAGGCCTGTGGCTCAATGGGGGCTAATGCCTTGGGAGGTGCTGTTTCGAGCGTACTTGAATTATTTCTTTGTAAATGGCAACAATGAGAGAAAGCACGAGCACCATGCAATATGAATGGCCAGCTGCAAGGATCAAGAAGAAGAGCATCACCAAAATGAGGGTCCAGCGGCAACGAACTCTGAAAGTGGCAAATCGCCTTTCCCAACTCTCTTGCTCTGCAGAGAGAGCTGCAGCGGATGCCATGGAGGAGGGAACCGCTTCAGCACGGCCACGGAATTGCCCTGCTGTACAGGTGCTGGCATGCTGCTGCATCAGCTGCTGCAGATTTTGCTGCTGAGCGCCGCTACCGTTACCACTGCAGCTGGCTGGCGTGCCACTTCCGGAGTACCCGCACGAACGACGTGAAAGGCCTCGTTGTTGCAGATCTTGCTGTGACGCTGCAGCCGGTGCTGAGAAAGACGAGCGTGCTCGAGGTCGCTGCCACAGCGTATTACGTATGGCAAAAGCGGTGCTGCTGCTGTTGCATTCAGGCTCATCTGAATCCCCAACAGCCTCTGTGCCATCGTCCCAGCCGCTTGCTGCCGCCTCAGAGGAAAATGGCAGGGCTGCCTCGGACTCTGACTCCGTCATAATTGTCTGATACTGCTGCTTTCTCTAGTGCACATGCAGGTACGGCCCCGCCTTCAGCGGCTGCTCGTGCTGCAGCAGATGCTAAGACTCTGGATCTGCCAACTGCATTTAGAGCTGTGCCCGTCCTTGCCCCTCCTGGCTTCCTGGTATCGGCGTGATGCTCCTTAAGGCACCCCCGGTCGTGCAACTCTCCGCAGGCTTGGCTTGTGCACACGGCAAGAGCCAAGTCTTGAAGGTGGTACAACTGCTACTCTTACAGCAGGCCCGCCCTGTAGGAAGGTGCTGTACCGAAGGAATGCAAGCCGTTTATGTCCGAAGCTTATCTGCGTCTACGGAAAAAAAGAGTACAATAGCGAAACCGAGGAGGGTCTCCCAGCAGGAGCAGTAGCCGCAGCCAGGGAATGCCCTGTAGGAAATATACTCGACGGTTGCGGGATGTGGCCTTGAAATAAGCAACTTTTGCACAACACATCGTTTGACATAGATTAAGCTTCAAAAGAGAGCCGGCTTTTCCCCCTTAGCGTCTGAACTGTAGAAGGAGCCCTTCTTCGGGGCTGCGCGCGTTGCTAGCAGCAGCGGTACCAGCAGCAACAGCAAAGGCTGTCTTGTACGGACGTTGGCTTCCCAACTACACACCAGTCATCAATCCCTTACATTGAGTTTTTCTAAACAGGAATTCTACGTGTGTGTGGCTTGCAGCCTGATGCAGGCCCCTAGCTCTCCAATGCCGCATTCGCCATGCGCAGGTTTCAGCCTTGTACGAGTTGCTCTGTAGACCGAGGTCACTTTACCTCAAGGAGCGCCTCTCGAAGGCCCTAAATTGTGCTGCTAAACCCTCACAGGCGATGCAGATGAGGCGCAGCCGTTGGGCTAAGAGTTTTCGAGCTTCCCTGCCTCTTGTAGGCAACGCCTTTGTTCGGTCACACTTGGTACGATTATGCAGAGGGGTCGGTTTTCAAAGCTGCAACTCTGCCCATTGGACTGTATGTGGCTTTAGCCAAAGGCACAGGCATACCCCATACAGTTTCATGAGTTGAATGTTGTAAGCCATGCTCGGACACTTTTCGAACCTGCAATGACTAGTCCTGCCACGCATTCATGCGTCAAGAAGTCGTCCACACCGCGATTTGCAAGCGTACACAGATAACGATGCACTCGCTGCACGTCTTTATAGCGGTAGCTCGTTGTTTTCGACGTTGCTACATATGCCTACGCAGCTAGTTGTAGCAAGTTGTGGCCAACCAGAAGGCCACGCGAACGTGTCACTTTCAGATATTTTGAAAGTTTCAAGATGATGCAAGAACTAAGTGGTCGACACTGTGTGCCAACCTAAAGGAGCGCTGTGTAGAGCGATACCTGCTTGTAGCCACACTGTCTGACGTATCGGTTCTACATCGCCTGAAACTGCCTACGCTGGCCAGTGCTCCTCAGAAGGCTGCTGTGACAGTGTGTGATGTAAGATTTAGGCCTTCCAAATGTGAAAGGGATGATCCATTTTCCTGAGACTCCTAAACCCCTCGGCCCCTGGCGATTCAATTCTCTGAAAAGGGGCCCTGCGGTAGCATCTGGCTAGAATGTTTGAACCATAAAGCCACGCTTCCTCACGAGGCACTTGCATGAAGGAGGACGAGTACTAAAGCATCGGGAAACTAAAATCCTGAAAAGCACTTCTTTGGCAGTTGGCCTCTTCCCGTGGCGGGTGTTACAGTTTGTTTAACAGCGCTCAAAAGCGTGGGACCTCTCACATACTACTTAGGCCTAGGATCACATTCGCTGCGTGTACAAGAAGGCGTTTTGTCACACACTGGCATACTTAGGCCTCCTCACCTTATGCATACTGCGTGTGCATTTCATTGGCTGCCTTATCAGCCACAGGCAGCTGCTACAGTCGCAAAAGCCAGGCGCCCTTGCGAGCGCGCGACCATTGCTGCAGATACACGCTCTGTGCAGCTACGTGATTACCCCTGCTTTTGATGTTGGAGTTGCGCACACTCCTCATTCGTCTGCTCGGGATTCCCAGCATCAACCGCAGCGCTTGCTTCCCCTTGCTGCTGGTGTTTGCGATTACGGGGGTTCTTATCGCAACAGTGCAGCAGGTGGTGCCTCCACACTTCAAGCTGGGGCCCCAAGCAAGCATCGCAGTACATACAGTAACCGTGCTCTGTGTCTGGGGGAGCTGAACACATCCCCGCAGCAAAAAAATTCAAAAAGGCAACGGAGCAGCATAATGTATGCCCTGCGACGAAGTTCACAGGACCATCTCTTGCGTAGAGTGCTGCCCACGGGAGCCCTAAGCCTCGACATGCGACCACTTCATCTTGCCCTAAGCTTCTTCTCTATAATTCTGTGTGGCCAGAATCTACAAACTAAATATTACACTCGCAAGTCTCTATTCGCCTGACGGCCCACACCTTAGCTCCGATGCCCCCACGTACGAGTGCAATGCGCGTGCGTATTGAGTTCCTCTAAAAGCTTGACTCGGAGACAGTTCGGGCATTGGCCATAGAGAGACCGGGCTGCACATTCTTCTAGCAGGTGTCGGCCCATCGTGGATGCCTGCAAAAGCACAAGGCGGGGCCGCATCAGGCAGTAGCAGCAGCACTTTTAGGAAAACCAATTGGCGATGCCGGGGCAGCACGTTGCGTGGGGAAGTCCACTGCAGGCCCGTTTTCGCAGAAGCATTGAAAGAGATAAGTGCGTTGTCACTAAAAATTGCGACCTGTATTCTTGCATGGATACAGCTGTTACGAGTGCTCCGGTTTCGTTACAGCAGCTGCTTCTGCAGTACCTCGAGTACAGTGCTACAATGGCTGCAGAGAGCAAGGCACGGGCATGCCTCGGAAAAGTGCTCGTCCATGCCGCTGCCCACGAGAGAAGACGATCGGAGAAGGCAGAACAGGCACATGGGCAACGCCTGCAGCAGCGGCAGCAAAATTGGCGATGTCGCATGCATCAAGCATCAGCTCTTACCGCAGCGGGCTGCAGAGCACAGGCTCTGTTCCGGCCAGAAAAAGCGGCGGGCATGAGGAGCGGGCAGGGGTCGGTCGGGGGTGGGGGGAGGGGGCAGTAAGTGGCTTAATAAGGAAACAAGAAGACAGCTGCCGGTAACAGGGCATCAGAAGGAAAAGCGGCGACGATAAAAGTGCCAGCTCGAACAGAGTTGTGGGTTTGCTGTCTCGTGTGTGGGACTGGCAGCTTGCGAGGTGCGAGGACCTGCACAATGGACAACAACGCAAAGTCGGAAAAGCCCAGAAAGGGACACCCCAGTTGCCGTGGAACCTTCATCGACTCCCATTTTGTGCTCGGCCTTCTCTGCGACTCGATACTACGTGCGCGAATTCCAGGAGACCTTGGAAGCATTAGAGTAAGAACTTGCCGTTTGCGCCGGTTGTGGCAAGCAGCTTGCTAGGGCTGCCGTTGCCGTTCGAACCTCCGGGCTTCCTAACGAGGTGAGGACCTTGAGGGTTTGCAAGTGACTCTCTGCCAGGTGGCTCCCACCGCTGGTGGGACTGCTCCTGCTACTGGTCGCGTGGTTAATACCGTGGGTGGACACGATATGCTGCAGCAAGCCTAGCCAGACCAGCCGACTTCTGTTACCCATGAGCCAATGGCGCAAGGAACGCAGCACAGCAGGCGCAGTGACGGTGGCCCCCCAAGTACTCAAGTGCCTAGACGTGAAAAGCCTTTACACAGGCGCCACCCGGAAGGACGCACAGAGGCTGAACGTGCAGCATCTCTAGCTTCCGCAATCAAACCCTAAACCCTGACCTCCACGGCGCAAACCGTCAAGCCTGACACCGAAGCCCCGGGCGCTTCATAAGAAAGCAAAGCACCTGTTTCTCAAGGCCACGCCATGCCGTCTAGAATTATCGGGTTTGAACGCTGCCGTGTTGGTGGTAACAGCTTCCGCAGAAAGGGCAGCGAGTTCCTGCTGCTCAGCAGCAGCAGAAGCGCCAAGGAAAGCGAAGCCCCTCGCGCATATAGGTTCCCCAAGACCCCGTCGCACGCAAAGCCGCAGCAAGAGCTGCTGAGCCCTCTCAGAGAAGCCGCTTGTCACGCAAAGGCATACGTTGTCCAGCACCTCCATAAACTAGAAGCGCACACAGACCGCATACACCCAGGCTCCCCGTACGACGAGAGGTCATCTTCAGCCACAAGCACAACAAAGCATACACGGCTTAGAAGGGCCTGCCTTTCGAGAACAGGCCTGGTGAAGGTCTCCCTGGAAATGCCTGAATCTTGATGAACGGCCACTACATCCTTTCAGGGCTCCCAGGCATGAGTTAATTCCTCTACCCAGGGTTAACCGCAGGCAAAACGAATTCTACTACTATCGCGGGACCTTTTCGGTGGTTGTATCGCTCCCTGCAAAAGAAACTAAACAGTCATTTAGACTACAGAGTTATGCAGCCACTCCCAGGCCCTAGGGCATGGCGGCACACCAGCGGTGAGTGGAAGTACGCATCTGGGACTGTGAGCTCATCTATGAGGCTTTCCAGTATCTGGGCGGCTACGAGGAGCACCTGCAGCAACGAAAACTCTTAAACGCAAGCGGTTGACCTAAGCTTCTAAAGCTAGAGGCGTGGATACTGCCCTCCGCGCGTCCGTGCAGCCCTTTTGCCTAGGCTATAAATCTCTGCCCTTTAGAGAAAATTGGCAGCTGAGATTTGGCTAGGCCGTGAGGCCTTCAGCATGAAATGTTTCCACCTTCAGGGTTTTGTCTGCAAATGCGGCGCGCAAAGCGATCGCGAAGGCCTTGAAGAAGTTTTCGGACCGCAACAGGTTCGCTGCAATCGCACCAGAAGCAGTGGACGCAGAGGCACTGCGCAAATGCAGCGGCGCCGTGGATACGTGCAGCTCATGCTTTCGCAGCGGATGGCATACCAGCCGCAAGATTAGCGGCAGATGCGGAAATACCTGTGTGCTCTTACGCTGCTGCTGCCGCTGTAGCTGCTCTTCGTCCTGCAACCGCTGCATGAGCGCCGTGAGCCCCTCCGCGCGCTTTCTCGCAGATACATGGGATAGGCATTCGACGACTTGAGGCTGCCAAAATTCTAGCAGCTGTGCCAGAGCACCTGCAATGCATGCAGCGCCCTCTGGTGCCGGCGTCGCTGCTGTCGGCACCGGTGTTGCTGCTGCGGGTGCCGCGAGTTCCTGAGGGTGTAGTGCAAACCACACCCCGGGTGCATGCAAATAAAGATTGGCGAAGGTCGAGACAAAAGAAAAGACCCCAACACTGCAGTGCTGCCACGAAGAGCGCACGAAAGTTGTTGCACTACAGGACGGACCCTCGGGGACTTCGAGACTCCTGCAGGTAGTTCTCCCACTTCAACGGGTGCTAGCTGCACACATTCACGCGGTGCACTTAAACTGTGGTATCTACCCCGTGTTCTAGCCGCCGCGCTGAGCTTAAGTAAGAGCGAAGCTTTGACCAACGCTGCATATGCACACGGCAGCGCCTGATCGGCGCTCCAGCTGGCTTGGCCTCACTGAGGCACTCAGGCAGCGCTTGAGGTCCTCCTCCGTAAGCTCTTCATCCGAAAAATGCAGAGGGTCTACGTCGCCTTGCAAGAGCAGGGCAGCCGCAACCGCACGGCGTAACAAGGATACGATGCCGTGCAGCTGCCGCTGCAAGGTCGCCGCGGCAACGAAATCTTCTTCTGCCACTGCAGCCCTATAGTGTACACAAGCATCACAAACCGTGGTGCACTCCCATCCCTAAACCCCTTAGCCTCAACGCTGGCAGTTGCCCGCCGGCTCTGGGTGTCTGCGGCGCTTCAGTCCTAGTTTGCACGCTTTAGGAATGGGGAGCTTCGAGCTAAGGCTCTAGAGCCCCTGCAGAGGGCATGCTGTACGTTTTCTTTGCTTCTATGGCTTGCACTTTGGGAAGCGCTTGCTGCAGCTTGACGATGGCCTGGTGAACACGGGCCGCACTGTTGTACATCTCCTCCTGCGCTCGCTGCTTCTTGACGTGCTGCAGCAACTGCAGCTGCTGCAAGAGAAACAAGCTAACCCGTTGATGCTCCTGCTGCAGCACCTCCTGCTCCTGCTGCGGAGAGGGCTGCTCCGCCGGCAGGAGGGACGCCACCTCAGGTGTCTGCAGGCACCACAGTACCAGCAAACCGTGGAATATACGCGCCAAAGCCACGGCCTTTACGCCAACATACCAATCACTTCTGCACACACAGGCCTAGCCGGCCTCTAAGCATCCCTGTCAAACTAGCAGAGAGCCAACAGAGGCGGCAACAGAGCAGCAGCCACTTGCTCCTTCCTGCTGCCCGACTAGAGTCTTGATTGCTGAGCAGGCTTTCCCAGGGGCAGCCAAGCCTCCAACCTTTAAAGACCGCAATAGCCGCTGCACACCAGCAAGGCAGGCGCACCATCTTCTTGTACCTGTTGCTAGAAACACTTTCGACAGACTCGTAGAAATAGAGGGTAGCTTGCAGCCGGAGGCAGGCGAGCAGCAGCAGCAACCGTGCAGATACAGCAGGAGCTCATGCAGCAGCCAGCAGCTGCGGCAGCAACACGTCTGACCCTTGCAAAAGATGTTACAGACATTCCATCGGCAGGAATGATGCAGAGGATTCGCAGGAAGCGAGAGTAGGCGTTCTGAGGTAGCCGGATGCACTTGAGCTGAAGACCCTGCTGCAGCCGCACATAGCCAGCTCGGGTGTATGTGCATCGGAGGTAGGCGGCAGCAACCCTGGCAGAAGCACGAGGCTCTCGTGAAGGGCAGCCTGTTGTAAAGCAGCACCAGCACCTGCCATGGTCATCGACTGAGACGTTTCCAGAGGACGATCCTTCGGCTGCTGCTGCTCCGGATGCTGTTGTTGCTGCTTGTAAAGCTGCTTCTTCTTGTGCTGCTGTTGCTTCTTGTCTTTCTCCTGCCGCGGCCCCTGCCTTTACTTGTGCTACCGCTGCTTCTGGCGCTACGGCTGCTGCTAATGTCGCAGTAACGTCTGCCGCTCCTATTTCTGCTTCTGCTCTTACTTCTGCCCTTGCTTCTGCAGGGTGGAGGGGCCCCCCCTGGGGGTCAGCCAGCCACTGAAAACACAAAAGCAAAGAATACTTCAAATATTGTTGCGGCTCTAGTCATATCCAGCAAATAGCTTGGAGAGGGGAAGGGTAGCGCAGCCTGGGGGAGCCTATTGCTCGAAGATGCACAAACACCTGTCTGGATGCATATATGTATATATATTTGAAATTTTGTATTATACGGACGATTTCGACTTTGGCAGGACCCTGAGCTGCGAATTGAAGGCAGAGGATGCGGCAGACGCCATTAAAGGCCACCCCTACTTCGTAGCTGGTCTTTCTGCAGCTGCAGCGGCAACAGGGGCAGCAAAATTGCACTGGCACCTGCTGCATCGCCACGAAAAACAGGCTATCGACCATAGAGCGCAGCAGCTGCCGCAGCGCGAGCTTACCTGCTGCTAAAGCAGTCAGTTGTCCAAGGGCCGCCAGGTGTAGCTCGACATCGTTTGCTGTTGCAGCAACAGCAGGGCGCCATATACACCACCGCAGTGGGAAGGGGATGAGGCACAGGGAAACAGCACTTGCTGCTGCCCTCATCATGACGCCTGTGCGTTTTAGCGTTAGCCAGCCGTTGCGGGAGCTGCTCCTGCTCTCTTGTAACAGTAGCCGACGAGGGACGAGCAGCTGGCAGGGGAAGGTCCTGTGCGGTATTGTCTTGGTGGTGCTGTTGCAGCTCGTGCTGCTGAGCAGCACCATGACGGCGCCAGCGGCTACTTCGCCGTCGTGGGGTCTCTTGAGTGCAGCAGTTAGCAGCCTGCTCCTGCGGTGTACTACCCTTTTGTAGCGGGAGCTGCTCCAACTGCTGTCTTGGCTTTTCCGAGGAGCTCATATTGGCGAAGGGCCGCTGCCACGGCTTCGCCTTGCCAGCTGCTCTCTCAGCTGCTGCTGAGGCGCTCAAGCTGTCCGGTGTAGGAAGGGGCACTCTCGTGGTCAGATGAGCGAATGCTTGCCTTGGCTCTGCTTCGATTGAGGAGGACGCGGCATGGCGGCTTTCGCTGCAGCTGCCACTGCAGCGAAAGCCGCACCTTCCACTGATGTCACTGCTCGTCGTCGGGTAGAAGTCCAGAAAACAGAGGCGCTGCGCCTCCTCGGGGAGGCGAAGAGCAGATGCAGCCGCAGATGGGAAGCACGCCGAGGCGGGTGTTACCGATGATCAATGCGGCGCGTTCCGGCATTATTCGGCGGCAGAAAAGGATGCAGAGGGGCACCTGGATTCTCGGTGATCAGCATTGAGTTTTAGGGCAGCAGCTGCAGCCGCAGATGCCGCTGCTTCTAACGCTGGTCCCGGTGCATCGAGTCGGCTGCAGCGCGAGGCTCCAGCCGGGGTGAGCAGCAGCAGCAGAACGGTACCAGCAGCAACAACAAACGCATTTCTGAAGAATTGAGAAGCAGCAGCTCTATCGAAAACACATCGCGACAAGTTTCGCCTGGAGGTGCAGCACCAACAGCGCTGCTGCTGTGTCTGCTGCTCCTTGAGACCTCGTGCTCTTTCAGGAAGAGGGGCGCAAGCCATGCTAGGCCCCCAGGGAGTGGCTACAAGAAGCCCAATGGCTGCAGTCGCCAAGCTCAATTAAAAGACGAAAAATCAAGCTTATCAAATTCAATCCAGCCCCTCTTTTTCGTTCGCTCTCCTTCGTCTCGGTAGCAGCAGCAAGTAGGACCCCTGCTGCCCGTCGGCAGCGCCAGCGAAGGCTCCAGCGTCCACCAGCAGCGATAGCAACACCAGCAAAAGACGCCAGCAACAGCCGTCAGCAGAAAGAATCGTGTCCACCTGAGAGTGCGCAGTTCGCACTCTCTGCGACTCAGGGCAGCAACTGAAGAAGCCCCACACCCCAAAGGCAGAAGCAGCAGCAACAGAAGCAGCAGCAACAGCAGCAGCACGAAAACGACAACTTAGCCAGACCATGCTGCACATTTCGTCGCGGCCTTCGCTGTATCTGTTGGTGCTGGTGCTCTGCTGCTGCAGCTCCTGCTGCAAACCAGCTCTGTGTATGTCGCTACAGCAACCTGGCGCTGTATCCCTGTTGCCCAGGCTTGTGCAGAAGCAGCAGCAACAACAACTCCAGCACAAGCAGCAGCTGCAGCAGCAGCACCAGGCTACGGGATCACAAACGCCTGTGGCGTTTACAATTGCGACGGGGAGACCGTCCTTCTTCCAGATATCCCATCCCCCGCAGTACATGAACACCTCCGCGCAGCAGCAGCCCCTGCCGCTGGTGCAGCGGCAACAGCAGCGCAATGCCGCATCTGCTGCCACTCGCCTACTGTATCAGATTCGCTTTCAAACGCCAGAAGGTACGTCTTTGACTGCGGCTTTCCCCCTCCCAAGCCTCTTCCTTGGAGCCCCCACTCTCGGGATTTCTTTCTGCCTCTTTAGCGCCGCCGCTCCTGCTGTTTGCTGTTGGTGTCGCCGCTGCTGCTCAGGCCAAGAACACATTGTCGAGTGTGCGGAGGACGAATATATTTTGGACGCTGCGGAGGCAGCGGGAATCGAGCTGCCCTACTCGTGCAGGGGCGGCTCTTGCAGCACCTGTGCCGGTACGCCCCCTCCCCTGCGCTACACCACGACTGCGGCTTTGCGCTGCCGTTTTCTTCTTTTCGGCGTCTGCCGTTGCTCGTGCCACGCCGCCTTAGCTGCCGCTACTGCCCATGTTGCGCTTTGCTGCAGGCAAGGTGTTGAAGGGGTCAATCGACGCAAGTGAACAGAGCTACTTGGATGCACAACAGCAAAAGGAAGGATTTGCACTGCTGTGCACAGCATACCCTAAAAGCGACTGCACCATTCTCACCCACCAGGAAGAGGCGCTTCATAGCCAATCCTAAACCCCCAATTCTAGAAGGCCCTTCAAGTGGTTTCCGCCAATCTTCCTCAATCCGAACCAGAGCCCTTCTCAAACGCTAGTCTGCGCAGTATATTGTGCCTATCAAGTAACGTCATGTGATCAAATGACTCTATGCACTCAGAGGAAAGCTACAGTGTCATCAGCTGCAGCAGGCGGAGGCGCAGCGATTGGATTGTCTAGCATCGGAGGCAGCAGAGAGCGGCACCGATAGAGGTCGTCCTCTGGCTCTGTGGCCCTATATTTGTACTCCTTTTGGAGCCCCTGAGCGAGTGCCTAGGCAGCTAGCCAGCGCTTTTGCCACGAGCTATCGATGCGTGTTGAGGACGGGGTGTACCCTAGTGAGCTGCTTACTTCTGATAGTTACAACCTGAGGGCTGAGCAAATCGTGCGCTGCCCCTCTGCCATTGCAACGGCAGTAAATTATTTCAGGGAAGACCGAATGCCCCGAGTGGGGCGGAACACAGAACAGAAAATAGTCGGGGACAGGATTATGTAGCACGTTGACCCTTTACAAGGGTCCTACAAAGAGGCCACCGGTGCGATACTACCTAAGACCTGCACGCCGCTGCAGCTTCATTAATGACTTCTGCAGCAGATGGCAGTTCGGTGCCAAACTGAGAAAGCAAGGGGACCGCCAACGGTGCTGCGGCACAGGCGGTGATGGCGGCATGGAGGACAAGTTCTTGCCCCTTGAGCAGCTTCTGGATCATTTGTGCAGCCTTCTGCTCGTCCGCCTCCTGGGTGCCCCAAGACTTCCCAACCTGCCCTGAGCATGCAAAACAATAGACGCGCAGCCTTGCCGAGCTTTGGAATGGCAGCAGACGATGTCTTGCGGCGCAGGCGCAATGGGAGCAACGGCAGGCACCAACACGGGTGCAGTTGTTCCACCAGTGGGGTGTTCTAGCGCAGTGACTGCGGTCGGAAAGCGACCCTCGGCGAGTCACTTAGGGATTTCATCTGCAAAGCGGGGATAGAGCAGCCACCTCAGGAGTTGAATGATGTGCCTACCGGATATGTTGATGAGGAAGCACTCAGGATCAACACCGGTAAGGTTGCAGTTGATTTCTGGGGAAGTGCTCATGGCCTGCTTCGGCTGATCAAGCCCTTGTGTCTTGCATATCGACGGGAAGGTACTCAGGGCCTGGGCAGCGCCACTGAAGTCTTCCTGGGTCTCTAAGAAAGCAAAGAGCATTGCAGCGGGCGAGCCGGCAAGGAGGATTTCCGGGCTTATCTCGAATTCTTGTGCATTGGAGGCGACAAGCGAAGAGGCACAAATAAGACCAAAGAGAAGAAATACGCTACGAATAATGTGCGCCATTGTTGCCCGCCGCGCGAATGGACTGACGATAGTAGTTGACGCCTTAGGGAAAGGGGGTGTGCACGCTGTCCCGTGTCCGTTGCAGGTGATTCTGTTGCCGCCAGAAAAGTAAGCAGAGAAAAAGAAAACCTGAGGCGATACAAAAAGCTGTCTCGAAAAAGTATAAACAATGGATACCGATGATTTACATGTTTCTTTTAGCTGACAGTGCATAGCACAGTGGAGGCACAAGCTGCCAGGTCACCTGTGGCCATGCCCGTTACTCCCTGCTGCTCCTCCTGCTGCCGTCGGATCTGCACCTGAGCCTATCCCTTTGCTATTTGTTCGTGGATCGTGACCCTTTCCTGCCACCAAAAAGGAGAGACACAGTTCCATACCAGTGTTTTGCAGGTTGCAGTTCGAACTTCCGTTCCAGTTCTTTGTGCTGCGGCATCTGCTGCGAGGTATCTTCGTGGCAGCGAGTGGACCTTGCTGCTTCCTTCACAGCCCTAGCAATGCTGCGATTATCCATCATCTCATTTCTTCTAGTATACGGTGTCAGGCTGGCCTCGGGGGCCCCCAATGGTACGGCTCGTGTGCCCTAACCCTCCATATAGCTTTCTTCGGCCCTGGATCACTATGCTGCCAAGCCGGCTGTAACTAGGCACTCTCTCTATCTTGCTAACCCACCGATCCGCTTAAATCTGCGCTGCCGTTTGTTTATGCGCATAAGTGTATACAAAAGCCCGTAATCAGCTGTGTTTGATGCCGCTACGACATACTTTTTCAAAAACAGAGAGAGACTGTAGCATCCTTTCTGGCTTGCTCACTCCTCTCGTTTCGCATGCAGTGGTTTCTTTTTGCTGGAATGCGTCCTCTGCCCTCCCTTCTCGTACTCTCGTGTCACTTGTGCCGGGCCCCTGCGTGTGAGAAGCACACTTTGCACAACCGGCCCGCCGACCTATTTCCGTGTGCTTCGTGTCTCAGGCACCAGCAGCAGCACTGATGTAGATTGCAAGGGAGGCTACGGTGCGTGGTCCCAATGCGAACCGCTCGAAGGCCATGACACCCACCACGACTCGGAAGACGAGTTCAACCTACAGCGGGGGCCTGACGGGTACTTCGTGGGGGAATGCTTCCAATACCGCACTTACCATGTTATAACTCCGGCCAGGGGAGCTGGCAACAAGTGTAGCAAGCGGGATGGCTCCAAGGTCTTCAGGTATTGCAGCGACTGCAGCGCTGTTCCTGCGGTGTACAAGCGCCTAGATACGCCCCCCGTTATCTCCAGCATGCGCTTTTTTGCGGTTATTGCCGGTATCTTCTGCCTTGTTGCCACAATTGTATTCGTGGCGATTTGCGTGAAAAAAGTTTTGGGTGAAGACTCGCAACAAGTCAGAATTCCCTTCTACCCAACACAAGCAAACAGACCGGTCACGCCAGCCGCGCCCATCGGCGAAAACTCAAAGGGTCTCTGCCTTTCCGTGGAAGAAATGACGGACGCTGCCTCAACAAGGTAAAAGACGCCTTGGTAGCAGACAGCATAAGCGCTTTGGATCAGCGTGCAAAAACAACAGTCAATGACGGCTGTGTTTGCGCTACAGCAACAAGCGCAGCACTTCGAAACAAGTAGCAAAACAGGCTACCGTAGTACGCAGGTGCTCTGAGGGTCACTGATTGGGTCCCCCAAAAGCGACAAAACCAATCTTAAGTTTTAACCTTCATCAAGAAAAGCGTGCCACAGCTTAAGGATCACAGCAACAGCCCCTGCTGGTGTTGCTGCTTGTGCAGATAACTGGGTAGTTCATAGCTGCATATGTTGAAGCATGCCCCATTAAGCTGCACATTAAGACCCAGTAGGGAGACGTAGCAAAAGTGAAGGAAACAGCAAGCTGACATCGACAAATATTGAGCCTCGGGTTAGGGTGCCATCGGCGCTTGGCTGCGATAGCGCGCGCTCTAATGATTCACACAATGACGAAAAGGAACCCAACACTGCTTCAGCATTACCCACTCCATTTGCATGACCACGATTTGCGGTATGCACCCTGGAACGGCAGCTGTCGCTCAAATTTGCTCGCACGACTACCCACACATCCGTTATCTCGAAGTGTGAACTGCTGCGGGAATACGAGGACTATGAGTGCTGAGCCGCGCAAGCAGCAGCGCACAAGGAATAAAACAGGTCCTCGATTGCGGCTATGATTTTAATTGTTTTTTCTTAAAGCAAAGGTCTTGTTTTGGTGCCTTTTTATCAGGTCTTGCGCTGTATCTACGACGGCCTCGGCAAGCACGTTGGAAGTTCCCACCACGGCGTCGAGTGCATGTGTGGTTGCTGCTGCTGCAATGGGAAACACCGTGGGTATTCTCGCTAGGGCCATGTCAACCCGGGGCAGAGGCACTGTAGGCAGTTGCTCCTCCAGCTGCTGTATATTCCGGAGTGTCCGCGATGCGCCCGCAGCTCCAAAAGGTGTTTCTACTGGCTGCCCCACTGTGTGACTTGCCAGTTCTTCAGCTACTGCAGGTTCATCGCTTGTCAGCTTCGCGTCTTGTCCTTCTGAATCAAGCATCGTTTCTGCGATTTCACCTGGCAACCCGTTATTTGCTGCTCCAGATGCAAGCGCCTCTGCCACTGCTGAACCCGTTTCTGATGCGGTTGTGATGTGCAACGCAGAGCCTGTTTCAACTGCTGCGGCTCTTTTGAGTGCCGCCTCCCGTGATCGATTTCCATTTTTCTGCGCAGTGTATATCTCGTTTGGTGTTGGCACTACATGAGGACCGGCGACTTGTGCATCTGGTGCTACGCTTAAAATGGAAACCTCTTCTAAATCTGCCGGAAGTCGTGCCTGATCGTTTCTTCCAGAGGTGACAGGTACCGTTGTGGGTATACTGGGATTTTCTGCAGGTGAATCAGATGTTCCTAGGCGTTTCTCTTCCTCAAGCGTGGCGATGTGTGTTTCGCCTGTTGCCGCTACCATTGTACGTTTGTCTGGCGTAGCCGTCTTCAGCAAGGCAGCCGATGCGTCTTCCTCCACTGCTTGGTCATGCTCTTTCAGGTTTTCTTCCTCCTCATAACCAAGTCTATCCTCATCCAAAAGATCGATCAATTCTTTTATTGTTTGTTCCATATTTTCCCTATCAAGTACTCCTTCCATGTTTGTTTGTGGGCTGACCATTTTCTGGGCCAGCAGCATCGCAGCGTCAGACATATACACGAGAGACCGTTGGGCTTGCTTCATTGCTGGGATGTTTCTAGTCTGTTCCATGAGCTTCGAGGCAGCAATAGAGAAGGATGTCATGAACTCTGTAAGTAGCAAAGAAAGAGCCTGTTGTAGCCGGGGTGTTAGAGCTTCCAAGAAAAAAGGTACTTCAGGTGAGACCAAATTCAGCAGGTTGCCGGCATTTTCGAGGCTTCCTAAAAGTACAACAAGGTTCGAACTACCAGTTTAGTAGGAGCACAGCCTCATTTACCAGTACTAGATCCTAAGTTGAAGCGTTCTTGAGCATTCGAATTGCCCTGTGGCTCCCGTTTACCTCTCTGCTCGCATCGTACCAGTGTACGGTCCTACCTGCCGTCCATCTTTAGGCACCAGTTCATTCCAGTGCACGTCTGAAGTGTCTCAAATAGGGATGAAAGGATCATGCGCTTATTATGTAGTGAGATTTCATACCGTGTGTTACTGCTGGTGGATTCCCTGCGTGGCCATTGCCCTCCGCGGCATGGGGAATCAAGTTAGCCGGTCCGTCAGCGGCACCTACCGACGATAGAAGGGCCCCCGAGATGCATAACTTGGCGCAAATCAGGGACCCAATAAAGATGGTGCGTCCCTTGGACATCATATCCACTTTCTGTCAGCGTTTTATAAGAGAACTACTGGGGACTGTTCCGGAAATGCTGATTGCTGCATTCAATGGAAAGCAGACGAAAAACATTAATTGAAGGACACAGATATTCACTCGTGAGTTGTGAAAGAACTTTGGATCTGAAAAATGATGAGTAAGGATTGATCTGACAATATTCTATCCCATTAAACGGAAGTAATATGCTGCTTGCCAGTTGCATGATCACCTTCCTGCGCTCTGGTTCAGGTGTCACTACTCGCAAAACTTTTTCATTGGAAAGCAGTGAATCATCAGCATAATTCTCATGTATATTGATAATTTGGTTCTGCTTTTAATGTTAAAAATCTGTTCTCTGCGTCCCGTTCATCCTGAACAAAGCTGATAGAAAGCACTTGCACTGGCTTTCATGCCTTCGCGTCTTTCATTCCAATACAATCCTTGGCGAGAGTTATGGCTAGAAGAAGAAGATGGTAGATGCTAAGTTACGGTACTTGTGAACCAACACGACAGGGCAGAACGCTTCGAAGACTGGCATACGAGCCTTGTTGCAACCCTGCTAGTTTTTCGTCTCATAGCATTTGTCAGCAATAGGATCTAAGTGCGGATAATACACTTCTAGAAGAAAAAGTGTATATGTATATAGAATGAACCTATGAACCTTCGTACTGCTCGGATACTATGTGACAAGCGTATTTACTAGGATGTTGCACAGATAGGCCGTCGCCTTCATCAAAGACAGACTGCTGAGATTTTGATTGCAGCTATCGAATGAATGATGAAACAGAATTCCGTTTTATTGATCGCAATTATACCTAGAATCCTACACTGGACCTCTACCTACGGGCTCTGGACATTCAATGTTTTGGGGCTGCAGCCACGTGTTCGATCAGGTGATACTTCGGGTAGTGAGGATCGAACGCGGGAAACACACGCAATTCCAGCACAGAACTATTACTGAGCTAAGCTGGCAGTCCAATGCATAAACCAGGCTTCCTCGTAGGACTCTGTATACTGGGGTTTCTCAGCAAGAGCCTCCATATTGCCGGCATTGGCACGTTGTCAACTGACTACTGGCGAAGCTTGGCTGTTTCATCGTTGGATGAAAGGTGTAGGACATTGTTGCGGCCATGTATTCCCACTGAAAGTGAAGTTGCTGTGGCTGCTGTGTTCCTGCAGCTGCGGCACGAGACATGCCGCCGGGGCTGCTGATTCCCTTGTCACACCTTCCTTCTCCAACTGAGCATCGGGTTTTTGAATTTCAACTGGGTGCAAGCAAGCCTATAGGGCTGCCTGCCCTGCAAAATGGAAGTCTAGAGCCGGATTTTCTCCTTGTGGGGTTCCTCTTGCGCTGTTGCCTTTTCTTGTTTTTCGCTCTGAAGCTTCCTTAGATTTTGCCTTGAATTCGCCCTCAGCTGCACCATGTGGTACGGACAGCTGGTGATAGGGCCCCCCGGTAGCGGGAAAAGCAGCTACTGCTTCGGCATGCAGCAGATGCTCGATGCATTAGGACGGAGGCACATTGTCGTGAACCTTGACCCTATGAACGACCTGCTTCCTTATAAATGCGACATTGATGTCATGGACCTAGTGAAGGGGGAGGACGTCATGAATGCGCACAGCCTTGGGCCTAATGGAGGCAAGGCATACACATCTATATACACACGCAAATACATTCATGCCTGCAACCTTACAGACGTACTGCGCTTCGCTCACTCTTTGCTTCCCCTTCATTTCTTCACCTGCGATGATTTGTTGGCTTTTCTTTTTACCAATTATCTTCGTGTGGCCCTTTGCGTAACTTGTGCTCCTTTCAAGCACTAGATGGCCCATGTGCTCTCCTGTCTGTGTTTTGCGGATCACCTGAATCCTGCGCCCTCCTGAGGCTTACCCATTCCTTCGCATTTGTATGGTGCATCTGCAGCCATGATCTACTGCATGGAGTACTTATTGGAAAACGTGGACTGGCTGGTTGACAAGCTGAAGGCCTTCACAAGTACCGCTCAGAACGTTTGTTTTCCAGAGCCGCTAACGCAACGGGCAACGCATCCATGGATGCCTGTTGAGTTTACGGCCCTTGTCGTTTCCTGAGGTGTAAAGGCCATATGCTTAATGGATTTCTGTGTGTCCATGTGTGGGTCGTTGCTGCTTTTATCACCACGGCAGCGCTGAAAGCATTCAGCATCCCGTTTTTCATGCGTCCATGCGGCATTGAGTTCTTCTGCGTCTCCTGCCTGCTAGATTCCTACGTCTTGATCGACTGTCCCGGTCAAGTGGAGCTGTTCACTCATCACGATGCACTTCGCGCGATTATCAGGCACCTCGAGAGACTTGATTTTAGAGTAAGGCGCGGCAGGAGAAGCAGTGGCGTTCCCAGTGGTAGCATACGCCTTTCAGCAGCACCCGCAGCAGCAGCAGCGGTGGCGTGCGAATGCAGTGTTTTGACTCGCTTGTAAAAATAGGGAGTCCATGATTTTGCTTTTTTTTGACGTTGTGGCCCTGCAGATGACGGCTGTCCAAGTCGTGGATAGTACTCTCTGCACAGACGCATTCAAAGTGAGCAGCAGGAGAGCGCTGATGCTCCTAGGATCGGAACCACAGGGCACTTGACGTGAACGATCGTGTTAGCTCGTGGTTCTACCGACGCAGATGCTCAAAAGCGCAGACGGACGAAGCGTCCCGTAACAGGCATTTGAATTGGGTGGTCCTCGTGCACCTGAGTGGGTGTGCTGCTGCAGCACATCAGCGCGCTGCTGATGTCTTTGAACGCGCAACTGCAATTAGAGCTGCCGCATATCAACGTTTTGTCCAAAGTCGACCTCTTGAGACTCCACAGGAAGGACTTGCGTATGACACGTGTAGCGCTGCTGGGCTTTATTCTCCTTGTCCTTTAGCCACGCGGGTACTGAGGTTGACACTTGTGGGTACTCTCGCCGCTGGTGCACGAAGGCTGCTTCATGGATACAAATCAAGTGTTCGCGGCTCGCCAGCTGCCCAAGGGCACTTGACTGCATTATATTGTAGCAGGCATCAGAGCAGCCATACGCGCAACAGCGCGGGTGCGTATGCTGCTTTGGCTCCAGGGTTTCGTCTGGAGTTTTATGCTGACGCTTACGACGTGTCAGCGCTGCTTCAGGCCATGGAAGATGACCCGCATCCTTTGGGGGTGAGCGTTCATGTTATCACTTCATTGCTGCTGCGCTCCAGCTCCCGACTCATATGTGCGCACACGTCTGCCTATGTGGAGCTAGATCTACGTCTGAACACGCCTGCAAAGAGGGGCAGAGCCGAGGCGCAGCTATTCCCCTTCATACTAACCCCTCCATCTCTTCGCAGGCTGCCTTCATGTACGCCACTGGCCGTGTCTGCCTGTGCGCGCCTACGCCACACTGTTCTTCTCTTTCTTGTGCGGTCGTTCTGCGAGGGGCTGTGTTCTTCGACGACTGCACTGGAGGACATATGTATACATGACTGAAGATGCATATATGCATACATACAATCGATTGTACTTTAGCATGACTTGCCGGCCGATTCACAGATCCAGGAGGAAAGTTTTGTTCTGTTCCTTGCTGCGGCCACGTCTTGCGCCTGGCGCTTTGTGCAGCAAAAGCTGTTGGGCTTCTCTCGAGCCGTTTGCGAATTGGTGGAAGACTTCAAGTAAGAAGGGTGATCCGCGGCTGTGTGTTGCTTCTCCTTTTTTCACGGGGGTACACATGCACCGGTGCGGCGCTATAGTAGATATAAAGAACTGCACGCATGCATGCACTCCCTTACATGCATGTATGTTTGTTCGCACAAGGGTCTCAGTAGCTTCTCTTGTTGGCCCATGGCTGGGGATGACGTCCCTATTGCAGCGTATGCATTTAGTTTTTTCATGGCCGTCGTATGTGTATATGCATACTCCTACACATGTACAGATGTGTATGCCTTTGCCTTATTGTATCGGCCTTTGGGGTCTGAAGCAACGCTACCTAGGCACATATATCCGGCGCTTCCTCCACTCGAGTTGCAGGCGTCCCTTTTTCCGTGCGTTTTGTCGCTGTGGCTTCCTGTGCGGGCACCAGCCTGGTATCCTTCCTGCCTGTCTGCGTCACCGACAAGGAGTGCATGTTGCTAGTTCTGAGAGCTGCCGATGCGGCAAACGGATTCGCCATGGGGAACTACGCTACAAACGAGCGAGGTTACCCCTTGCAGCTGGATACCGAAGAAGAGCGGCAGCAAATGTACGCCTCCACGAGCACGCGCGTTCTAAGGCCTAAGCGAGCTTCGAACAAAACGTGCTCAGCATGGGAACTGTAAAGCTACAATGACGCAACGGCAGTAACCAGTGCCGACGGCCATTGAGAACGGGTGGGTGTGCTGGCGCTGCTTTTTCACTTCCTGAGGTGCCATGGGTGCTGCTGCGAATGCGCAGAATGGAGAGGCTGCAAGAAAAGTACGTGGATTTCGACCCGGAGAAGGACGAAGCGCCGATTGAAGAAGCCACGGAGGCAGAGTAGGCCTTCCGGCGACAATAGCAAAGCGATTTAGAGGCCGTTCATAGGCGCGCGAGCCACTCATAGCCAGACTAAAGCTGAATGCATTGTCTTTTGTATTAGCTCTGTTAAGGGCAGGGCGGGGCACGGCTTCTTTTGCATTTGGCAGTGGTCTCGCAACCTCGTCAAGGATGCTGCTGTCTTTTAACAAAGCGCACAGCGCTAGGCACCGGGCAACTCTGGTTGTCTAAAGCCATCTGCCCCCACCACCTATTCAACTGCAAATATAATCACTGGCGGCGGCACTTTTGCTACTACTAATAATATCACTCTGTGGTCACGAAGGACTGCTGCGCGCCGAGAGCGGGCACTTCATGTGGAGATACACGCACAGCGGACTACGATATTTGTGCTCCAACACAATCCTACATACATAGGTACATCCTTCCATAATTCAGGACTTAAAACAGCTGTCTGCAGAGTGTAATGTGCGCATTTATGGTAATGCATCATTTGTACATCTTACTCACGAGCATAAAACACTGGCAACGACCAAGCAAGACTGCAAGCATTACTATGACATCATGGAACCAACGAGCCCATATTGAATCCTTCTTTTTAAGAGGCAAACTAGTGGCCCCAACTTGACGCAGTTTCGAGTGTAGAGATGCACATCGTGGTATTGCTGCAGCTTCGCCCACGCAGCAGTGGCAAGACACATTAAGATCCGCCCACACGAGCTACAAACCGTATGTATGTGTATTTGATTCTGCAATTTCTCCGGTAAAGAGCAGACAGTGGCGAGCGCCTTGCTGCGAGCAAACTTCGCCGCAAAAAGCTCCGGCTGCCGTCAAGCAACAGCAGCAGCAGAAGAGGCAGTCATTGGCCTTGCGCGGTCTTTAGCTTTTGCTGCCTAGATATTGTACCAAACGAATGTACGAGTAGTCAACAGTGGAGTGACGTACTTCTCTGCCTTAAAAGTGACTGGGAGTTTCAACTGCCATTATTCCCGCCCGTTGTGCGCCCATCCATGTTGCTCGTTCAAGTGGCGATGGCGGGGTGTCATAAAGCGAATTGGAGGACTATGGACAGGAAGGCATGCTCGCACACAAGCAGTAGGAAATTGCCAGCATTAGCGTTAGGAATTCTCACCAACAGGGATGTCTCAGTAGAGATACGCGGTTTCCTCCGCCCCACATTAGCTAGACTTGCTTTCTTCTGAGTGTCTCTACTCCCATGTGTGACCGCCCCTCAGCTTTCTTCTGCCTCTCTACTGCAGAAAGCAGTGAGCGACCTAGGCCTAGGCCTTTAAAGATTAGAAGGGTGCGAGTGAAGCGTGGAAGATAGCACGAAAGTCTGGTCGAAGTTGCTCGTGTTTCTTGGGTGCTCTACCCGGATGCAAAACTCCCCATCGCAGGGTTTTTTCACTGTAGGAAAAGGGGTTCTAGAGCCTTCGGGCAGCTAGAGACTTGCAGCGGTACACATTCCCCCCAGGACGCCCCACTGTGCGCCACGCCTCAAATGATCACAACTTCGATCCTGCCGCTTTTGTTGCCTACTCTACTCCCCTTCTAAGATGGCGTCACCTTGCTCCCACACTAACCCCACGCCCGCCCGCGCTCTACTGCAAAAATTCCAGGCAGAAAGTCTCCCACGTAGAGCCACCACCTCAAAGATACTCTGGAAAGAACTCAGCAAGTTTTGCACTTTGGCGTACGGGTCTTCTGCGGCGCACTGTGCAGGAAGGTACAGCGACTATGACCCTCCACTATGCATCAGAAGCACACAGCCAATCCGGATGGCATCACGCAAGCTCTGCTCTGTGCGGGTGCGCAGTGACTCCTCGTGGGATGCAGCTATGCACTTGTGGCTGGTGGGTATCTTACTGAGGCTCCTGCTGGGGCAAAGGGAAGGGCGTCCGACGAAGGACTGCATGCTGCCCTTGAAGCTCCACCGAAAAACCACCCCCGACGTCTAGCCTCCAGGCCCTCTTCCTGATGCCGCTGCATGCGGCTGCCTTTGAAAGACGAGATGCAAGGTCTTCCACCGTTTGTGGCAAAACATCGTGGCCTTCCATCCCTCTAATAAGCCAACGGTACAGCAACTGCTGCCGCACGAACTCGGAGGCGACTTCAGACCAGGCACGAAGGGGGAGCGCTGACACTTGCTGCCCTTGCAGCCGCTCCTCTGTTCGTGCACCTGCATCTGCAACCGTTGCCGTTGGTGTTGCGGCTTCTGCCGTTGGGCTTGCTGGTGGACAGGGTGGCTCTACGGCGGCTCCAGCAAGATGCACTTTTGCTACAACATCCGTTGCAGCAATAGCAGACTTCGCGCTCATTGCAGCGGCAGAATTCGAAGCCAAGCTAAGGTTTACGCGCTCCCATGCCGCGGCCTCTTGATGGATGTGTAGCTTCAGCAGTGTCACTTGTCGATGCAGCAGGTCCATGCGGCGTCGCAAAGCAGCGAACCCGCGACTAGCCATTGCGTGCGTTGGTGCCGTCATGTCTGCTACTGGTGCTGCCGTTGTATCTGAGCGTCCTAACGTGAGTGCAGATGGACTCGTTTCCAGATTGTGGCTTGCGACAGCTAGTGCTGCAGAGCTCGCTGCCGCTGAAGGCGCGGCAGATTCTGGCACGGGCACACCAAATGCCTTGCCTGGTGCTGCATGAACTGTGGTGGTGGCAAGAACGAAATCGTGCTGCTGCTGCTGCTGCTGTTGTTGTTGTTGTTGCTGCTGCTGTTGCTGCTGCTGTTGTTGCTGCTGCTGTTCTCGCGTTTGCCGCTGTTTCTGCACAGCGGCGTGCTGCGTAAAGTTGGCTAGGACAGGCAAAACCTTGCAGCGGAAGGCGTTCCTGAGATACTTGCAGCTTTTGTTAGAGGAGTCCTCGCACCAGCCACTTCCAAGGGCCTGTGCCAAAAGCAGACGCAACAGTTTGTCTTCTCTGTTCGACGAGCTGCCAACGGACAAATCTCACGCATTAGCACCAGCAAATGATTGTAGCCTACCTCAAGATAAGAACGCAACCACTCCTTAGGGAGCGCCAGGAACGGGCGCCCGATGTGCAGGTGCGGCTCGCCAGCTAGCTTCACTTGGCTGGCTTGCTGCTGGGGGACGCTGTCATCCGAAATCGTCGCAAGGGGTTCCATACCGCTGAGCCGCATGCATCGAAGGACAGCAAAAGTAAAAGGTCACAACAGCACACGCAGCACCGACGACGACAGCTCAACGGCACGGTCCAGCATTGAGGCATTCCCAGTGACATACGCAGCAGGCCCGCTCGAAGCAACAAGGACTGCATGGCAGCACCAACACAAAAGCAGTGCAACCCGTCTGTTTCGGCAGAAAGACGGACTGCAGGTTAAGGAGATGCACGCCTCTCAGAAGCTTCAAAAAAATCGTCTCTAGTTGATCGTCTGCATGATGCCCGGTAAGAACAAAACCCCTTTGCTGGTGTTGCTCATGCTGCTGCTCTTCTTGCTGCAGCATACGGATTAGAAGGGCTTTTGTTTCACTTCTTCGCCAGTTGCGCATGAGCTGCTGCGGCGAGGCCTTGCTACCGCGTCTACTGGAAGGATGGTCTTCTTGCTCCTCCTCGCGCTGTGTTGTGCATTGACGCAACAGGCGGTCAGGCATTGCGATGCAATGTAACGGCAGCCCATACGCCTGGCACATGGCCCTAAGATGCTTCTTCTCAATCTCTACTTCCTCGTCTCTCAACCTATGATTGAAGTATACCGCTGCAACGCGCAAGCCGACGCCACCCATCTCGCAGTACGCGGCTAATCCTCCATCGCGTTCGCTGCTGTTGTTGTAACAGCGCGTTGTGGCAGTGCCAGATGCGCTATCAGAAGTGCCTTGCAACTGGGTTCTGTGTTGCTGCTGCTGCTTTTGCTCCGTAGAGCCAGTAGCGGCAGCGGCAGCAGCAACAGCAAAAGGAGTAGCAGCACCAAGGCCTAAAGAGCGCGCAGTTGCATGCAGCAGGGCAGTGCTGTCCGAGCCGCCGCTGCAACTGAGCAGCAAGACTGGCTGCGGATGACATGTGTTTGTTGGTGCTGCGTTTTTTCCTGCAGCATTTCCGGTGCCACCTAACGGGGAACGGGCGGGTGTGGTGCTCAGCTGAGGCTGCTGCAGAAGCCGGAGCAGAAAAGATCTAGCTTCAGCATCCACTGTTTCGATAGCACTACGATCCTTAGGAGCCGCAACTAGGCCAGCTGCAGCAAGGGTGCTCGCGGCGCGTTCCCTTGCCGCAGCATCTGCGGCCCTCTGCCACCGTTGTCTAGATGCTACCACGCACTTGCTCGCAGCAACTGTTTCTCGTGCTTCATTAGACAGTGCGGCAACGCTGAACTCTCGCGTCGCTGTAGCAGCGCTGTACACAGGAGGGCGTCCAGCGCGCGTCAACAGGAAGCAGCTCCGCAGCCTTAAAGTTGCGCTGCTTGCCGTATGCAGCGGCAGCAGCAGCGCGAGAACAAGCGTAACGATCGCCAACTTCCCGCTATGCTGAGCGTGCGGGCTCATGGAACTGGCTTAAAGAGATGGGGAGACGTCTGTTGGACACAAGGGGGACAGCGCCTCGAGAGGGCATCAGAGAGCCCCTCTCTGAGAGCTGCCCGCTGGCTCTGCAGCTGAAGAAAATCCAAAGACTAGCTCTGCTTGGTCATTCGCCTGAGCAAGCCTTCCAAGCAGTACCTCGGACAAAAACTAGTAGCGCGCAGCGCCGCCGCAGGGTTGCTTGCTCGTGCCTTGCTGGCAATTAGGTAATACTCCTCTGTGCAAGGCTCGGGCTGGTAAGGCATGTAAAAAGCGCTAAAATTCATGATTGTTTACTCGGAAAAACACCATGTGTTAACGGCTCTAGCTACCATATTGGAAGCGGAGTGGGCCCATAGGGGCCCCCTGTTACCGGGGTGTATGGTCAACCGCTCAACGGCAGCCACTCGTTGCCGCTGGCAAAAAGAAGAAAGCCCGCCAGATTCGCACATTGTTTTGCTGCTTTCATCGATCAGCTATCTCGGTTGAGGGTTTTATGTGCTTCACCTGTGCACAGAGATGCACAAGCATGATTCGAATGCTCTTCAGTAAGCAGAAGGTCTACCCAACACTGCAAGAGGAAGTGACCTGACACTGTTAGCCTTGAGAAACTCGCGCATGCCTCTACTAAGACTCTCAAAATACCACCGTATGGCTCGGAGGTGACGGCACCGCTCGCATCCATTTCAAGTTTTTCATAGGTGTGTGTGTTTGTCTATTGGCGGTGGCTTGTAGGGTCACCTGGCTGAACTTCTGCCTGCCCCCTTCCTCTCAACCCCCAAAACCTCCGCTGTAGCGATTCTTACCCGGCGTCCAAGGGCAGGCACTCTGTTAAGACCGAACCCAACCCAATAAATGGAAAGTTTGGAAGTAGCCCTTCATATGAATTGCCTTCACTCCATGCCCTTGCTCCTCAGGCTGCAACGGGGGGGCACAGGGCTCATACCTATGATGCATGGACATACCTTTAGCTGGCGAAGCTACATGTAACACTTTTGACCACACTAGCTTTTAGGGGCGGGGGCAAGGGGAAGATCCGAGTTCCTTCGAGGAACATTCAGTTAGTTTCCATCAAGTTTGAACTGAGTCTGGAGTTAAGTGCCACCCCACGGAGACCTTAGCTGCAGTGTTACAGTTGGTAGCACTGCATGGTTCGATGCCACTGTGCCCCACGCATCCACTGGCTCTAGCTACAGTAGGGAGTCTGGCTTCCCCACAGCGGTAGTCTGTTTCCGGTAATCATTTTGTAGCTCAATAAATAATTTTCAGGGGAGCTGGCTGCGCACTCTCTGGAAGTTGAAGTGAAGGGTGGTGTAATGCCTGTTGGGGCAGCAGAGGCCGCCCTGCACGCTGATGTGGACGAAGTTACTTCTAGACGGCTAGTGGGAAGTCATGATTTGTAAGCTAATCAAATGTTTACGGATGCATCGATGAGGCTATGACAGCCATAAAAATATATTGGCCGTAAGGATGTGCACGTGCTCCAAAATTTCACCAGCCGGCCTAAGAGGCACCTCACTTTGCATATGACGAGGAACGAGTTGTCCTTGGGCATGTTTATTGGAGAGCACATTACCTTAATGGTGGCTCTATTAATGTACAGGAGTTCGTATGTGTTACGGGGTAAAGACAGTCTAAGCCTTCGTACGAGTCCTGACCCATCGCTTTGCGCCGATATCAGCTCAACAGCTTGGGATATTTAAGAACGCTGAAGCGCAAGAATCTATTAATAGATCGGTATGCCGGGAAATATGAGACTTTGGCTTGCAACAGCCACAATGCATATAGGACATGTGGTGTATCAGGGGCTTTTCTCCTTCGCAGCATGGAGATCAGCTTTCCAGTTGAACAGCCGACCAATCAGGCTTCGACAAATGTGGGCCTTCTAAAACCTTAAAAGCAAATGGGGGCACCTCCTGCGCCCTTCGCTGGAAGAAGCAGCAGGTTAGGATGTGTAGAGCGCATGAATGTAAGGGCTGTGTCAAAGGGCCCTCGCCTACAGTCTAAAGCCGACCCCAAAGCCAGAAGAATTCCACGTTCGTAAGCAGCCGCAGTTGGCCTCCTACCAACGCTCCTACTTGTCTATCAGGAAATTGGCCAGACCGACCGGAACTGTGAGCGCATGCAAAATGGTGAGGAACCCGAAAGACAAACTAGGTCCAGCAGAAGTAAGCTGCTTGGCAAGCAAAGCAGGCGATTTAGGGAAATTGAAAGAGCTCCACGAAGAGAGTAGCGCAGCGGAGGGAGTTCCAGAGGATGCAGGGGCTCTCAGGATACATCAGGGGCAGTTCATAGCTGATGCAAGCTCTCATCAATGGTTAAGAATTGCTAGCGCTACTTGACACTAAATGTGATGTAGATCTGTAAACCGAGAAAACCATGCAGAAGTGCAATATGCTTGTTTACTCGATAGTGCAGTTCCTAAGAATCGCGCTTTCTAGCGAGCATCAGAACGCGAGAATCGGCGGGACTGCCGCAATTAATGCTACTTCGAACCGGAATCGAGGTCTGCCAACATCAAATGTGAATTCTATATTTAAACCCTGCACCATGACGTTATCCTAGGCATGCCATGGGTGGGAGGTCCAGCGGAAGGTGCGCCTGCAGCCACAGCTGCACGTTCTAAAGGTATGTACGCCAGGAAGCGCTAGGAAGAAGCAACTTTTGGTTTCCTCAACAATGCTGCGGCTCGATCCACGTAACTGTAACGCTCCAGCCAAGATCTGCGCAGAAAGGCGCCTTAGTGCAGACTGAATAGGAACTTTATAGACTTAATAGCAAGTTATCAAGAGTTTTCCAAAGAACTGCTTTTCCATGTTCACATCCCTGAGTCTCCGATATGAGGTGGAAAAATCCCGAGATAAGAGAGGGGCAACTAAGGTGCTCATAGGTGCACCCTCTATGTATCCGGGCATTCAGAGCACGTTGCACAAATCATACGGTGCACCATCCACAACATTTCGTTGTTTTGTAGTCGAGAGCCCGGCAGTAATACTCTGTATTAAATAAGACATAGGCGCAGACAAACCAGCCGGTCATTTCTGTAGTGATTTTTAGTCAAATAGAGCTAGTGTAGTCGAAAGTGCGAGGTGTAACTTAGCCCGCTACAGCTACAAGCGCAGTTTGCGGACTCACCCCTGTGTGCCATTGCAATCTGCAGTCTGCCCGAACCCTCCAATGCGCCAGTTCTATGGCTACCTATATCCAGCAACAACTATTTCTAGATCACGGCAGTTGGTCGTTTTTCTAGTTTGCAGAGCAGGGTGTAATATGATGCACAACTGGATGTAGACAGCACGCATAGATAGCCTAGACAGAGCTGGGTGTCTCACAGAGCGATGCATCAGTGGTATCGAAATGAGCAGCTTCGGCGCCGCCAGCTGAGCCAGTGTTAGCCAATCCGATACTCAGAAAGGGCTCTTTGCCGAGTGTACCGCAATGGTCTCTAGAGTGTGGGAAGGTGTCTTGCTACTGCACACGGCGCATTTGGTGCTCCCGCATGCGACAAAGGACGCCACTGCGGTCCCAACAGCCGCCAATAACTTCCCTACGTTGCCAGAACACAATTCGGCTAAAGAACAAGAACAACACAGCAGCATCCCCAGTAGCGGCATCAGGTGACCTCCCGAGCTGCCATGCACGTCGTTCCCCAGTAGCATCAGCGCACTCTCTGTGCATATAAGAGTCACTAATGCAGCTGCAATGGGAAGAAGAAAGGGGAACCTGCAGGGGCATCCGCAGCAGGAGCCGTGGCAGCTAGTGGAGATAAGCAGCAGTTCATGTACTGGCTGCCACGGAGGGGGTAGCAGCAGAGCGGCAGCGCCATCAGCGTTGCTACGCCGCAACTACTGCCTTCCTGAGAGAAATTCCATTAAATTGCGTAAGACATGCAGTCTCTATAGCGTCATACTGCGGAAATGAGCGAGGGCTTCTGGTCTGTACTGGCTGACGACAGCAGCAGCGGCAGCTTCTCTGTGTGGCGTTCCACGTTCCCGCGCATACATGGGATATTTTTGCCGAGGAAGACTGCAGTGACTTTTGGCTGCTCCGTGCAGCAGAGCAGATGCATTAGCATGCCACCAGCAGCACCTGTGTTGTAACCCTGCAGCAACAAAACTACCGGCTCTACTGAGGGGCACACTCTTTGCAGCAGAAACTGCACGGAGCAGTAACAGCAGCAACCCTTGCATCCCTCACGCCGGCAGCAACAGACCAGCCTTCTCGACCTGCCCACGGCTCCGCGAGAGAGGGAGAACGCTCGCAAGGCTTCCCATGCAGCAAAAGCCACGCTGCTCTTGCAGTTAGACCTAGATCGCGCTCCTGCGGTGCCCTCTCCTGCACAGGCGTGGGTACCTCGGCTCGTGTAGAGCAAGCCAAGGGCAGTGGTGGAGAATCGAGCGCACTTCGCGGCAGCATGGAAAGCAGCACCTCATGATGACTCCCACAGCAAGTAGCAGCAGCCCATCTTCTCCAGGGGAGGAAAAAGAGAGGGAACGGTGAGGTCTCCTTCTCTGCCTGCTGCTGCTGCTGCCGCTCTTGCTCTTGCTGCTGCCTACCCTGCAGCTTTTGCCGGCACGCCGGGTATTTCCTGGCTCTGCTATCTGCAGCCTCCTCAACTGCATCTGCGCTGCAGCTATGAGGCCGACGAGGCTGCTGCTGCTTCTGTTCTTCTTTGCAGGAGCCAGGCAGGCGATACGGCTGTTTCAGCGCCGACGCCAGGGGGGGGATCGATTGCAGATGTAGACATGCATGCAGCCATGCTGCGACTTCCACGGCATTTGCTGCTGTCGACGGGCATAAGGGAGGCTGTGCTGCAGCCGGGAGTGGCGCCGGAGTCTTTAGTGAGGAGGCACACGAGTTCGTGCGACTGCAGCAGCAATAGCAGCAGCAATAGCAGCAGCAGTACCACCACCACTACCACTGGCAACAGCGCAAGAAACAACAGTGGCAACGGCAGCGCTTGGCCCCCTGCTGCTCTTGCGGGGAGAACAAGCAATGCCACCTCAGACAGCGCAGCGAGAAAAGGGGGTACTGCTGCAGAAATCGCCGCAGCGAATAGCGAAGAAGAGCAGAGTTTCCTCGAGAGGCAATCTGGATATGAGCACTCAGATCACAGCACGCCTGCTGGCAGCAGGAAGAACTGCGACAGGCAGTCTTCAAGAGCACCCCCGCAGCTCCCCGCAAAGAGGCAGCCCATGTCTCCAACGCCTTCTCCGGCAAAACTCCCCTTCTGCGTGAGTGCAGTGCTCCAGCAAGGAACGCTGCTGCAAATGCTGCTGCAGCAAATGCAAGGCAGTCCAGAGGCAGCAACAGCTGCCGCCGAGATCAACGAAGGGGGGCTTACTGCGTATTGCGTATATTGCGCTGGTCACCTTCTCGTTCCTGGCCTCTTAAGACTTGATAAAAATCGCCTTATCTTCAAGGAAGGTATGCTCTTATTGCTGTTGCCGCTACTATTGTTGCTACTATTGTTGCTACTATTGTTGCTACTACTGTTGCTGTTGTTATTGCTACTATTGTTGCTACTATTGTTGCTACTATTGTTGCTACTATTGTTGCTACTATTGTTGCTGTTGTTATTGCTACTCCTATATCTGCTGCTACTATTATTGCTACTATTGTTGCTACTGTTGTTGCTACTATTATTGCTGTTGTTATTGCTACTATTATTGCTACTATTGTTGCTACTATTATTGCTACTATTGTTGCTGTTGTTATTGCTACTATTGTTGCTACTATTGTTGCTGTTGTTATTGCTACTATTATTGCTACTGTTGTTGCTACTGTTGTTGCTACTATTGTGGCTACTATTATTGCTACTATTGTTGCTACTATTGTTGCTACTACTGTTGCTGTTGTTATTGCTACTATTGTTGCTACTATTGTTGCTACTATTGTTGCTGTTGTTATTGCTACTATTATTGCTGTTGTTATTGCTACTATTGTTGCTACTATTGTTGCTCCTATTATTGCTACTCCTATATCTGCTGCTACTATTATTGCTACTATTATTGCTACTATTGTTGCTACTGTTGTTGTTGCTCCTATTATTGCTACTCCTATATCTGCTGCTACTATTATTGCCACTACTATTGCTACTATTATTGCTACTCCTATTGCTGCTGCTACTAATATTTGCCACTATTATTGTTACTATTATTGCTGCTGCTACTATTATTGCTACTCCTATTGCTGCTGCTACTCTGGTTGCTCTTATTGTTGCTATTGCTGTTAAGCGCCTCCCGCACTCACTTGCTGCCCTTTTACACGCAGTCTACCAGTGACGTGCACAGCCGCTGCAGCAGCCTGCTGCTCCCCGCAACTTTGCCATGGACTCTCCCTGCGTGGCACCCCATCTTTTGCTTCTTCTCTGCTGCTGTTGCTGCTTTTGTCACGTTTTCTGGCGTGTTCTACTGCTCCGTTCTGTGTTTTTCAGCGCCTCCTAGGGATGACAAGGGCCACCTTCTCTGCCAAAGCGGCCAAATTCCGGAGATGCGCATTTTTCTGGGCGACATTTTGGAGTGTGCATGCGTCATGGCCCCTCCTCTAGACGACTTGCTGCCGTCCCCTTCGTTAGCAGCCACTGCTGCAGCCGAGGCAGCAGCAGCAGCAGCCGCTGCGTCGGTGCAGCGGTCCTACACGGCTGCAACTTGCAGCCTGCTCGACGCTGCAAAGGCAGAACCTCCCTCCTACTTGCAGGTGCTGCTAAGGACGCTAGGCTCAGACCAGGAGCCAGCAGCGCACACCATGCAGCAGCAGCAGCAGCAGCAGAAGGCTACACGGCGCGAAGGGAAGAGTGGGAGGTGGCCTCTAGCGGATGTCGAGCAGGTGCCAGCATCGCACGTTGCGGTCTGTGCGGGAAGCCCTTGCAAGTCGACGTCAGCAGCAGCGTCCTTTGAGGAGCTGCCCGTTGGCTCTGCAGCAGCAGCAGCCGCCGCAGCAGCAACAGCAGCAGCAGCAGCAGCAGCAGCCAATGGCCCTTCGGCTCAGCAAAAACAGGCGCAAGGCAAGTCGTCTCCGCAAAGGAGAGGCTCCCTGACGGAGTGGCTTCGATCGTGGAAACACACCAGCACCCCGCCTACCCCCGAAGATCTACCGTCGCAACAGCTGCCGCAGCAGGAGCAGGAGGGGCAGCAGCAGCAGCAGCAAGCGCAGAAACACGGAGGCATTGCGAGCAATTCTCTTCGCATGCCACAGGGAGAGTGAGTTGCGTCGTCCTTTCGAGGCGGGTGTCGTGCCTGTTCTTTTCCTCGGGGTTGCTTCTTCTTTTTGCAGGCACGAGTTCAGCGTTGCCTTGCATGCACACAGCTAGAGGATGAGAGGATCTATGATGACTGCGGTCGTTTGCGCGCTTGTGTTGCTTGTTTGCGCACCTACCTATAGGCGTCTTCGAAGCGGCTCAAGCAGCCGCGCAAGCAGTGTCGGCTTCCCTTCAGCTGTTCGTGGCCGTCGGCTGTTCGTGCTGTTCGGATTCATGCGGCGAGCGGACGCAAATGCTTTCACAAGGCGCCTTATTGAGGAAGTAGATGCTTATGCTCAGGTGTGTGTGTTTGGTTGCTTTGTATTGTTAGGTATTGTATTATTATGTGTTGTGCTGTATTATTATGTGTTGTTGTATTATTATGGGTTGTGCTGTATTATTATGTGTTGTATTATTATGTGTTGTATTATTATGTGTTGTATTATTATGTGTTGTATTATTATGCGTTGTATTATTATGTGTTGTATTATTATGTTTTGTATCATTATGTTTTGTATCATTATGTTTTGTATCATTATGTTTTGTATTATTATGTTTTGTATTATTATGTTTTGTATTATTATGTGTTGTATCATTATGTTTTGTATTATTATGTGTTGTATTATTATGTTTTGTATCATTATGTTTTGTATTATTATGTTTTGTATCATTATGTTTTGTATTATTATGTGTTGTATCCCTGTTCCTGCCTGCCTGCTGTGTTGCTTGCTCGTGCGCGGGCAGCAAGTGTCTCGGTAGGTAGCCCATCGGTAGGCTTGCTTCTGTTGCTTCCAGGATGTTTTTTTACTCCGTTTTGGCTCCAGTTCGGACAGCAGTCTTGTAGTTCTCGACCTGGCGCTGAGTGTGCTTCTGATGTGGCTGCCTGGATGTTGAGGATGCACAACCCGTGAGAGGAGTCTCCCGGATTATGTCTGTATCTGCCTAGGAATACGGCCTTTGTGTGCAGCGAGAATGTGAGGACGAGGAAGAGCATCAGGAGCAAGAGCACGAGCCACAGCCACTCAAAGCTGCAGGCCGCAGTTGCACGATGGTCCCTTGCTCATCTAGTGAGGCTTGGCGCTTTATTTACGGTTAACGGTTTAGGCTCTATATATATATGTGTATGTGTATGTGCATATGTGTATATGTGTGTGTATGTGTATGTGCATATGTGTATGTGTGTGTGTGTATGTGTATGTATGTGTGTGTATGTGTATATGTGTATATGTGTATGTGTATGTGTATATGTGTATATGTGTACATATATGTTAATGTGTGCGTGTGTATGTGTATATATATGTATATATATATGTTACGCGTGTTTCTGGATGTTGAGGTTTTAATGGGGGGAATAGATGTTGGCGTTTGTTGCAGATGCGGTGATAAATGCATGGGAAGAAGCACTTGATCGAACGGCGGAGTTTCCAGTAATGTGAGTTGCGCCAGCTTGACTTGTGGGGAGGCCGCCTGAAGCGGGGTAGCTGCTGTCCAGTGCTGCAGTCTTCTTGCTGGAAAAGGAGTTGTGGGGAGGACGCCTTTGTTGGCAAAGGCTGTGCGGTTTAGAGTTCAGGGTGTAAGTGTGTGCGAAGAAAAGGGGGGTGCTGTGCTGCAGGCTGTCCTCGTCAATAACCAGCGGTCTGGAGGGCAGCGTGGAGCAGCAGCAGCAAGGCGATTTCTGGTACGACGAGGGAAACGTAGCAGCTCTGGCAGCTCCGCAGCAGGAAGAAATGAAGGGCCCTCTATGTTCGTCTTCCTTCGCGCCGTACGCGTTTGCCGCACCCGTCCTCGAAAGACCTCCTGGAGCTGCTACGTTTGTATCTCCCCATATTGCTGCTCAGGTGTGTTGTTTTTGGCTGGTCGTTCCGCTGCGGCTGGCATGCGGTGCTGCCCCTTTCTTCTCGTTCGCTGAGCGACCAGCTTCTCGGCTGCTCTCCTTTCTGCCGCTTTCGTTGCCTCCTCCTTCCAGCAGCCGAGTCGCTCCTCTGCTCGGTGCAGCGCCCTCTGCTGCTGCTGCAAAGGTGCTCCGATAACTGTCGCTTCAGGCAAGGCAGCAGCTAGGGCCCCCTGTTTGCGTCGTCTGGCTGTGCGTTCAGATTTGCATGCACTTGCCCCTTATGATTTCGATGAAGCGTTGGCATCTGGCCTTCTGTCTCAAGCTCCACGGCATTTCGTTTCAGACGTACGGTGCTGCTGCTTGCCACTTCACACTCCAGCATCCGCTGCGTTGCCGCAGTTTGATCGCTGGTCCCCCGATGATACGCTCTCTCTTCAGACACTGTATTTTTCTTGTGGTCTTGCTCCAGGTTCTTTCGGAGAGTGAGTCATTCTGGTGGGTGCGTCATCGCCGTAGAGGATTCTGAAGGCGTAGTATTTGGAGCCTTCACAGATGAATTCCACAAGTCGTACAAATACTATGGGTCCGGTGAGCTGTGCACCTCCCTACTTGGTGTTCTTTCTACGGAGGGGCGATTGTGCTGCTGCTGCGTAGCGAATCTCGCGGGTGTGCTTCTTCCCCCGGAACGGAGCACAGGCTTTGAAGCTCGACACTTCTTGCGTTCTGCGCAGCCGACACATTCGTCTTTACTTTCAAGGGTCCAGATGGCAAGCAGCCAGCAGAGAACCCCGTAAGCTGTTGGCGACTTCTCGTTGCCGTCGCGCGAGGCAGCCCTCTAACAAGAGGCCCCTCTGAAGAACTTGTTGCTTTTGAAGGGTTTGTTTGTGGACGGCCTAGCCTAGATCTCTAGGGGAGTTACGCCTTGAGTTTGGCGAAGTAACTTGACGCAGATTTGCACGTGTCTGTGACGCCGTGTGAATGGGTGTGTGAATGTGTATGCATACGCGTATGCGTGTTTATATGTATGTATACATGTGTGTGTATATATGTGTGTATGTATATGTGTGCATCTACGTGTATTCCTATGCATGTGTGTGTGTATGTATATGTCTGTATGTGCGTGTGAATGGGTGTATGCACATGTATATGTGCATGTATGCACGAGTATCTATGGGTTTGCGTGTCTTGTGCGTTTCAAAGAGTATCCACGTGTACACCTGGAGCAGCAGCAACGCTTTCTTTTGTTTCACGGATGGCGAGACTATTGTCGTTGGAGGGGGTGGTCATTATGCCCTTACGATCGATAGAGACTTCTTAAGAGGCAGTTCCCAGTGCTGCCCCACTTTCAACTCTCCGCCTTTAGCGTCTTCGCAAGACTTTATCCTCAGAAACTTGCAGGTAGGGAGGGATACACAGGCATGCAGGCGTTCCAAAACGCATGCTCTCACACATATGCGCGGAGAGGAAGACCGTTGCGCACTTCCTGGCTGCTCTGATGACGCGAGCCTGGGGAATAGGGGGTGGCCTTTATAGAGTTTGCGATTTGGATGTAGGTGGGGGGGCTTAACAGGCAGCTAGGTCAAGCTGACGTTGCAGAGAGTTTCGTAGGGTGTTGGTGCTGTTGCCGCAGGTTTGGCTGCTGCTGGACTAACTAACATGCGTAGAGACTGCAAGAACCATTCTAGACAAGCGGGCAGCACTGCACTGCTGATCTTGCGTTCACTCGACGCGCCGCTTTTTACTGCTGCTGAGGCATCAGGTTTAGCGTGTTGACTGGCTGCCGCACACCTTTTAACAACGCGTAGCCAATTGTCTGAGTCGCCACTCGGCAGCCTCTGCCTGCAGCAACGGGTTACGTCGCTTGAGCAGCTGCTGTGGTTGCGCTGGCGGCACTAGCAGCAATCGCCGCGAGGAGCACCTTTTAGAAGTAAAAGGGGATGGGGCCCTTGTTGTACGTGTGCTTCTATCTGTCCATCTATACCTCTATATACATGCGTGTATCCGAAGAGCGGCATTCAAGCGACTTACTTGAGCCGTGCGGCTCACCCCCCATTTCTACCTACGTTCTTGGGAGTGGATGGTGCTGCGCAGCTTTCAAGGGTGCTTGTTGCTCCCTCGAGGGCCTCCTCTCTCGCATGGTTTTTGCCGTTATTTTGTTCTAGTTGTGTCGAGGGAGACGCACAAATGCCAGTTTGAGACTGCTGCAAAGCCTGCGAAAGAGCATGAAAGCGGCTTCTTCCAGTTAGTCACGCGACATGAGATGCCCGTATTCGGACTATGGGAAGGTGTCCGCGGGCGTCTTATTGTGCATCGACGTACAGTAAGACTCCTAATATATTAGTATAATTACCGCCTACTACCTACCATCGCTTTTAGATCGTGTCCAGAGTCTGCGAGTCGCGCATGCTTGCGCGCATGCACACAGCAGGCTGCGTCGGTATCGCGCCTGCGTGCATCCGCGTGCGTTCACCGGACTCATCAGTCCCGTCCGAATCACTAGTTGGGGTAATGTAGCAGCGCAGCAGATACGACCCCTATGTCGGAAAAGCAGCGGCCCTCTAGCAGCAAGCAGCGACATTGTGCATTCTGCAGCACGAGCACGGAAATCCCGCAGCCAACAAGCCAGCCACGACGCCTTGGGGATGTCGCTAGTGTCGATTCTTCTAGGTACTACTGACCTAGCGTACACGATTCACACCTAGAATGTGTCGCACTAGGCTTGGGGTATAGGGTGAAGAGCAGCTGCGTGCAGGCGAACCAACTAGAGAGGCCTCCCTGTCTTGAGGATTTCCCTGCTAAGCCAGCCACGCAAGGGTAGGTCTTGCACTTCTGACAGTCCGTCACCACGCAGCAGCAGCAAGGGCGTCATCGAGAGCCTGAGGCGTGGCGTGTATATTTTCTAGTGTGCTCGAACGTGGTAGGCACGTGTAGGCTGCACTCCTGCAGTCTCTCGCCACGACGAGCGGAACCTCCCTACAGCTTTTAGGCTCATTTGTGCGACCAGCAGCAACAAAAACGACAATGCCCTTCAGGTACCTCGGAAAGGTTGCATTCACACCACTGCACCGAGGCGGATTTTCGAGCCGCATTAAACAGCAGGCATCCGCTTGATACTCTGCAGTTTAAAGGCGTTTCCCAGCAACGTGATTTCTACCTACGGGTTGCTAATTTATTGCGGCTTTCCTACAGCGCTGCCTCCGCTGCAACAGAAGAAGGAAGCCGACGCACAGCGCTTCGGCTGTGCATGGCGCGGCACATTTACGAGTGATTGTCTGCGTCAGCAGCTTTTTTTTGCTTTTCTTCTTCAGCCATCGTCGACTCCTAAAGAGACACCCCCGGTACCAACGGTAATAATACGCCAATCAACGGGAAAGACAAAGGGGAGGAGAGCAGCACAGGAAAGCGCCAAGTCCATCGTAAAGACACACAGATATACATATACATCTATACACATATAGATATTCATACACGCAGAAATGTACGACGCTGTGTGTAGTCCGACGCTGCACAGGGCACGCCGCCAGATACTGAATTCTCAAACCGCATACTCAAAAGGTGCCTAGTGCTTATCACTGCGGAACGTTTTCCAATAAAAATAGCGCATTAAAGACGCTTCTACCAGGCCCACCAAAGGCTCTGGACCTGCACACGAAGCCTACAGCGTTCACAGCACTAGCTTTGGGGAAGCCTAAGTCCTCCTCACCTTCTCCTTCCGCTCCGCCTCTCTCTTGTTCTGGATTTTGTTGTCGATCAAATTGTGCAGTGCCAGCACGGAGCGCACCACACTCGCTGCAACGCAAAACTCGTAAAAAGAAGTTTTTAATAACACGACACGCCCCCAGTCTGTGTGTCATCATCCCTCACGCAGTAACACCCAACCAGCCATACACCACACGCAGGCCGCCTGTGCACATTTGGATAGGCAGAAGCATGCACATAGCGAACTCCATCCTCCGCTTGCCTAGATAAAGCGTCATCATGCTATCGTTGGTTTGCGTTGCGAATGCCTTCTGAAGCTCCGGGCAGGAGCTGTCGGGAAGCAGATTAAATATCTCCTGCGGCAGATTGCGCGCGTTCAAATCGGCATGCGCACCAAGCAGTGTCTTCTACTCAAAGTACATGTTCAAGCCTCCTACCCGCCTTTTCAGTGTATGCGCCTTTCCCTGGCGCTGTATACACTTGCTCTCCGCTTTCCTCCCCCCTGCCCTTCTCCGCTAGTCCCCAATTCTTGCGTGCCCGTGTACGCATGCAGCTCTGCTGCTGCATCAAGTCTTTTGAACCGTCTGTGGCTATAATATTTATATATGCATGTATACATATATCGCTGCCTCTACTAACATCATTCCTCCTCTTGTTACAACTAGCGGATCGCCTCCTGGCTGCCCGTTCGCAGCGACTTTGAGGTGCTCTTCGCCTTTCGACTGACGCGAATGGTGCAAGCATGGATTGACTCAACTAGCCGCAACAAGTCATTCTCCCCCCTCTAAACGCACCAACCTGACTTGTTTCCCCGACATCTGCACTTCTCCCACCGCTGGTCAGCCCTTACTTGGATCGTGTAGATGATAGTCGGATTAGGCTTCAGCTTGTTGCTAGCCACGTCCTCGAGATAGGCTGAGATCTCGCGAAGGCGTCGTCCGAGCATCTTGAGTGTCTCTAGCTGATCGCCCACCTATAGCAAACAGTGGTGTGCAGCAGCAACTGAGACGCGGTTCAGCAAGCAATGCAGGACGGCTCCTCTCTCGAATGGCGCATGTGCAACTCCCCACCGTGCCTCACCAAATTCCCCAAGAAGCCTTTCCAACGCCAAAGCACACTCCAGAACCGCACAGCACACACAACAGGCGTGAAGGCCTGTGAACTCCTGCAGCCGTTTTTCCCTCTCTCCCCTTCCCGCGAACTACCCCGATGTTTGGTGATACAAAAATAAACCCCCTAGAAATGCGAAGAAGCATGCGTAAAGACGTTCGCTGGAACCTCTTCGATCTCCTCCTCCTCCCCCCACTTTCCCCCTTTTCCCTCCCTCTCTCCCTCCCCCTTCCCCCTTGCCTGTGTGCTTGATTCTCTCAAAAAGAAGGGCAGAAGAAAAACCCTAGAACGGGGAAGCTGTGAAAGTGGTGGTGTTCGTCGCGGCAAAACACGCCCCCATAGGATACAGACATGCAGAACGGCATACAGACAGTGCCTGTCTGCATGCGTGTAAAAGCACCAGCATCCAACATATGTACATGCGGGGTAGGAAAACGGCTGAATGAGCATAGCGGCGTTTGGCAGCAGTAGCTGACCTTAGTGGCCAAAGTGGACGTGGAAGCGTTCTTCGTGTCTCTTAGAAGATGCTCCACTCCGACTTCTTCAGCTTCGTATGCCCCTACAGAAAGGAGGCATGGCAGCAACAGAAAACAAGAGAGCGATAAACGCGCATGCCTCTCGCCATGCTGGTTAAGGGGTGGGGGGGGAGATGGCGCAGTGTGGAAGTCGCGTAGGGGGCTGGAGGATGAAGCTTGCCGCAGGAGAAGGGGAGGCTGTCCATAGGAGAAAGAATGAATGGAGGGAGGGAGGGAGGGGGGAAAGAGGGAGGTTAGGATAGAAGGATGGATGGATAGAGGGAGGGAGGTAAGGATAGAAGGATAGATGGAGGTAAGGATAGAAGGATGGATAGAGGTAAGGATAGAAGGATCGATAGAGGTAAGGATAGGAGAAAGTGTGGGGGAAGGGGGAAGGGATGCGAGTCACAGCGAGAGGAGACGCCACGAAATGACAGCGCTAGATGCCGTGCCAGGGAAGCCCAGAAGGCGGCAAAGAAGAGAGCACTGACATACGAGAGAGAAAGCATGCAGCAGTGGTAAAAAGTGGAAGCGTGACGAGATCTGACTGACCAATAGTGCAGGGAACATAAACAAAGGATTTCCGAAAGGCTTTAGAATTTGTTGGCTCTTCGATCGTGCAGTACGCCTTGGCAGGCACCACCATATCCTGAGCAGCCACTGCAGTTTCTGGATCTTGCGTGGGAGACACGCTGCGAAGGCTTTGTTTCGCAGCTAGCTGAGTGGAATGCCCCTTTGGCTAGCTGGGTGTTAGCGAGGCATCGAAGAGGACTGCCTCTACCCGGAGCAGCGTGCTAATAAAGCCGCGCAGACGGCAAGCAATCCGCTGCGATGTACATACGTCACTTGGGGAATAATATTCCCAGGAGTCTTTTCTCACCTTCGGCTCGACGTCTACCAGCATGTAGAACGGATTAGGGCAATGTTTCCTAAAGATTTCATGGATGTCGAGATCTTGAGGCTTTGCGGCTGTGCCAGTGCTGTACCACCCTAAAATCCTCTCCATTGTGTTTACCTTGAGAGAGCGCACAAGATCGCAGATCGCAGAACCTGCCATCGAAAGGGGCTTGAAAAAAGTGAGGCTGCATGTGTTATTGTCAGAAAAGGAAGAAAAACCTTTTCCCCCACCCTCCTGCTCCTTCTGCCTCCTCTTGTTGCCCTCACCTTCTTGAACATAATGAAGAGTTGCTCGAGATAGTCGCTGTCTAGGAACCAAACGGCTGGATCTTTGGGATCTTCTTCGAACGGCACGGCGAAGGAGTTTGTCGCATGCCATTCATCTCCGACAGCCTCGCCCAAAATGCAACCGACAACCCGCCTGCTTGTACCTTGAAAGAAGTGTTCATACACAGCATCCACACAGCTACCAAGCCTCACAGGCTTCCGTGGGAAAGAACGCCTTTTCTTGTACTAGTGCCCCCACAAGCAACGCAACCGAACAAAGCAGAGCAGAGCCGAGAAGAGGCCGCACACAGCCCGCTGCTTTTAACCCCGGCGGAATGCAAGAAAGAACTGCTCGCACAGAAGGGCAGAGTAGGTAGAGAGCAGCGCCTTTGCGCAGAGGACGGCTAGGAGCGAAGGCTCTGGAGTGTGGCAAACCTTTTGCAACCCTGTTGTAGTGATCGACCACAGAAAGCAGCACAATCGGGTGTACTACCACCTGAACAGACACCGCAGCGACACCCAGAGAGAGCCTAAAAGCTGCACATGCTGAACGCTCATCTGAACAGCAGTTGCAACCTCCGCAAAACACCCACCCCTACTCCACAACGAAATCTAACAGTCACATACCACTTTCTTGGTGAGTAACCCGGCCACAGCGGAGTAACTAGAGAGGCAGTCCACGGCATCGTTTCCAGCCATCTTGAATCCTAAATTAAAAGACAGCGCAGCTCGATGGGCTGCCGTGAGAATTGGTGCAAGAGTGGTCTGCGTACACCTCGGCGCCGCGGGGCATGCAATCTCAGAGGCTTCTGCACACGGACAGCCGTAATGAAAGTCGTCTTTACCTCAGGCTGGCTGCCTAGGCTGGCAGCACTGGCGTTTGAAACAGCGACCCCGTAAACAGGAGCTGTAACACCAACTCCGAATCCGAGCAACCCTTTTTGAGCGTCGGTTTGGCCAGTGGCAGCACAAACTGCAGCAGCAGCACCAGGGGCAGCCAGCAGTTTCCTCCGCGTTTCGGGGGAAACAAGCGGACACGCGACACGAAAAGACAGTTTCCCGAGTCGCCCCTCGAAACGAAGCGGTGACGTGCTGCCCCCGCTGGTGATCAGCAGCAGCATGCAGAAGCGGCGGCACCAGCGCAAGGGAGAGGAACAAGAAGCAGCAACGAGCAGCAAGAAACAGAGAGATCCAAGCGACCTCTTGTTATGTTTTACAGCAAGAATTGCAGCCGCAACAGTGGCAGCGGCGAACACCAGCGCAGCCGACCAGGAGCCACAGAGAGAACCCCGAGAGGGGGGGTCCCTATGCTGGCGTTCCAGGAGAAGCTACTTGCCCTTCTGATGACGATTTTTGTCGCCTCAACTATATTTTAGGGTCTTTACGCGCTTAAGGAGCAACAAAGTCATTTTTGGAGGCTTATGGGCTGTCTAAAGAGCTGTGTGTGGAGCGAAACTCCCCCGTTCTAGAAGCAGCGAAAGCTGCGTCGGCTGTGTACGGTGCTGCAGCTAGTGCAGCGGTTGCAGCACCTCCTGCTTCTGTAGATTCTCTCAGCAACACGCGTCAGCAGCAACAGCGGCGGCAGCCATCGCTGCTGCTGATCAGACATCAGCATTGGAGGAAACGAGGCGGGCAGGAGGGAGGGGGAAGGGGCTGAGTGGCTGGCGGCACTCTCCCCTGCACGCAGCTCGTCACCCCTTTCTCATGATGCACTGAGCACCAGGAAGCTTCTGCCTTCGTTTCCTAGGCGCAAGCAATGGCTAGGGGCTTGCGCTCTACAGCTTTCGGCGTAGGAGCGGCCGTTGTACGGACAGCCCAGTGCTGGCGTCACTTTCGCACACACACCTGAATCCAAAAGCCGCAACTGAAAAATGCTGGATACATCTTGTCTGCGGGGGGCTTTGAGCAGAGCCGCTCCCCAGATAGACCCCCAAACAATCGTCATTGAAGTTGGCACCAGGTAGATGGGGAGTTCTTTCTGGGGGGGGGTGTGAAGCACTTCTTCTTGCACTCGTCCTTGCATTGTCACTTCTCTGAACCCGCTGCTGCTCTTTAAGTAAATTAGGGTGCTTCTCGCGTTGCTCCTGCTGCTGCAGCGAGGTGCGCGTCGGATTTGCGGGTGCTCTGCATGCGGCTTGCCGACTCCCTGCATTCGTCTCCCGCAGTATGCATGCTGAAGGCCTTAAGGTGAGCGAGCCTTAGCCCTTAGACCTCACCTGACCGGTGATTTGTTCATAAGAATTTGCTTGCTTGAAAATGTACAGATATCTATGCATGTATGAGTATGTATTTACGTATGTATGTGTGTATGCATGTATGTATTTACGTATGTATGTATGTGTGTATGCATGTATGTATGTATGCGTGTATGCATGTATGTATGAATGTGTGCATGCATGCATGTATTTACGTATGTGTGCATGCATGTACGAAAGTATGTATGCTCGTATGTATGTAGGTGTGTATAAACGTATGCATGCATGTATGCATGCATACATGCATGGAGGCTGGCGGGTATGGCGTGTGCGGATTGCATCTCAGACGCTGTTTGGATGGGAGTCCTTTGACAGCCGTGACAGCAGTGGAGGCTTTGGCTATTATCCTGTGTTTGCTGCTCACCCTGCACACTGCACCAGTAGCGGAGGTTCCTTGGATTTGCTCATGCTGCTTCTCGATGAAGCCTTTGACAGAGTGAGCGGAAGAAGCGGGGATACTGCCCCCCTGAGCTATTATCTTTGGACTGCGGTTTGCCAAAGCAGCGTCTTGAAAGGCGTCGAGACAGTCGCACCAGGCTGTGTGTGCCACAGGCGTTGAAGGCAAGACCACATACCAGCAGCAACGAGGATAACAGCAGCTCCTGTTGCAGCGAGCGCAACCTACTGCTGGTGCTGCCACTACCAGGGGAGCCTCAGCTCTTGGCTGTGCTTCTTCGCTGGGCTTTTGAGCAACGCAGATTTCGGCGTAAGATCCATAAGTCTGCCGATCTAACGGGAGTACAGCGCTTGTTTCTGTGCCTTGTTGGGGGGGGAGCCTTGAGGCGTTGCGCAGTCTCCACGGGGAGTGACGGCTTGTTCCTGACTTCTCGCGTCTAAAAATGTGTGTATCGGCGTGTTTTCCTCGAGTTGCGAGAGGATTCGAAGGCGTGCTGCGTGCTGCTGCAGAAGTCAAAGTGATGACAACAGAGCGAATGGCAGTGTATTTCCATCTGCCCCATTTGCCAGATCTCTGCTCGCAACAGGGTGCGTGTGTGTGTGGGTGTGGGTGTGAGTTTTTCTTCTCTCCCTCTCTCAATAGCAAAGGGATACCGTACCCCCTAAAGCCGTTTGAGCGGCCTTCTTCGCGGTGCTCTCTTCCTTGCGTGAAGCACTTGCCGCTGGCTCGCCTTTCTCCCTTCCTTTAAGAAACGCTGCGTCGCTGAGAGCTTAAAGCGTAGAGCTGTGTTTTGGGTGGGATGAGGTTTGCAGGAGCACTTGTTGTCGACGTAGGAGAGTGTGGACTGCGGGTTTGCCCTGTTGAAGGCGCCTCTTTATCGCCAATTTCATACTGCCGTTCTGAATCTCTGGGAGCAGCGCAGCTGCTCTCCGAGCTGCTGTTGCTGCACTTGAGGAAGCGGAAACCCTTGCCATTCGCCAACACTGCTACTGCTGCTCCTGCTGCTGCTGCTTCAGCTGCTGCAGCAACCTGCTCGCCAGACGCTGCAGCAGCAGCTGCGGCAGGTGACCAGGGAACTGCGGGTGCTCGCAGCGAAAAAAGAGAGGTGCAGCACGCGAAGCAGCCACAACTTCTTCCACAGCAGACTGCAGCAGAAGCAGCAGCAGCAGCAGCAGCAGCAGGGCACACTGCCGGATTTTCATTTGGTGCAGGCTCCGGCAGATGGGGTCCTCAATCACTCGATTGGAGAGACATAACGCGCTACAAAGAGACGCAGTGCTATGTTAGGTGAACTCGAGGGATTGTAGGTTTAGTGCTACGGCGATGTTCACTTGTTGTTGCAGTGTCTGGGGTCCACAGCCAGCAAGAAGGAGAGGCTGTCTTGCACAGAGGGATGGTGCAGAGCTTTTTCTCCCACGCTTGTGCGTTTTTTGCGCTGCAGCCTAGATCCTGCGCTGGACTTACACCTCCACAGAAATCACAAACAACTTAGGCCCCTCTTCACGTGCAGCGAGTTCGTCTTGGATCGCAGGCAGTGAACGTCTGCCTGCTGTTCGCTGTGCTGCACTTGAAGTTTTAGCCCCCGAAAAGAGGCTTGCGGTGTGCGCGCTTACTGCTGCAGCTCTGGTGTTTGTTTGCGGCTGATTTGCGGCTTTTGCAGCGGCTCTGTAGTGCAGCCTTGGTCTGAAACGTTTCTGATCCCAGAGGTTTTATTCTCGCCGCAGTTGCTGCTGGACTCGAACCTCACCGCCGTTGCACCCAGCATGGATGTATGCTAGGCAGATAACCCTCTTGAGGAGAAATTGTCGCTTGGTCTGCACTGTAGAGCGCTCGATACGGGCTTGCTGCTTGCAGAGGGACTGCTCGCACGGGGGCTTACTTCCACGCGTGCATGCGCCTGCGTGCTGCAGCACAAGAGCATCAGCGAAATGATCATACAGTGCTTCAAGCGATCCTCAGTGTGTGAGCGCGAAGGGTGGCTGAAGCGCATCTGCCTCGTCGGTGGCACTGCCCAGCTTCCCAACTTCGCAGAAAGGTGAGCGCTTGATCCTGCCTGCCCTTCCGCCTACCTCCCCGCCGCTACTCCACACGCACTCAGAAAGGCGTCGAGCATCTTCTGGCTCTCCAGCGCGATCCTCAACCGAGGTCTGCTGCAGCCTTCGGTGCTCCATCAAAGAGTACCTCTGGATGCATCGAAATCACGCATTCCAAGCGTCCACTCTCTCCTCCCCTCGTTGCGAATTGATGCCTCCATGCGCTACAGACTCGAGATGGACTTGGTGCAGTCTTGGCAGGAGTCTGCGGGGAACTACTTCCGCACCAATGACAGTATTCAGCAAGCCAAACCCTCGATAATTACCTATCTGCGTCACGAGTAGTTCACGAGCTCCTGATTAGGCTGGAGCTCAAGTTTAGCATAATAGCTCCTCAAACCTAAGGCGGGCGATGGCGTGAAGCTCCCAAGCCGCACGCCTCTGAGACGCTTATAGGCTCGCACTTGGGGTCTAATGAGGGCAGTGTTTTTCGGAAAAGAAGGCTTGCAAGCTGCGTTTGCAGCGCAGGCTAGTGACACTGCGGGTGCCCTTGCTGCTGATCGCTTGCTGCCTGCTGCAGGGTAAACGTGCTGCCCTGCGAGGATCGGCAGCTAGCGGCATTCCATGGAGCCTTGCTCTTTGGTACGTCTCTTGAATGTGGCGTGCGTAGCAGATTCGCTCGTAAGAGCCTTGTTTGTCGAGGGGGAGGAATTTGAGGCAGTCAGAGCTACCAGGAAGTCCACTGGCAAGGGGAGATTGCAAATCGTGCAAAACGTTTTTTGCTTGCGACTTAGGGCTTGTGGCTCGTCAAGAGCCAGAGGCTTGGCTAAGTCGAGGACTCTATGAGAGAACAGAAAGCCTCGAGAAGAGGGCAAGGCAGATGGCGCTTTACAGCTAGTCAGGCAGCAACTGTGCGGCTGCACTGGTCAGCCGTGCCGACTGACGCCTAACTACGAGGATCGTGTTGTTTGCACACGTGGCTGTTGCGGCACTAGCTAGCTGGCTGGCTAGAGCTGGGTGGGGGATTGGGGGATAAGCGGTTACAGAACTGTGGGGGGCTACTGTGCGCCCGTTGCAGCGACACACAGGGAGTCGAGGAAGAGGGGAGACGCGACGGACTTGAAGTTTAGGGGTGGGGAGGCTGCATTCCAGGCTGATTGATGGCTTGGACGGGGGAAGGGACGGCTCGGGGGGGGGAGAAGGAGTTGCCGCAGTCGCCCTTAGCTGTAGCTGGCTCTGCACACTTGTGACGTTGGGGATGTGTCTGTGCCTTTTCTGCAAGCTGAAAGCCTGTCACCCTTTTTCGTGTGACTATGTTCTCTCGTATTTCTGGCAGACGCGCGACAGTAGCCGCCTATTTGTAATAGCTGTTAGTGTAGCTGCTTCTGCGCGCGTCAGATTAAGCATGCGCGCACTAAAAGCTGGGACGTTAGGGCTTTGGTAGAGCAGTTCTTAGCTGTGCTCGCCGCAGCAGAAGCAGCGCATTGTGCCCATCGGCTGCCAATAGCAAGAAGCCTCTCTGGCTCAGTGCGGCCGCTGCCTGCTTGTTGCTCATCCTTCTGCGAGTGCTGCTGCTGCTGTTCCTTCGCTGTAGCAGCTGCAGCAGCTGTAAAGCGTGCTGCAGTGTCAGCCTGGAGCAACAGTGGAGTGGAAACAGGGCATTCCACAACATTTTGGTGCTGCTGAAGGGCAGGTGTATGGACACCTCAGCAATTTGCCTGAAAAAGCGCTCCTCAAAGGGCAGAGCGCCGCAGCGTCTGTACGGCGGCGTCTGCTGCTGCTGCTGCGCGAGCTGCCTCTGCGTGCTCTTGAGCCGCTGCTGCAACAGCACCTTGTCGTGCCCCTCAACTCGCTGGTAGAAGGCTGCAGCAGCAGCAGTAGCGGCAGCAGCTGCGGCGTTGGGTGTGTCGAGCACTCTCACCCAAATGGCCTCTTTGCATTCCATGGATGGGGCAGCTGCGTGACAGCGTGCCAAGCCAGTGGTAACTCTGGAGCTGTTGCAGTCTAGAGCTTCCTCAGTTGCCAGCAGTTGCGCCTTGGCATACCCCCACAGTCGTTGTTGTTTCGCCGTTAGTGCTGCTGCTGCTCCTTTTGCTGATGGTGCTGTTGCTACATGCGCTGGCTGGGCAGTGTCATCTTTGCGCATCTCCGCGGCTGCTCCCGACCGCATGCTTGCCACTGCAGCAAGCGTGCGATCAGGAGCAGCGCAAAGCCTCTCCAGAATAAGCCACCGCTCCCGCTGCAGCAGGAGGGGAAAATAGAGCAGCAGTCCAAATACGCAGCGGCAGCAGCGGCAGCTCAGATCTCCCCCTCCCCCACACAGCGCGTCGAATTGAAAGCCTGTAGATGCCCTCGAACTAACCGACTCCCCCCCATGAGCTGCAGCAGAGGCCGCTGTTGCTGCAGTAGCGCCTCTACCACACACGAAATCAAGGAGTTCAGCGAAGAACGGGCATAGAGCAACCCCGCAATAACTTGCTGCAGAAGTCTTCGCATCCGCTACAGCAGCTTTCGCAGAGGCGCAGCATGGCAAATGCTGCTGCAGCCGCAGCAAGCAAGGCCAGCTGCCTCGCCTGCAGTTGCACCTGCATGTTGCTGCTTCTGAAGCACTCGCAGATGCTCTGCCGAACCCTCCAAGGTGCTGCTGAAGTAAGGGCTGCAGCAGCAGCAAGTGCACCAACAGCAGAATATGATCAGCTGACACTGCAAGGGTTGTAGCTGCATGCAACCATGACACCTGAAGAGGAGCTCGCGCTTCTTCATCCCTGCTTCTACTTCTGCTTCTATTCCCATAACGAGACCGTTGCCGCGGCTGCTGCTGCGTCTGCTGCTGATGTTGCTTTTGCTGCTGCTGTTGCTTTTGTTGCTGCTGCTTTTGTTGCTGGTGCCTCTGCTGCTGCTTCTGATACTGCTGCTGCCGCTGAGTCCATCCAGCAGCGCTTCCCAGGGAGATCTCAAAGACTTTCCCAGCCTCAGAGTGAAAGATACCAGCTGCACGAATGAAGCGCAAACGCATAATAATGCCGAATCAGTCGGAGGCTCGAACAAAGTTCATCTAAGAGAGGCACAACAAGCGGTTTAAGCGAGGGGGGATTTGTGTTGTAGTGCTCCATGTGCTAGAGAGCGACGTTTGCGCTGTATGCGCAGCATCTCTCGAGCTTAGGCAGGAGCCTTCTTGGCGTAAGAATTTACGAGGCAGAAGGTGAAAGAGGAGCTTGGTAACAGAGCGAATTCCAAACCATAACACCCAAGGGTCTTCTTCTTGCTGGAGTGCATGCACCATCTGGGAGCAACAAACGCCACACACGCCATACAACCACTCATGATTTCTTGCAATTACGATGCCTCTGCTGCAAGTAGAGTCTCTAACTTGAGGGCTTGGCGCAGCTCTCACTAGGCCAGTGATGCATTCGACAGCAACTTGGCCTTGAGTTGCTTTGCGCAAGGCTGCCGCTAGGAGCAGCAATCGGTGCATGCAGCTCTGCAGCGGCGGCTCCTGCTGCAACAGAAATATCATCGCGTCTCTCTCCATGTAGGGCTGTATGTACCTGCAGCAGCAGCAGCAGCGCAGCACACGCAGGCCGCATCCTTCCCAAAAAAGGCTTCACACCTGAAGCGGTGGGGTGTTTCCTTTTCAGGAGAGAAAAGAGAAAAAAATCTCTCGCAAGCAAAAGCAACAACCCTCTTGTGAGGAGCGAACACGCACGCTGCATCATCTGCATTCAGGATGAGAGCTCGAGGAAGCGCTTTATAGCCCAATGCAACTGCTGTTGCACGACCTGAGAAGCCACACGAAATTTGCTTTTCCAACAAGCCTGCACAAACAGACGCACATGCATTACAAACAGCAGCACATGCATTACAAACAGCAGCACATGCATTACAAACAGCAGCACATACACATGCCGCAGCAAATGCATTACAAACAGCAGCAAATGCATTACAAACAGTAGCACATGCATTACAAACAGCAGCACATACACATGCCGCAGCAAATGCATTACAAACAGCAGCACATACACATGCCGCAGCACATGCATTACAAACAGCAGCAAATGCATTACGAACAGCAGCACATGCATTACAAACAGCAGCACATACACATGCCGCAGCACATGCATTACAAACAGCAGCACATGCAGCACCAATACACATTCCAGTCAAGAAGATGGAGGCGGTCCTGAGTGCAATGCGCTAAAGCAAAAGGCTTTTGCTGCAAGGCAAGGATGAAGGAGACAGGAAATAGAGGTGGCAGGAGCAGCAGAAAGCCCCCTTCCCCTCCGAGTATTTCAACGTGAGGCGTTTCTAGGAATAATTCATGCGGTGGAAGCCTCTTAGTGGCTCACAGCTGTCGCTTGCATCCGTATAGAAGGCTGATATCTGAAGTGCCTTGAGGCTCTGCAGCCTATGCAATTGCTGCGAGACACCGTCTCCCTCAAGGCCTGCTGCTGCTGCTGCTGCTGCTGCTGCTGTTGCTGTTGCTGCTGTTGCTGCAGGGGCTGCTGCAGCATCGTATTGCAGCAAGTGGAAGGAAGCTAGCGACAGACCTTGGGAGCCGCTGCTGCCGCTCCCACTGTATATACTCACCTGCAAGTAGCCACGACAGAATTCACATAAAAGCGTGACAGAAGCCTCCGTGGGTGTAGATAGTCTTACCCTGTGTTTTTTCAAAGTGTGTTTTGCCTTGGCGTGCCCTTGACTCGACTGTTAAAAAGAACTCCACTACACAAACTTGGTTATTTTTCATCCTTGATTCGGAGCTTACAGGCTTGAGAACGGAAACGCCAGCTGAACCCCACCAGCGTCTGAGGGTTCTCCAGGCGGCAGCAGCAGCTGCTTCTTCTTCTTGCTGCTGCTGCTGCTGCTGCTGCTGTTGCTGCTGTTGCTGCTGTTGCTGATCGGCAGCAGCAGCAGCTAGGCAATGCTCTAGAAACACGCGAGCACATGGCGAGGCGGCGTGTCGCAACTGTATGTACGTCCTGAGGGCCTGCATGTCAGCAATAGCAGAAGCAAGACACGTTTCCACATTACACCGCAAGAAAGAAATAAAAACTCCCTATTCCATTCACGAACGCTTCTGGCTGTGCACGCTGCCAGCAATGCTTTCTTTCAAACCTTGAGATAGCTAGAGTTTCCATAAGTCTTGCGATGTTGCCGCAAGAGAGCTGCAGCCTTCCCCCAGAGGAGCGCTCGCTGAAGCAGCAGGTGTTGCTCTTGCTGCTGCTGCCTTAAGCTGACGCCACTCCTCCGCTGTATGCACACTGGGTGCGAAGACATCTGCAAAACATACACACACACACACACACACACACAGAGCAGCACACCCTCATCTCGACTGTGAACAGAAAGCCATCTATTTATCCATTCCAAGTGATACTGGCGTGGAGCTCCAAATAGGCTGCTGCAAAAAGGCAGCAGCGCTGCATGCAAATTCGCAAAACTAACTTCGCTATACCTTCTGATCTGCCCTGTACGCCCACTGCTTGATGTGGCTATGAAACCAGAGCCACATAAGAGAATCCCTGCGGCTGTTGGTGTTGTTGCTGCTACTGCTACTGCTGCTGCTGCTGTTGCGTTTTGCTGCCTTTTCGTGGGCTTCATAGGGCTGCTTGTGTTGTTGCTCCTCCTCCCGCTGCGCGTGCTGCTGCTGATGCGCCTCATCCTCATGGGTGTGCAGCCATCGCCAGTCTTCTGCTGCTGCCTGCTGCAGCAGCAGGAGCAGCAGACGCGCAGGCTTCAGTGGTTTGTGGTAGCGCGTTTGTTTGGAGAACGGCCTTATTAGCACGCCAGCTGCGGCTGGCTCAAGTGGGCTTGCCGATCCCGCGTCTAGTGTATGAACACCAGAGGGCTGTGGATGCCTCTGATACTGATCAGGGTTCCACTCCTGTTGTGACCGCAAATGAGGCTGCTGCTGCTGCTGCTGCTGCTGCTGCTGCTGCTGCTGCTGCTTGTTAAGACCCTCGGAAGCCGCTGTGCTGCTGCTCTCCTGCTTCCGCAGCACTTGGTGTCGAAGAAACATTGGTGCCACTTTCTGCTGTTGCTGCCTTGAATCCACAGAATTCTCGGCTTGGGAAGCCCCCCCCCCGCCTCCAGCAGGATCTGCGCGTGGAGTCGCTGGTGCGCTGCTGCATTTCTCCTCGCTGCTGCTGCTGCTGCTGCTGCTGCTGGCTCTGCTGACGGCGCCTGCACTGCTACCCAGAAGCAGCAGCCTTTGCATGCATCGCAGCCGCAGCAACTGCCTCAAAAAAGCGTCTCTCTGCAGCACGGCAACGAAGCGCAAGCCCTCACCCTTAGGCCGACTCAGAGGAGGCTGCAAAGGCAGGCGCTGTCTTGACGTCTCCCAAGGTAAGCTCCAAGACGCTGCGCATCTTTGCGATAACGCCTACGAAAGACTAAGATCTTTTAGATGCTTCGGACAGAGAGAGAGAGAGTGAGATAGAGAGAGAGAGATAGAGAGAGTGAGATAGAGATAGAGAGATAGAGAGAGTGAGATAGAGATAGAGAGAGTGAGATATGTATATATATATATATATATATATAGATAGATAGATAGACAGAGACAGACAGACAGACAGACAGACAGACAAACAGACAGACAGACAGACAGACAGACAGACAGACAGGCAAACAAACAGAGAGATAGAGATTCTTGCTGCCCTATGCAGGCTACAGGATCGAGGCAATCTGGAAGCTGGCATGCTTACCTTGGGTGTGCTCAGAATTTCGGCAGCGAGGTGTATAGACACCGCATCCCCGAGCCACGAGTCGTCGTGTTGACAGGGCATCCTTAAGGTGCTGCCGCAGCTTGCGGTGCAGCTCAAATTTGCATACCTTGTGGGGGAGACTCTGCTTGAGGCTGCATCACTGCGTCTCGAACGAATGGTGGTCGTGGGTGTGGTTCCTGTTTCCTGCATGTCAGCAGAATCCTTAGATACACTGTGCGCCTGCCGCGTGTTTGGGCTGCTCAAGCTGCACTCACTGATGCTGCTGCTGCTCTTGCTCGTGCTGCTTCTGCTGCTGCTCGTGCTGCTTTTGCTGCTTTCACTGTCGAAGACACTGTTGTCGCCGAAAAAGAACATGCTGCTGCTGCTGCTGCAGCAGCTGCTCTCGCTCTCGCGAAGCCTGCAGGGCAGCATTGCCGCTGCTGCAGAGGAGTCACGGGTGCGCATGCAAGAGCATGCACTGCCCCTCCCCCCCCCATGTAGAGTGCAGTGGGAGTCGCTGCTGCAGACTTGGCGATGGCGACGACGACTGCGACTGCTGCGGCTGCTGCTGCTGCTGCTGCTCCCCGGCTGCGTTGCAGCGGCTGCGCTGCCACTTCCAAAAACGCAAGTGCAAGTGTTTCCGTAGTAGCAGGTGCAGCAGTTGCTGCATAGCCACAGCAAGCACACCCCCCAATAGAGACTGTGCAGAGCCGTAATCAAGCTCTCCAGATCGGATGCTGCTTCTGTTGCTGCTGCTGCGTGCGAAGTGAGGTAACTCCCGGTAGAAAAGCCTGCTGCCGCAGCCGCCCTCCCTCCCCCTGCTGCTGCTGCTGCTGCTGCTGCTGCTGCTGGGGTTTCTGGTGCTGCTGCTGTCCGTACACCTCGAGGAGCCCGCCGCAGCGGAGGCGCGATGATTTCCAGCAGCAGTTCGCTGCACAGCAGCACGCCTGAGTATGCTGCAGCAGCAACGCCGAAAACAGCAGAAACAGCAGCAGGAGTCTCAGCAGCAGGAGTCTCAGCCGCAGGAGCCTCAGCAGCAGGAGTCTCAGCAGCAGCAGCTCTTTGCCGGCTACACCTCGAAAAACGCTCCAAAGAAAACGCCACAAAGGCGCTCTCTGTGCTACAGGGATGCAGGGAGATGCAAGAGGGTAATTCCTACCCTTGCATAGAGGCACAGCCAGACCTGGACAGAAGACTACGTGCAGCTGCCGCCGCTGCAAAGGGCAGCCAAAGGCTTCCCCAGCGACTGACACAGCGTCTCGCAGCAACGCCAGAAGCAGCTGCAGCAGCAGAAGCAGCAGCAAAAAGCGTCCTTGCGGCCTTATGTGCAGCTGCACATAAGGCTACGGGAAGCCACTCAGGATCTAGAGAGCCTGCAGCAAGCTGCCTGTTACGCCACGTACATTTGTGTGGCCTAAGGTTCAGTGATCCCCTCACCTGAACATCCCAGTGCTGAATGCTGAGCGCCTCTCGCCAGTACACCCTCAGACTTCTCGCGAATTCACCTGCATACCAAACAACACGCCGTTTTGCCACTGTTGCCGCAGCAGCAGCGAGAGCAGCCGGGCAGAAGAGCACCTGCCTTCCTGCGATTCTCGAAGACTCTGGACTGTAGTGTGCTGGCAATGGCCTTAGAATGGCAGTGCCTTTCGGGGAAGAGGGAGCATGCATACATACATACATGGCAGTTCGCCGGTATGAGGCAACGCTGCAGCAACCACCTTCATTGGTCCTGCAGCTACGAATAGCGAGCTACAGCTGCATCAGAACACAAACTCCTGGATACAGTCTACCCATGCACAGTGCGGCTTCCCACCACAAGCCCTACAAAATTTCAGTTTAAGGCCAGACACCTCCCCCTCTCCGAGGCACTAGACTTCCACAACCCCCCAACGCGGAACACACACTTCTGATCGGAGTCTATCGAGTTCATACACTTCAGGGAAGCACAGTCTGAGCCAGCCGCAAAAATAAGCTTCAGGGATCGACGAGCATGCGGATTAATGCGGACGCACTTTATATGGCCTGTCCTCTCGAATACCCATACACGGCAACTTTCGCTGAGCCGTACATACACCCGAATTATACCCTAAATCTCTGCAGCCCCTAACGCCTCACGGCTAAAAGGAACCAAAACTCAGGCTTCAAGGCCCCCCTAGCAAGGCACCGAAGTCTGGGAAACAAAACGCAGAGGCTTTCTCGAGGCTTAGAGAATCTGCGAGGCGGTTTGGACCCCACCGTGGCAGTTCGTCGAGAATTGAAGGTGGCAGAGACTCACAGCAGCCGAACGGCTGCTGCGCCTCTACGCTGTATGCTGTAAGGTCCCCATACATCGCAGCAAGGGGTTCTGCGAAACAAACACCCGAGCAAACAAACACACAAACACAGACACATACAAGCAAACACATAGGCTGGATGTAAGTGGCATCGTTTTTCACGTGCATGCGGTCTTTTGTTTTTGTAAAAACCCAAAGCTGCCAATCTTCTCCAGCACCGAGACATGCGGCCCTTCAGACTCGACAGCCTTACACCTATTTGCCTCTTACCGTTAGAGACAACTGTAAGCCCTGGAGGAGCTGCAACGGTGAGTTGGACCGTCATCTGCAGGCGATGCCATGCCGCAAGGCGCAATCGATGACTCATGGGAATGCATGGCATCCATGAAGATACACCCTAAACGCCTCACGCCGAGACACTTGAATGCCTCACCTTGCCGTTTTGGCTATCGATGCACGGCAACAAGGTTCTTCCTTCAAACGGCTGCAGCATGGTGCAGAAAAATGGTCCGCCTTCCTCCCCCAGCAAGCAGCAGCGGAGGCCTCCTCCCTCTGCATGAGCACAATGCGCACACACCCTGCCTGATCGCTGGAAGCGACAGCCTTGCTCTGCTAAACCGACTTGGAAATGCCTTCAAACAGCGCTAAAAAAGAAACCAGCAGCACTTGTAAGAAGCAAGACGGAGCATAAACTTAGCGGCAGCAGCGGCGCCAGCAAGCAAGCTCACCGGCTAGGGCATATGCATTGACAAAGTGGATGTACAGCTGATTGGTGCCATGCCGAAGCATATCCCCAGGAATACGCAGCAGGTGGCCTCTCCAAGTCACGGGCTGGTGCAGACCTTCAAACAGAGAAACTGCGATCGCAACAGCGAAGCTGACAAGCGCACCGCGGATCTGAACATTTTACTAGTCGTATGAACAGTGCTCACCCCTATTGGCAGTGCCTTTGAAACTGAAGAATTAGGCTCGAAAAGGCAGGACTAACGTCTTTCTGTGGGGCGTCCATCTGCGCCAACGGGCCTGCCGTTAATGGAAATCCTTTGGAGCACCCCGCCAGAGAAGTTCAGAAACACGTCTTCTCTCTGGCTGTGCGCCTGCTGTAGCACCAACTGCAGCAGGAGCTCTCCGCTGTATCTGCAGCAACTGCTGCTGCTGCTTCCGGTGCTGTTGCTGCCCAGCAACAAGAGCAATGAGCAGTGCGCCTCATAGACGTGCCTGTTCAAGCCCTCGTGCTCTCCCTCGTCGTCTGTCTCACCCTGCGGCGCAGAGGGGGTGTCACAGCGGGAACACTGAAAAAGATATGAAATGTATCCTCAGAAGCCCGCGCGCGAAGGAGCTTAGGACGAGAGGCTTTGGGGGAGCACCTTTTAGAGCATGCTTTTATGTTGCGATCATGGATCTAGGGTGAAGCTTTGAGATTACTTCGTCTTCCTGCATCCACAAGGGTTGCGGAGCTTCATTGTTGCTTCTCAAGGCTAAGCCCCAAACCCGAGAGGCCAAAACAAAGGCCGCGCCGGCGGTACAAGCCCATTGCAGCGCACTCTCCAGCACCATCCCTCCATATATGCCCCCTTTTCGTTTTGAATTCCAGTGATGCAGATTTGAAGGGATGCACAATGAGGAGGCTCCAGGCACACAGCCCCTCTCTTAGAAGCCCAAATACACATAAATTAAGCTGTTCAGACAGGGGCTAGCCCCTCAATCGTCATTCATACACCGTGAATCATCCAACCCAGGACTCTGTGCCAGAGGCCTCGGTGGGATGCAATAATCACATTGATTGAAGGTATGCTGAAGCGTAGAGTCCAATAAATGCCTTCTAAATAGCTTTATTTTAAACCCAACACCTGTAGTTTGGCTATTTCTCTGGAGCCTTGTCGCTGTTGCGCGAAGAGCGAAGCAGTGTCTGTCAGGCATGGGTGAGGGTCCCGCACACCCAACCCTGAACCCTCGAGGTGACCCTTAACTTCCTGATCAAAAACGCAATTTTTGATATCGTAAATGCGAAAACAAAAGCTATATACCGTTTTGATCGTATTGCGTTGGCTATTTCCGGCCAAAGGCTTGCGCTCGCCTGAACAAAAGCCGTGCGGTCGAGAGCCCGTCGGCATGAGGGTCACGTCCTGTCGCCCCCCCTCCATGAAAACGATGCGCACAAAACCTTCACCCAATAGTCCTCCGCCGTCAACTCCGAAATTCCCGCTTAAGATCCCACTTCTGTGGCTGTAGAAGATGATGCACTCGCTCATCTATCCGGCAGTAGGCTGTAAAGTCAAGAGTTAACGATTTAGACCGAAGCCCGCTTCTGAGCAGCAGATGCAGCCCCAAACACACACAAAAACCCCAAGGCTGCGCCATATTGAAGAAAATATGTAAAAGCGCTTTTACTGACCAGTCTGCATGCTTACTGTAGCCCGTAGCTCGGCTACCCAATGTGCTTCAACATAGCAAAATCATATCGATCAAGTGCCCTAGGAGGCTCGCCGTGACTTCCTGAGTTTACTCTCCCCCACATAGTCTAGCAGCCTTAAGCTCCAACCCGCAAATCACGAGCCCTAGAGCTCAGTTCCGAAATTCTTTATTCCTAAACCCGTCGCCAAATTCCCCTAGTTCCACGCGCTCACGCCTACGGTATGTGCCTCTTGACTTACGGCGACAACTGCCGACTCCCCATTCCAAAATTTAGATCGACGCTCGTTAGAACCAGACTCAAAAAGAGCGCCACGTGCAATGCAGCACCCTTCCAGGGGTCCTCCACCTTTAGGAGGCCCCTGGGAACCTCCCGGCTTCTCCAATGGCCAGAGCACCACCGAGTACAGCTTTTATCCGCCTCACTATGAGTCGACCAGTCACCCGACAGCCAACCTAGCCAGCTCCGCTGCTAGTTACTCTGGGAGTCGCACAACTAGCCGCGCAGCTAGCTACGGGAGAGGACAGGAAAGCTCAAGAGAGTCAGACTCTTACCCATGGGAAACCCAGAGTTGGCGTTGGGAGGGCCCTCATGGCCAGCCCCCTGAAAGCCCCCCAAAGCCAGGCTACATTGTGAGCCAGGCGCGAAGACGGGCAGATAACTCTACAGCAGCTGACATCAGGCGGCAGCAGCGGCCATGGCAAACGGAATCCCCCAAGGATCTCCCAAGAAGACGATCAAGTGCCGCGCAAGAATTCCTAAGGCAACAGCGACAGCACCAACAGCAGAAGCAGCAGCCCCAACAACAACGCGGTAAGTACATGGCTTCCACGTATACTGGTAAAGCTGGAATCTCAGCAAGTGCAGCAGCAAAACACGCACAAAAAGCAGCAGCACTCAACAGCAGCCTTGAGGAAGTGCAGCGAACGCTCCAACGAGCGATTCAGAAGTGTAGTCTGAAGCACCAACAGCAGCAGCCACAGCAGCACGAGCAGCCGAGGCCACAGGAGCAGCATGTTGGACCTCTCCCCCCTGCTGCTGCCAGCCGCAGCGAAGCAGATGTACGACACGATGAAGTCTACAGGCAGCTCCTTAATCACGGCGGAAAACATGGCGGGATAGCGCCTTTGACCAAAAGCTCTCCTCAGCACCATCCGCAACAGCCGCAGTCTCTGATGATTGAAGGGACGTTTACCGCCACTTGCTCGGCCTCCCCTGCCAGTAGCGTTCCCCAAACTCCAGCATCGATCTGCCACAGTGCAGCAGCTGCTGCTGCTACCGGCTCCGCCCAGCAGCAGCTGCTGCTGCACAAGAAACAGACGCCTAATGAGTCAGTGCTTTTGCAGCCTTGCCTCCCTAAGGAAGCGGCGGAGAGGCCAGCAGACATCTCCGGATATCCCACAGCGCAGCAGCAACAGGAGAAGGAGCAGCATGCGGTAAAGCAACAAATCCAGCAGCAGGAGCAGCCACAGCAGCAGCAGCCGCCGATTTCCGAGGTGGCCGCCACGCCACTGTCTTCCGGCTCGCAGAAGCTAGCTGTGGAGCTTTTGCGGCGGCAGATGCTTCAGCAAGATCAGCGACGCCAGCTACAGCCACAGCATCTACAAGAAGAGCAGCAACGACGGCAGCTCATGCAGCATCAGCAGCAGAGGATGCATGAGCTTGGGCAACAGGCGGAAAAGCGACAACTCGCAACAAGTGTTCCCCCAAGGTTCTTAGGTCCCGCTGGTTTAGTCTTGTCAGAGCGCCAGTCAGTTCTGCAGCACCAGCAGGAGCGGCAGCCGCAGAAGCAGCAGCAACTGCTCTTCCAACAGCAAGAACTCCAGCAGCCGCAGCGATATTTCCAGCGGCAGCAGCAGCACCAGCAGCCGCTTCCACAATACACAATTTCATTATGTCCCTTACAGCAGGCGCAGCCACCACTGCAGCAATCGATGCGTCTGCATGCACCTGCAGCAGCAGCGTCACCCGTGCAACCAGCAGATACTGGCACACCAGGCATACGCCGGAGCATCAGTGGGCCCCTGTTGCTGCCTCTGCAGCAGCGTTTGCAAAATCCGATGGTGCTGCAGCAGCCTCAGGTGCTGGGATACCCCCCCCTCCCCTCTCAGCACAGCAGCAGCAGCAATGAACTCAACCGCAGTAGCTTCGATGCGCAGGCGTACCTGCTTCGGGTGTATCTCTTGGACAGCTGTCACCGCCTGGAAACCCTAAGAAGGTCTATCCTTGCAGAGCTCGCAAGAGACGCCTTTTCTTTCTGGTTTCTTCAAACCAAGTAAGGTTGGCGATCCAGCGCTTCAGGTTTCAGGGCAGTGGCGTCAGTTGTGCATGCCTGCAGGAGTTTTCAAATGAGAATACTGAACAGTCTGGCACTTGAGTGAGCTTTGGAGGGCCTAGATCTACGGAGGCTCGTGGTATAGGTTTGTCAGGCTTTGCGAGCGGCTTTTGCGGCTTAGGCAGCCCCAGTTGAAGGCTCTATGGGACAAAAAGGTATTGCGAGAAACGTGTCAGCTACGAAGACTGGAGCAAAAAGCTGAGGAAGCCCAGCAGAACCTCTGTGCCTATGCAGCTCAGAGGCAACATGTAACTCCTAGCCTATAAACCAACTGTTTAATGCACGAGTCAGAGAAAGAAGAAACAGGAGAACGGCTCCAGTGGGGCCGTCCGTGGGTTCCCCTGGCACCGCGAATTCAGAGGGTGGGGGATACTGTCGGGAGTTTAGAGCGTAAGAGTCAGCAGTGTGCGCTAAGGGTGCGTGCGCTTCAAAGGCTCAAGTGGACTCCCGGGTGGGGTTGCCCACCTCAAGTGGTCTGGCTTCCGAGGTTGTGGAGGATATGCAGCGGCAGGTGCTACACCAGGCAAACAGACTCAGAATATACAAAATCAGAAGAGGAGTAAGCTCAAGGCTTCCCGTACAGGGTGTGTTGCATAGGTGCTACGAGGCCCTCTGTCGGAATGCTGACTCCGGATGAATGCGGCTTGAATGTGCAAGATTCGGGCAGCATTTGCACGTGTGGCTTGGGCTGTCCCTTCAGGCTGCTTTAGGTGGTGTGATACTTCAGCAGCTGCTGAGAAGGCTAGCAGTAAAGCAGCAACAGGATACTATGATGCGATTAAGGAATGGAGGCCCCTCGGAAACGCAGCTACTGAACCTGGCTGTGCAGATGCTGCCCAAGTAAGCGCCGCGGCTGCGGCTACAGCAGCAAATGCAGCATCAGGCACCGCAAACACAACAGCTTGAAGCCGCAAGCCTGGCTGCGCACTGGGTGTTGCGGGAGCAGCTTGTAGGAATCTCGTGGCTGCAGTCTTTAGCTAATTTTGCGATCTAGAACGCGTTAGGGGACCATAGCGTGGCTCTCATGTGCTGCTCCTCTGCTGTTTTCTAGGCTGTTACCTCCTGACTGGAGGGAGCTGGAGGTCGCTGAACAGGCTCAGAGGCTGCACAAAGAATATTCGTTTATACTAACCCCCACGCGACAGCACCTGGCTAGCTGCAGCGCCCTGCTGCAGATGCATCGGTTAGCCGTCGCCAGCAGCAACCACAGGATTCTCGTCACCGAAAAACAAAATCAGAGGATGTAAGCCCCGTACCCTATAATTAAAAGCGTGGCACCCTGACACACCACTACGAAAGCGGGAAGGCCCTTTTCAAATGCTTCAGCCCTAAATGTTCCTCAACTACTTCGGTTCAAGGTGCGCTGGGTTTTGGCATGCGCTGAGCAGGATAGCTGCGTTTGCTTCTCTTGCTACTTGGGTGTCTGGCCATCGGCGGCTCCAGTTGCTTGACGCCTTTGGTCGCATGCGCTTTGCTGCTGCACTGTTTGGGGCTTTGAAACAGGAGACTATAGCAGCAGAAGAACGGGTGTCAAGAGCCCGGCAAACAGCGCAGGCTGAGATCTGGTCCCTGCTGCAGCAGCAGGGCAGATGCAGCACAGTTGCCGCTGGAGCTGCTAGCAACACTGTAGGTACACTTGCGGCAGCACAGGGAGTTAACCTTTGCAAGGCCAATCTGCAGTCACTCTTGAGCCCGAGTGCGACACACCAGAGTCCCCGTCAGAGCCCTCAGCAGCAACAACAACACCAAGAGCAGCCACCAGCGCTGCAGCTGCCACATGCCCCTTTAGCTACACAGCTTCGGGCTGCTACCATGACTTCCCGACCATGTAGCGCTTGCAGCCCCTTGCAACAACAGCGGGAGGTACACCGCATCCGTTGCCACACCGCCAGCAGCGGCTGTCACTGCCGCCGTTTAAAATGTGATAGTAGCTGCAGTAGCTCCAGAAGCAGCACCCACGACGTACAGGAGGTCCATATCATATCTCAGTCATCAATACATCCCGATAGCCCGGTGATCTCTTTCCCCAACAGTCCCCGTTTAGAGCATACACAGCAGCAGCGGCGCAAGAAAGAGCGCTGCTGTCGCTGCCACTGCCGTAAACACAAGCCACGAACTACGGCTGCGACCAGAGCAGTGATGCGGCAGGCTCATACTGGTCCAGCAGTGGCTGGTACGCCGAATATCCCCACAAGTGATGATCAACAACTGCAACGGCAGCAGCAGTTACTACTGCAGCATATGGAGCAACGTCATCAAAAGCAGGAGCTGCTGTTGCAGCAGCAGCGACTGCAGCTAGAATCACTTAACAGTGGTCTCACCAATACAGCGTACTACACAGAGGGGTCCCCGCTGCTCCCGCGTAGAGCAACAGGGGCAGCGGCACTTGCTGCTGCTTCTGTTACTATTCCAGCTGCAGCAGGATACTCTGCAATAGAAGAAGCATCAATAACTCCTCGAGAGGAAAGCGCTGATATGACTCCCAGATCACAGACTCCACAGTCCGGTTCACATTATTCAAATGAGCTGCAGCAAACGGAGCTGCGTCAACAGCGACTCAAGGTGCCACTGCGAAACCCCCCACAGACACCAAAAAGTCCGTCTCCTCAAAGCGGCCACCGCAATTCTCTGCAACAAAAGCGGCTGCAACATCTTCACGAACCCCCGAAACAAGCAGTTCACGTCGTCAGTCGGTCGTGCTCTTCCTTGTCAAGTACACTAGCTAGTTAACGAACGCAACTAGCTAGGGATTCACAGCTCCGAAAGACGAGAGCTTCGCTTTCCTTTCTAAGTGTCTGGTTACATGCAGTGGTGCTGAATAGCTCTTCATAGTGGTAATTGCTCCTGCGAAGCAAGTGACTATGACGGTCCACCCTCGATGGGTTTTCAAGCCTTTTGCTACCGCCAAAAGACTTGTTGAGGAAAGTCTGCCGGTACAGGATAGGTTCCATCAATACTAACGCGATAAGGGGTAACGCTTTCAAGCAAAAGCCGCTTAATCCTGAGAGAAACCACGACGAAACCCTAAGTGCCAGTGCGATAGAATACCATTGCCTTTGATACACTCCCTAAATACCGCTATTCAGATCCAGCGCAAGTACTAGTTCTAGTCGAAAACCATGCGCTCCATACCCGACGCATTGTGTACATCATGCCAAAAACCCTCATGCTACGCCATTGTGAATCATAACTCTCGAATTTAAGCATTTAGGTGTTCGCACTTAGACCGAAATTGAGCAGTAGCTCGTCATTTTCTTCGTCTGAGGTAACGAAAAAGTCTGCGCCATTGTTCTCTGGCACACTGTTCAAGAAATCTAGAACTGCGCCACTGTGTGTGACCGTTGCGGAATCTTTGAGGTTTCCCTGTAACTTTATGTATTCCCGGTTATCATCCTCCACCTTGAACCCGTATTTTGTTGCATATCCAGTGGTAATTACAAACTTAAGCAAACACCAAGAGTTTACCGTTGTTGACGTTGGTGGGGCTTGTTGTGCCTTCTCTTCTGCTTCGGGAATTCTAGCTGCTAAAAGCCGATCGCAAAATAAGTGCGTAGACCATCGCTATTTTTTTGTACCGCTGTTTCCCCTTACACTTGGCTATTTCGGCTTCCAGTAGCACCTTCCAAAGCTGAATAAACCAGAAGGAGGCGAGGCCTGTTTTTGCACGACGCAACAATCCGTCACATGTGCAGTCCAAGAAATTCGATTACTCCCCTTACAGCTCCATAAAGTCGCGCAATTCTGAACCAAATAATGCATTCAAATAGGCTTCAGACAAAACAATATGCAGGAATGGACTTGCCCAGAACAAGCGCTTGAATGATCGAATATTCGCCCCGTCTACGAAGGAAATGCATGATGAATGAAGCACGACAGCAGGAAAGCCGATGCGAACGAGCGATGCCTTACAGCGAATTGCGTTGTATAATTGACTAAATTCGTAAAAGAGAGAAAGCAATACCATTGGCACCAGCAACCGCCGCACAAGCGAAACGCGAAGCCGCCTCAATGCGAAGAGGCAGCAAACCCCGGAAAACATTCTGATATAACTTTTGGTAATCCCGTTGCCGCTACTTCACGGTTTTTCGTTGCCTTACTGGACTCCTGCGCCGAGACCATCCTGTTATTTTGGAATTAGACAAAAAAGATGCAAGATGCAGCTGTACATTAGGGACATGAAAGCTCTTACCTCATGATGAAAACGAAAGCAGCCACCAACCAACTGAGATGCAGCTATGATGGCGCAGAAAAGCCAATTACCATCCACCACCAGTTTTTGCATCTTCCAAATATGGAAGATAGTACACAAAAGGAGCAACTGCTTTGGCTTTTTTACATCCAGAATCGCAGACGGGGGAACGGAAAACACGGAGGAATGCAAGACACCGCGAACGATCTAGGTTCCAAGCAGCTTTAGACTAAAAATAGTTCAGCACGGGAGAATCATGGAATTGTCAAAAATGCAGTTGAATTCCATTTTGCACATGCCCTAGCATTTAAATTCATTAGAAACTTACACTTGAGCAGCTTGACAAGTAGGTGTACATACATCCTAGCAAGTGCTATACAATGATAAAGGAATATTCGTGAGTCAACGAGTGCCCTCTCACATCCACCAGTACTTTTGTGGTTCTAAGTTGCAAATTTGTTTGCCGCTGCTCAGCGAAGGGGTTTCATTAGTTGAAGCCTTTTCTTTGGTGTTCGGAGGGAAACAGCCCCATTTTCACGTTCCTTGCGCTTAAGTTTTTGGGGTGAAGGCTCTAGGGTTCAACAGCAACACATGCTATGTGACTCGCAGGGTGCTACTAATGCCCAAGTGCTTCTAAAGCAGAGTAAGCAACCAGCGTGCTCCGGCAAATTGAAAAAACGAACAGAACTATGCGACGACGGAGAGCACTGGGAAGGCACAGCATAGGCCAGAATTCCAAGCGAAAGAATGGTAAAAAAGTAAATAGATGATTCTGCGCATGGGAATGCGGCATGTTTGGCATGCTACAATCGGCTTCATTCTGCAACGGCTTCTACTGCCCGTTGCTCCAACAGATCCTCCGATGCTTTAATCGCGGCTTCCACTTGTCGTTTCTTCACTGTGATTTGCTCTGCGATGTTCTGAGAGGCACTTGCAGCCTTTCTTCTCCGCTCCTCCTCTTGACGCTCCAGTTTTGTTGTTTCTCTCAAGCAGGGCTGTTCCAAGACTTGTGAACATTTTGCATCCAGCTCCTCTCGCCGTGTTTTCATCATCTTCACAACCGATAGTTCATCACGAGCGATTCCGATTCCACTCTTCAGCTGCATACACCAACAACTCCACATTATTTTCCAACTTCAGATGTTAGCACCTCAACCGCACATCCTAGCTGGTGCGCCGTGGCGAAATCGCGAAGACCCTCAAGGCAGCTACTATACCCTTGAAGCGCAGCTCTTGGATGTGACACACACAAACCCTTACCCCTACGCTAGAAAGCATGCCTCTATGCACTCACCAGCTTTATTCGACTCTGTATCTCTTCTTCCATTTGCAGCACATCTTGCACGTCCTGCAGTCTAGACTGTAGCAGACAAAGATGCCGGCCTAACCTGGCCCTGCACAGCCCAAGCATTTGGTGAAATCCCAACAAAGCCTCGTTCCACTCCTCATCCCCCTCTGTTGGAGCCAGCCTAGGAAAGAAAGCAGCAAAGCACACACACAATACATGAAACAAGTAACGTCAAACGAGAAAACGCAAGGGATACCGGAAAAGCCCTGAGCTCGAGAACACACGATCTAAAAACGAAACTGAAACGCGCACAAAGATTGATCCAACATAGCGCCGCAATCCACGTGAGGGCCACCTTCTCACTTAACGGATGTGCAACAAAAAGATGCTGGTTTAGTTGCCGCAATAGCCAGCAAGGGAGGTGGAAAAAAGGAAAATGCTCCCTCAACTGCTGTTGCTGCCGCCATTCAGAAAAGCTAGGCCCTATTGTTTGAGATTTGTGGCGGCATCCTACTTGCATAGCTTGACTGCTGCGCTCATGAGGCCTGAAACCTCAAAGTGCTCGCTCCAAATAGCTTGGAAACCACACCCCCGTAGAAACTCTTCCTCTGTCTGCAGAGGGAGCTGCTGTACCGGCGCCCTGCTGCTGCTGCTGCTGGTAGCCGTTGAGCCTCCGCTGCTACTGCTACTGCCGCTGGCAGCTGAGGCGCCAGTGTTGCCGGTGCCTCTCCCCCTGGGAGCTGGTGCATGTGCTTCGGCGGGAGCAGCCGCTGGGGGTTTCTTACTGCCTGTGGCATGGGTGCCTCGGGGGGCCCCTGAGGAGCCACTTTGTGGGCCCCCTTTGCCTGAGGAAGCACTCGTTGGGGTGTTCGAAGCCGGTGCTGTTTTGCTGTCGCGTCCTGCAACAACAGCATGCCCATCTCCCTAATTCTCACGTTTCGTCCAATGAGACCCTCTTGGGAGCACTGAACTGGTCGAAATCTGCAAGAGTAAGCTGGAAACGGGACCGGCTTGGGAACCAAGTATCTAGGATGGAGGATTTAGCCGCAATGGCCGTAGTATTATTCATCTCCCAGTGTACATGCAAGAAACGGTTCCGTCGGAGGTCTTACCCTGAGAGTTCCCCATTGCAGCCCACCCTTCCCCCATTCACACAGCGTCTGTCGCATCTCACCTTCTCTGTCCTTTTGTTGTTGGAATGGAGGCTGTTTCTGGTGCAAAGGAGAGGCACGGGGGGGCGCTCCTGATGCGCCTCCCATCCAGCGCCCCTCCATTGGTCTGCCACAACAAAGTATGCGGTGTAGAAAGGATGATGCGAACCATAGAGTTTCGTGTTTTAGGACGAAAAGGAGCACTTACAGCGCCACGGCTACTGCGGAACTCCCTACAGAGACCCCTTTGGGGTAACTGGAAAAGAGATTAAGGCGCTAGGCAGTAATTTTACTGCTATTCCCATTACATTCGTAATCCGTTTAGCCAAAGTAATCAATGATTCACAAGGTGCTCTGAAATCAAGCCAAAGGCCCCTAGGGCATCCCGCAGAGGCGCATGCGCCACAGGCCTCGCGACAGGGCCCGTCTCAACTGAAATTCAAGAAGACAAGTGCTACACTCTAGGCCCTCAATTTTGGAGCCTTCAGTTCTTTGTTCGAAAGCCCTATGTGGGGGAAGCATGTGTAAACAAGCCCCGTTGTTTCTGTGAGGAAACTGCCCACGCCATGTGTTCGCTTGCTCAAGCCGGCACATCAGCGTGCAACCGTGAAATGCTAAGCCTCAACCCTTACCCCTGCTAAGCCCTCAGCTTATTTTCCAGGAAGCTCTTTAGGCTGAAAGAGGAGTAAACAAGCGGAACGTGTGCACAGGAGGAAGCTACAACTCCAGATGCCTCTCTTGCGTTCTGGCGCTCCAGCATCGTAGGAGACCGTTACTCGCCATTCGTGGCTCTAGTGCTGCTGCTTCTGGAGAAGCCGTAATACATGAGCCCTTTGAACTTTCTTTTCAATTATTTCGCTGCATCCACGTTTCTTCTCCTTCTTTCAAAGGGAATGACTCAACCCCCAAGCTCAAGACCCTCTAAGGCCTGTTAGGCCTGCGGTCAGGTACCGGGTGTCTTCGCCCCCCAAACCAGGCCTAATGCCGTGAAGCTTCTTCCTTGTATGCGTCAAATTCAGCAATTCTCTATGTTTTGGAGATGAGAGGGGCCTTCCGGAGGGCTTCAGGGGCCCCCAGAGGCTCCTGGGGTCTGTTGCTGTTACCCCCGTTGTTCGTGTGTCTATCAGCCTTCGCCTTTAGATATCCTCGGCAAAATGCCTTCTACCGCACTCCAGAGCATGCGCTTTCCACCCTGCAGCTTTCCGAAGAGAATGAGGGGCCCTCTCTGCCCCCAGAAGTCGCGGGAGGCAGCCCTGGGCAAGTTGTTGGGAAAGTCGGTGCTGCTATCAGCAGCGCCGACCTTCTTCAGAGTGCTAGCAGCAGCAACGCCTCGAATGCAGCCCATGCTGCTGCGCCACATGAGCGTTCGACTCGGAGCAGCACCGAAGGCGCCGTTTCGTTACATCAGTCCTTATCTTCTGTGGTGGATGATTTGTCTCTGTCTCTCAAGTCCATGAAGCAATTAGAAGTGCTGAAAGAAAAGGCCGAAGAAACGCGTCATGCCGTAGTACTCGACGTGATGGCGTTAAACCACACAATCCAGCAGGAATATGCAAACATCCAAAAGCTTCGGACCTTCGAGCAGGAGCAAGGCAAGGCCCTCAAAGCGCAACTCACGTATCTCATACCAGAAATAACGACACACAGCCATGGCAGCAATGTAGCGGCGAGCGGCACAGAAGACGCATACTTGCAAACCGAAATCGCAGCTACAGGAGTTGATGCAGGCGATAGCCGAAACAGGATATCGCCGATACACATCTCGAACAGCGCAGCCCCCACTGCCGCAACAACAGCACCGTCAGCGGCAGCAGGGGCCTCACTTGCCGCAGCTGCAGCTGTTGCTGCTGCAGTCTTTCTTCTCTGAGGTTGAAGGGCCTGCAGCTCGTTTCGCTAGGTGCCACCAATCTCGATTTTCTGCCAGCCGCCTTAAGTGAAGAAGGTGCTTTCCTGCAGTCTCAGCTCCCACGAAATAGAGGGCAGCGAGAAAAAGGAAAAGGGGGTGAATATAGAGAGCAGTGGCAAGGGGAAAGTGTCAGGCAGAAAGGGCAGCTACGTAAGGAAGGGGGGGAAGACGCCGCTGCACCAGCCTTCCCACCTGCTCTAGCGTCAAGTCTGTGAGCTGCCTTGGGCAACTCACGAACTTTGCATCGTAATTCAGAACCCGTAGTTGGTGCACGGTGTTGTGGTTCATGTTCACTCTGAAGCCTGCCAAAGTCTGCTTACAAAGTGAGGAACCTTAAAAGCCCCGGCAGTTTGATAAAAAACAGCCGATTTTTGAAGGGTGTTTCGCTTTTGTGTTTCGCTTTGGCAAATCCTCCTCGAATAATCTTTCTTTGAATTTTCCTACGGCAGCCGACGAGCGCACCATGTGCTCAGCAGCAGCAGACGGGAGCACTGCTGCGGCAAATGCTCGATGACAGCCTGCCGTTTACGTTCTCCAGCATTCTGCAACACAGGCTAAAGAGTTGCTAGGCATGCAAGTTGCCACGCGCTACCCACCATGCACCTACTTAGTTCGACACCTGCCTTTAGTGGGTGCTGTTACTCCTGGTGATGTTTACTACTCTTTCTAGAGACGCAACGCTCCTCATGCAGTTCCTAGCCAACTGGCTTTCGAGCCGGCCCCCTACAGAACGACTTCGCCCGTAATCCGCAAGCCGTCGGGTGCTGTCAGAAACTCAGAAAGCGCCGCGCAGCAACAGCATGCGAGCTGAAGCGAGGAGCTAAGAGAAGGCCCTTTTTAGCTACGGTCCATCAAGAGGAAAAACTCTAAAAAGGTGTGCATCCACCCGCTTTAGACTGCTTGGAGCTTTGAACGAGATGTTGTATGTAGCGCTTTCTCCATGGTCGCTGTGGGGGCAATCAACTGCAGGCTTCGGAAACACCTAGGAATGGACTACAACTCTTAGGAAATGAGCTTCCGCCTTCTTCCCCTGCCGTCACCCTTCAAAGTTCCCGACATGAGGAAAGACGGCTACGCATAACTGCACAACTCGAGCATGCACAATTTGTTGCATGGAGCGTTTTGCGCAGGCGTGCACAACTATTGATCTTCCTTCTTCCTGTAGCGAGCTCGCAGACCAGTGCAGTAGACAAGATGAACGGACAGATCAATGAATCAGTCATTTCTTTACCAATTTTTCAGTAAGTATACCGAATTGGTTGGGAACCCGAGGGGTCCATCTCACGTGAGCCGCACGCTTTTGAAGGATGAAGAGCACTCACCCTCCCACCTGGGCTGTACAGGCTGACGGCGCAGCATAAGGCCTGCTTCCTAAAAAGGTTAACCTGGACACGGATCACGACTACCTAGGGGATGTTACCTCTAGCATCCCTTCGGATCTTCAGGGAGACCTGAGATCTGCTGTAATGCCGAGGAAGGAAGCCACAGGGATATAATGCCATGGGCTTGGAGCCTGCTGCTTGCTTGCGCTCGTCCAGTAACAGGGGGGGAAAAGCAGTGGTGCGTCTGTGGGGGTAGAAGGTGCACTTGAAACACGCGCGAATTAGTAATGAGAGGCAAGCAGAAGTGGCGACAGGGAAGAAGGGCTGAGAGCTCATCTGTGGAGGCCAGTTGGTCATGGCGGCTCACCGGTCTGCCACATTGACAAGGAGCCCCAAAAGCCCCATTGAATATCAGTAAACGTCTACTTCGTACAAAAGGTGAAGTCCGAGCCGTACAAAAAGCGCAATCCGCAATATTGAAATGCGCAGAGCATGGAGGGGGGAACGATTCATTGCAATTGGGACAGTCGCCCTGCCATGGACGAAGCACATTGCTACTTTTGGGGTTTTTAATTTTAACCTCTGAACTCTAAATGTGATTAACTGTATGATGTTCGGAGGATGCAGCCTGTGTTTGCATTTAGGTCCGCTTCTGTCATTGCAAGCACAGGCCATCAGCTCGAAACCACTTGCAAGGCGTGCACAGCGCCGAGCTCCAGAAAGAGGTCTGCGGGTGCAACTGTTCGTTAGGAAATCATACTCTATTACCTAGGAGGCCGGAATCAGTCGTCCACGCGGGTAGTGGCGTTGGAATAGGAAGTCTCACGCGGGCGGACCATCCGTCTTCCTTCCTCGCTGCTTCACTTGCACGCTGCCGCTGCTGCTTTCTTCGGCTGCACTGCGGCGCAGAAACGCCCCGGTATACGCGCAGATCTGAGGGAGCCAGCGCAATCAGGGTCCGGTACTAACGGCAACTAAAGCGACAGTTGCATGGGCAGCGCCCTGGCCACCACGTTAACTGCATCTTCAGTAGCTGCTGCCAGTGTGCAGGAAAGGCTAAAGCTGCATCAGGCATGGTTCACGCGTAACAATTATCCTTGAAATGCAGTTTTATGGGAGTTTGGCCTCTTTGAAGGGCCCCCTTCTGTTTCTTGTGGTACTCCCAGCTGTGGCAGCGACAGCCCATTCACTACACTACGGCGATGCAGTAGGAACTACAGAAGCAGAGGCCTCTCCGCAAGTGGCTGTGGCAGAAACGGCGCTAACCTCCGCGGCAGTGGCTCTAGATGCGTACAGTGCATCATCTTCGACTAAGCTTCTCGAAAAGAAGTTCAGGAAACACCTCAAGGGGCTTACACAGCTGCGCACGGATTCAGAACCACCGACCACACTAGGATTAGGAGATACGGCAGAAGACAGTGCAACAGATGAAGATTTCGGGGCGACTTCACCTTCGGATGCTGTTGCATCAGGAGATCAGCAGTCGTCATTAAGAGCGAGGAAGCAACCGACGCCAAGGTGGAAGATCCGAGCGAGGCATCTGCGGTAAGCCGGGGCTTTGTATGCGATTTGGGTGTTCTTGAGTGTTTTTTTCCTAAAGGGGCATTTGAATTGTTCTGGACTTCCTTTTTGGCCTTTTTACGCGACCCCCAGCAGGTTTCTGTATCGCGCTGCACGTATATATCTATGTATATGCATATGTATGTATGTATATATGTAAATATATGTACTATGTATATACGCAAGCTTGTCTGCTTGTCTGCATAGTATGGACATGTAAACAGATACATGTAATAATCCATGATGGCTAAATTGTGCGCGCTGTGGCTTGTGGCTTCAGGAGTGGCGCTCCCAAGTTGGTGGGAGCCATTGTGATCCTCGTGGTGCTTTTTTGGCTAAATCGCTTTGTTCGTAATCAGCTTGGCAACATGGCGGCTCGTGCTTTTCTGGAGGAAGAAGAGTCGGAAGGAACGAAGGCATTTCAGGAGGATTTGTAGGGTCAGCCCGAAATGGAGCTGCTGCACGCATGGCGAGAGTGGGTGGCACTGCTCTGTGCTGGCTGGCTCATGGCGCTGAGTGACATCAGCGCCTTGGGCCTTGTTGGGAGACAGAGGATGTGTGACACTGTGGAGGGGCTTCCCCGCCAGCTCAGCAACCTCCGAAACAGCATAGTGGATTTCTGGCAGAAGGTGGGGGGGAGCGGTGGCTATGCTGGCATTGGCGAGAAAATTTGGAAGGCGGCCGTTGCGCCGGGTGTCTGTTGTCGGGATGAGGGGGATGAAGGGGGGAAAGGTCTCTGACTGGTCAGTGCCGTCTAGACTAGTGCTCCCTCTCTCTTTATATTATGTATGTATATATATATATATATATATGGATCTGCTATCGCCTACGATGTTCGAGGAGCAGCAAAGGTCCGTGCAGGGGGTTCAAAGATTTTAAAAAGTTTTCTCTGAAAAGTGCTTCAGAGAGAATTCAAGACGCGCAGGGGGAGGGCCAGCACCCGTGCACAGAGTGGCCTCCTAGCGGGAATAGGGGAGAATCGAGATGAAGCCTCAGGCGGCCCCTTACTTGGTCGAGCTTTGTTCAAGAATCAGTAAAGAACCTGGAAGGCGTATTATCTTGTGGGGCCAGCTATCTGTAAAATCCCCTGATGAACAAGGAAGGCGATGGACTGCCCGAATGGGGCCTTGTTTGGATGTGTGTAAGTGTGTTAGTCCATTCGGCTTCCGATGCAACGCAATAGACAATGCGGGGTTTTTTGCTTAGGGGATGTGCAGGAATGCCGAATTTTGGCTCCAAGCCTTAATTGAGGAACACATCAAAAAGGAACCGAGAGAAAGCCTCCTTACGATGGGGTAAATACATGTGTGTGTGCGTCTTCGAAGGTGGGGAGGGAAAGCTTAGAGGGGAGAGAGAGAAAGAGAGAGAATAGCTTAGCGCCGGCGAGCAGTATGCATACGCCAACGCGCACAGTCGCATGCATACATCCACACAAAACACTTGATTATGCTACAAAATTTAACGTGAAGACCCCGACTGCTCGGGTTAGCACACCTCGGTGTAGATAGACGCGGGGGAAAAGCGGATAGAGACGCACAGACTGCGCCTTCCTCCCTTGGCTAGAGCAGCCCTGCCGGCTCCAGTAGCAATTCAAGCCGCAGTCGCGTCGTTTCAAGCGTTCTTGCTGCTGCAATTGTTCCCGCTGCTGGAGCTCAAGGGGCAGCTTCCATCAGGACAGGCCCAGTGCCTTCAGATCGGCAGCGCTCTCATCGCTGCTGCTGCCGCAACAGCACACAGTGCTGCTGCATGCGTAGCAATGCGCTGTTTTTCCGTGTAGCTTGATCTCGGTTGTACGCTTTCCGATAGTCACGCATACGCGATCCACTTCCACCCACACATCGCGTAACCCCGTGCTGCTGTTGTCTTTCGCTTGGCTGCCCTGCTTGCCAACGACACTTCTGTTGTTGCTGCTCGTGCGGAGGCTGCTGGTCTTGCCGCTGCAACACTGCTGCTGGAGCGTTTCTAGCCCCTGCCCTTCAGCCAGCAGGAACCACCCCCCCTTGGAGCTACTTGTGCTCCCGTTGCTGCATTTGGAGTCAGTTTCTTGATCCGCAAACTGCTTGAGAAACTCAATGGTCGGGGTCACCACCTGCGAAACACAAAGCACATGAAATTCTGCCCACTCCAAAGTTTCTGGCACCTGCTGAACACTGCACTTGCCGATGTGCGCCCTGCCATCGGAGTCTGCGTGGCTGTTTCCCATTCGAGGAAGCAGCCGAGGCACCAGAAACTGAGCCTGTCTGCAATGGCAGTCCATCGAACCGCGCAGCTACGCGCAAAAACAGCGTGTCTTGCCCGCAGTGAGCACGACACGGGTTAGCGGCAACGCAGCAGGGCGAAGAAGAAGCGGCAGCAGCAGCAAGATCACCGGCTAACCAATGAGGTGGCAGCGAGGGAGACATGAGGCTTCAAAGGCCTCCAAAACGGTAAAAATCCAAACGCCGAAACGACCGAGTCTACTGCAGCGAACAGCTCCTCGAGCTTTTCCACACAAAGCCACACCCCACAGCACTCCTTCGCAGCCTTGCGTGCTATATTTTAAAAGGAAGCGGGCACGTAGAACGAAGGCTGGCTGCATCCTTTGTGTGTGGCTCTTCCTTCCCTGGGGTTCTCACGCTGCTTACCTGCTGTCGTTTGGTGCTCGGTGTTTGCGCGGGGAGGGACGCGAAAAGCCTCGAGTTATCCTCGTTGGTCAGGAAGCAAAGCGAAGACGCACTTAGGACTAGCGAAAAGCTGAACGCAAAAATCCCGAGCCATGATTCGTAGATCCTCTGTACATACAGCCCAGCGAGGCCAGGGTGACTCGCCCACAGGTGTGTTCATGCTGCGGTAGAGGACAGGCTGCTGCTACTCCTGCTGCTTAATGGGGTGAATTCCACGCGCAGGAACTTTAAATTTAGGGCTTTAGCACCTTTGAATATTTCTAAGGGCTTTACGGAGGGCTGCAACAAAGGCCTCCAGCAGGTGGTCTTGCAGCAGCAGAAGTCGGGATAAGCTTAAATGCGCATACTCCTGAGGATCACTAGTATCAGCATGTGTACACTGCTTCTTGTTTCCCCCCGCTGATGCCGCAGTCCCTAGGCGCAGATACCAAGGCTGCACGCGCAACAGCTGCTGCTCTTCGAGCTGCTGTTGTTGATGGCGGGCATGCTGTTGCTGCTTTAGAACGCGGCAAACTACAGAATCGAGACAGTCGACACACATTTGAGTTTGCTTCTTTAGTTTGCTGCCCTTCACTGCAACACACAAACAGCCAAGGGCCGCCTTCAAATACACAACAGAATTCCCAGCAACAGTGCTTCTACTGGGAATCTTTCCCGCAGTAGCAGCCCTCCCCCCCCGACCACCACCTCCACGATGGATGCTGCATTTAAGGGGGATCCAGTATTATTCAAAGATTTATTCTGAGCAAACGCGTCAGTATCAGACCCGGGATAAAGACGAACGACGCAAAAAGTCCCTCCGTGTGCGGGATGCGCCGCTTGCGACCCCAGTACATGAAATCTGAGAAACACGAAAACCACCAACCCTGAGTTTGCACATGAATTCACAATCGAATCTCCACGCTACACTGAAGGGGATGATGATGAGGCCTCGCCATTTCTCTCTCGCTCTCAGCTTTACCGCCGCTAGGAGCCAGTGGCGGAAGGGGCTAGGAATCTGAACTTTCATCATGACCAAGTCGAAGCATCTTTTGATAAAGCCGCTGCTGCCGCCGCTGACGGGAACCCCAACCCTGAAAAGCCGGCATAGTGTACCTGATGCGGCTGCTTCGGAGTCGCACGGCTCCATGGGCAAGGAGCGTTCAGAATGCCGAGGACTGGCTGCCATTCGCTTCCGCAACACGCACGAACTCCTCTCTCGATACCTTCTAGAACTGGCCATCTAATTTCTACTTTTTACTTCCTACGCTTCATGAAGAAGCTCGTTTCAATGCCTGCCGCCCCCAGCCGAAGCCCGACAACGAATGTCCACCATTGATGTGTAAAGGGTTCTACGGTGGATTCTGCATACAGCGAGGCCAAACGCAAGCAAAATGGCGCATGCAGAGCTAACTGCGAAAGCGTAGTATTTGTGTGTGTCGTGTGTGTATATCTCCTGGGGCGAAAGGAGGAGGGGGAAGGGGCCTCTCGAGGGGCCCCCAATCGGTTTCTGCAGCGAGAGGTACAGCAGTCAGCGAAGGGCCCCCTGCAAGGTGCTGCAGAGGCTCAAGCAGCAAGGGCCTTATGAGTGCAGCTAAATTGCAGCAGCCTCAGAAACACCTTACTTTATACCGTAAAATTTGCGTGTGAGCTTGCGCCGATACCAGGGGTCTTTGCACCGGCTTAGCCGGAGAAGCACATAGCCCGCTGATTCCTGGCACGTTTGGAAGTTTTTGACTTTGATTTTTTGCCCGTGAGCGTGTTTCTGGAGGAGTTTACACTCAAAACCTTCGCTGCAGAAACAGACACCATGGGTAAGCTTGAGCCGTTGAGAGCACCCCCGTTGGCGGCAAAGCGAAAATCCGAGGCCTCTACAGAAACGGCTGCCCACCAACCCTCGGTGCCAGCCTTCGTGTTTGCCTCCACGCGCTGTGTAATTTTGCGCAAGTATGTGTATGTGTAAGTATGTGTATGTGTAAGTATGTGTAAGTATGAATATGTGCAAGTATGTGTATGTGTAAGTATGTGTGTGTGTAAGTATGTGTATGTGTAAGTATGTGTATGTGCAAGTATGTGTATGTGCAAGTATGTGTATGTGCAAGTATGTGTATGTGCAAGTATGTGTATGTGCAAGTATGTGTATGTGCAAGTATGTGTATGTGTAAGTATGTAAGTATGTGTATCTGTATACACGTCTACGTTGGGTATATCTGTGGATCTGCCTCTCTGCTCAGCTCTTCCCCAAGAAAGCCTGCCGCAGCAGGCTGTCGTTAGAGTGCTGCCGTTCGTGCAGCGGTATGCGTGGGGATGCCCAGCAGACACCGCAGTTGTTGCGGCCCTTGCGAAGCGCACAAAAGGCTGCATCAACTATGATGCACAGGAAGAGGCGTCTCGGGAGCAGCAAGGAGGATCCACAGACTCCCGTCCTTTCGCGGAGTTGTGGATAGGAACGCATCCTAATGGCTGTGCATACGTCATGCCCGTGGAGGCGGATGCCTTTCTATCGAGGGGCCCCCAAAGGCAAGTCACTGCACCGGTGTGCCCCCCTCTCTCGCTGATGGAGCATTTGCAGCAGCAACATACGCGGCAGGAGAAGCAACAACATACGCAGCAGGAGAAGCAACAACATACGCAGCAGGAGAAGCAACAACATGCACAGCAGGAGAAGCAACAACATACGCAGCAGGAGAAGCAAAGAGAGGCTTCTGGCCTGCCGTTTCTGCTGAAGGTTCTCTCCGTTGCGACTCCGCTTTCATTGCAGTCACACCCAGACAGAGCTTTGGCTGCACGGCTGCATGCGGAGCAGCCGCTGGAGTACCGTGATGCAAATCATAAACCTGAGATGGCGATCGCGATTGGGGAGTTTGCAGCTCTCGCAGGCTTCAGACAGCCAGCGGCAGTCGCTGCACTGCTGCAACAAACTCCAGAACTGAGACAGGCACTTGGTCAGCAATTTATGCAGTCTGATGTCGGTCGGAAGTTTCAAACGCTCCCGCAGCAGCAGCACCAGGACGGAAAGGAAGCAGCTCATATGCTCAAGGCTGCATTCGCTGCCCTGTTGCAGATCGACCTTGAGCAGAACCAGCAGGCACACAGTCGGATTCGAGAGCAGCAAGCCGCTCTCAAAGACTTGCATGCGCGACTTCTGAAGGAGCCGCCTCCAGACCCCACAAGAGCGTCGCAGCCACAGCTGCAGCAAGAAGCGGAGTGGGTAGCTCTGCAGCTTTTGCAGGCGTATCCAGCCGACATTGGCTGCTTTGCTGCCTTCTTCTTGAACTTGGTCTTGCTGAAGGACGGGGAGGCGCTCTTCATTCCTCCGAATTACTTGCACTGCTACCTCAAAGGTCAGATTCGCTGCTGCTGCTAATGGACGGCCTTGCTCGAAGTCGAAGCGAGGCAGAGCCGAGGATGGCTCGCCGTGCTGCATGGCGCTGTGCGTGCACTTCCTCTGGAGAGAGCCGTCTCCTGTACCTTCCCGCTGCGACACACACAGCCTTCTGTCGCTGCTGCTGCTCCTTCGGGGACTGCTGCTGCTGCGGTTCTGCAGGGCACTGCGTAGAACTGATGGCGACTTCAGACAATGTCATTAGGGGCGGTCTGACTTCCAAGAAAGTAGACGCTCCGCTGCTGCTGCAATCTCTAGACTTCTCTCCTCTGCTGCAAGCTCCTGCTCGCACTTTCCCGGCAGCTATGCCACAAGGCGCGGAAGAGCAGCTTACCCTGCTGCGGCGCCTCTGCATGCCCCCAACAGACTCTAGCCCGCAAGAGCAGCAACAAGTGCAGCAACAAGAGCAGCAACAAGAGCAGCAACAAGTGCAACAGCAACAAGAGCAGTGCTGCTTGTATCATCCACCCCTCTGGCGCTTCCCGGAGTTCTGTACTGCGCGCGTTTCTCTGCCGCTCGGCTGCTCAGTCTGTGCCGACCCTAAATGCTTAAGCCTCCGGACGTTTCCTAAATAGCTTTTTCGACGTCGCCTGTAGATAAGAATCCGACAGAGAGAAAGAGAGAGAGGATTGACCACCTGCGCGTGCCTGCCTGCCACTGCTGCGCTGTTTCTCTGCAGCGTTCCTTGGAGCTTCTGCACCGAACTCCAGGTGTATTGCTTGTCCTTTGGGCGCCTTTTCGCGCGGCTATGCGCATACACTCGAAATCGCACGAGGTTGCTGTCTGTCTCCGCACTGGAGACATCTTTTACATTGCTGCTGAGGCAACCGTAGTCTTGGTAAGTGGACGGGCAGTCTCTCGGCTGCGTCTCTTTTTACCCTCCTCTGCAGCCTTTTCGTTCCCCCTCCGTGCGGCACCAACGGCGCGGAGTGTCTGCAGCCTTCCTGAAACACAAGTGCGCTCTTCGCAGTCTACCGATTTGCGGCCTTCAGGACTGCACACAGCTCGAAGCTGAAGATGGCGTTAAAAATCCGACACAGAGAGAAACAGCCAGAGACGGTCTGGCGAAGCTGCTGTTGCAGCACGACAATCCAGAACCGAACAGGCACAACCTGCTGGCCTTCCTTGTCACTGGAGGAATAACTGAACACCTGCTACAGTGATCTGTGACGGTCTCTGTGTCTCTTTCTCTCTCGCGCGCGCCCTCGCTTTCCATTTTAAAAAAGTATTGCCTATTTCTGTCAGCCGCCGCTTCGTGGCCTCTTCCACTGTCTTCGCCTAACGTGTTTCTGCGAGGGGTTTATTTGTCTCGCTGTGCTATGTACTGCGTGCACCTCTCTCTATGTATCTCTCGGTGCCTCTCTTTGTCACTTTTCAATTGCGGAGAGAGCCTAACTGAACTCTACGCAACACGCTAGACACACTAGACACACATAGATAAGGCCAAGCGAATTCTTTCGCGTCATCGCGTTTGCGACGGACTCCGAAACGCTGGCATTCGGCGCAGGCCTCCCTTCCTTCTTGTGGCGCTATGCTTACGCCCACGCATATTTATAAGTGGTGCGAAACAGAGTTCGTGTTTTCCTCCGAAAATTTCAGAGTCTAGCACCCAAGACAGTATTCCCATAGACTTCAGAACCTGCAAAAATCCTTAAGAAGGCCGTATAACGCTGCCTTCGCTTTCATCACGTTTCTCTCCCCTAATTTCCCTGTGGCATGGCTCTTGCGCCGTCTACGGCAGAAGCCAGGCACCACGTCCTTCCTCCTTGCATGCGTCATACTTGCATGCGTCATACCCTTGCTTCCCCGTTGAACCTCTTCACTCTTCGAAGGCATCATTATCTTCGCCCTCAAATCCAGCCTCCTGGTCGTCATCTGTGTCCGTAGAAGAATCCTCCTCTCCATGTTGTGAGGTTTGACTTCTAGCCTTCAAGAATTTCATCACTACAATCAGCACCAGTCCAATTATAGAAACTGTCAGCGCCATTATGGGAACCCAGAGGCCCAGAGTTGCACCACTCGCTAAAATCATAATTCCGACAAGACCCAAGAGTATAAGACCAATCAGCAAGCGCTTCCCCTTTTTGTGACGTCCGTTATGTACACCTTCCCCCTCTGACTGCAGCAGGGAAGAAGAAGCTCCCTGAACACGCAAAAGCTTTCCAAAATAGGGCTGCTCCGCGGCAACGAGACGGCGGACTGGCGATGAAAACGCAGGGGTGCCTCTCCTTTTGCTCAGTTGCACTAATGCCGTAGCCGCCAGCACCCCATCAGCCGCGTTCCCTCCTCTCTTTCGGGCTCTCTTGGCTTCTTTCTTGGCTGCTTTCTTGGCTGCTTTCTTGGCTGCTTTCTTCGCCTTCCTCTTCACCTTGCTCAGCGCCGCTTTCTTTCTGCTAAAATAGGATTTTAGCAGCGCTTTCACCAGTTCGCCTTCCAGCCGAGCACTCGCTTTGTCCCCTGATAAAACGACTTCACGAACAAATGCCTTCACGAATTCGGCCCAAGCCATGGATCCAGGGTACAACCCCAAGAAGGGGAGAACAGAAGCATTTCTTCCGCGCTCCAGTCTCGCTGCTGAGGCACTGTGGGTTCTTTTGTTTCTCTTCAAGAAGGGCAGGCAAATCTTCAAGATGAATTTCAGAAGGCCAACGAACATTTTCCGTAAGAGTTTGTTTCTGGCAAGCACCCGCTTGAACCGGGAAGTTCTTTTGCCTGCTTTCTCCAAATCTGAGGAAGCGAAACGCAACAAACAACATCCAAATCCAGCGTAGAAGGATCCGGTTTTGCAGATTGTGCGTGCACAAGGCAAGAAACATAGGCTGTTGCATTTCTTCACGTGCAAAGATACGGAACGGCTTTCGCTAGAGCACATGGAATGCTTGCAACTGCCTTTGAAATTTTTCATGCAATTTTTCCAGCAATGGGTCAGAAACAGAGCTACAGGGAAAACTGGGAAGCAGACTAACAACAGTTTCACGGCTGGAAAGGCACAAAAATGGGCATGTCGGACGCAGCAGTGTTGCAATGAGAGGGCGCCACAGATCGGCTATCCCTTTGAGTTTGTTTCTCATAAACTATCTGAAGCTATGTGCTTGAGACTGTAATGCTGTCAGGCATGGACGTACACGTCGTTAACACCGTGCTGTATTCTTCACGTATTATATCGTCGAGTTCTTGCTGCATTTCCGTCCCTACCGCTTGTGAAACCTGTGTTAATACGTCTTTTTTCCCCTCAGCCATTTCGCCCAAGCCTTCTAGCATTGGTATGCCCGCGAGGAAGAGGTCTCGTACGCTTGCGTTGTACTCAGCAACTGGGTTGCCGCTCACTGAAGAAATCTTGAGAGATTTTTCGAGATGCTCAAGCAAGACCTTGTTCCTGACTTCCTCCATCTTTACCTTGTAAGGTGACCCTTTTCCAGCCGGCACGAGTACTTTGGCCTTCTTAGGGCACTGTGAAAGGTCTAAGGCACTTATCAAAACTTTGGCGAACACAGCATCCACTTGCGGTGGCTGTGCCAAGGCGTATACACCTGACATCGCTAATCCCTAAGAAATGATGCCAACGCGCAGGCAGGAGAAACAGTCGAGGCACGCAAAAGGTGAAAAAGACCATCATAAAGAAAGCCTGTTTTGTCCGTACTTCCCCCATACGGTCGGTGCAAGGTTACGCACCTGGACAGCCTTCATTTTCGTCTTCTTTCTTTTCCAGAATCTGCGCGTTACCTTCTTTGTTTTGGCTTCGAGTTGGCTATGCAAGTCGCGGACTCCACTGTAAAAGGTTCCCAAATCACTCCCACAGAAGAAACTATCTTCTTTGCCTGTTAATTTTGTTTTGGTTGCTTTTTTCGAAGCTCGTTTGCCTTTACCCTTCTTGTGCTTTTTCTCTGGCTCCTCTTCTTCTGTGATGGGATGCGTAAATCTTGAGAAGTCAAACTCGGAGGCGCGCAGGCCGAATGAAACTGAGGAGAGCAGAAACAAGCAGGGGAAAGCCAAGACAACGAAAGGATGTGGAAGAAAGGAGAGAGACTGATAAGGTGACAGTATGAGGGACATAGAGGGAAAAAAAGTGTATATTCCCGACACAGCAAGGAAACTCTAGAAAAATCAGGGAATGAGAGGAAATAACAGGGGCGCCAAGTGTCTGAGCACCTTCCTAGGACTCATTTGCCTCTTTATGCAGGCAGCTACCCACCACAGTCGAGCCAGTCGTAAAAATAACAAGGAATAGGAACAGTGCGAAGGCAGAAACAAAATAAGTGAATAAAAGCGCGCAAAGTAATACGAACAACTGGCCGCATTCAAACCTTCCCCCAGGCAAGCGCTTTGAACTGAAGAGAGCGTCCCTGTACCTATTTCTATGTTTAAAAAAAATACCTGTGGGGTCTGAGACTGTAAAGAGGGGATGAATCAAAGGCAGTGTTATGTCCTCCTCTAAGCAAACTGAAAGAAGAACAAACGGAGAAACATGATTTTCCAGCATTTGCTCCTTTCTGCATTTATTTTTTCACAATAGCCGGGCCATTCATCCCTTAAAATAACAAGGGGATGTGAATGCCTCTGGTTCGTTTCTCCTTCCCTCCCATGACGTACAACTCATATCCTAGACGTTCCCATGTCGTCCTTTTCTTTCTCAATCCCAACTAGCGTTCGCCTTTCTTCTCTCTCCTTTCCCCCTCTCCTAGCTCTGTATCCCTCTTGCTTGTTCTATGCATATATACTTACGATGCATTGGTTTGTTTGTGCATCCTTGCGCTAGCTGTTCCATAAATTGCACTGCAAGCCTTTCCAAACGCTTGCAAGCGTTTTGGAGGTTACCCTCCAACCCGGAGCACGTTGTCTTAAGGAGGGCCTCTATTTCCTGAAGAGGTTTGACTTTAATGCAGTCAAGCAAACCTGAACTCGCATATACGTGAGCAAGTAAGCAGCGCAGAATGCACAACTCAACGAGAAAACTGAATCACTAAACAGATGAACGTGGAAGACGGATTACCAACCTGTTGATAGGTTGCCTACAGGTCAGCATATACATACATATATATATATATATATTTTTCACGGAACAAAAGAGTCTCCATGCATCACACATGTTCCGTATTTTAGCAAGGCATTCTTTTGTACTTACTTTTTGCCTCCTCCGTTTGGATGAAGACTTGGATTGCTTCTTCCTTGTTCATCGTCCTTCGGAATCTTTCCATCGAAAACACTCCTCGCACGCGAGAAAAAAAATTCTACAAAAAAAGAATATGAGGAAAGTGGAGCGTCTGGTATAACTGAGAAAGAATGCAATTCAATGTCCGACTGCTGCACAGTACACACCACAAATTTGATGTACATAAGCACGCAAATACACCACATGCATCAGGCCTGCGTTTCTGCTTACACCTAGCGACATTTTCTTTTTTTTTCTTCCCTTTTTCTTTGGTTCGTCTGCCTCATCCTCCGTGGATAAGACGTCTATGCCATCGCCATCGCCAAGGACTGCCGACCCTCCCGAAAGAGCGGCACTTGATGTGGCGTGTGGACTGTCATGGGATGCTCCGTCTTGTGTGTTTTGTGCTGCCCCTGCACCTCCAGCTTCCTCAGAAGAGTCGCCCGAAGAATGATGCACTTGAGCAGTGACTGTAATAGGACCAGCTTGCGTGTCGGGGTGTTTTGACCCTTCCCCATCAGTTGGTACACCTGAAGCCTGCGCCTCCTGTGAAGAACTGGAATCATCGTCCCCCTTCCCCTGAGCATGCTGTTGACTTTGACCGGCGCTTGACGCTTCAGCTTCGCCGTGTGCCTTATCCGCATCGGCGTGACTTGATGCATGCGCTCCAGAGGCGTGTGCACTGCTGGGAGAGCCAGGCGCGGGGGAATGAGTGGGGGTTGTTTTACGGGGTGCAGGAGAGGGAACGTTCTTGTTCTTGGGGGAGTATTTCCGGGGAGTCGGGACAGGCTTCTTGGGAGGGATTCCTTTGGGACTGCCCTTAGGTTTGGGTTTAGGGCTGTTGCCCAGTTTTGTAAGTGCAGGATGTGTACTCTTGGAGCTGTCACTTTCGTCTCCACTGGAGTCATGTTTTTCAGCGTCTTTTTCTTTAGACCCGCCACTTGCCTGAGCACCTGGTGCTTTATTGCCTTGCTTATTGGAAGCATCGGCAGCACTGTCCGAATTTCCGCTGGGATTGGGACCTTGCAGCTGTAGAGAAGTTGATTCCTGTAACCAGGAGGGGTAGGCAGAGATTTGGGCACTCTCCCCTCTTAGGTTATCGGCTTTGTTTCTCCCATATTCTGTAAATACACTGTAGTCGCCAATGTTTCCTGCGGGAAGCACAAAAGTATTCTTCCTGGGCGAGATCAGGCCCTCTGCAGCTCCAGTGGAGTCGTGGCTTGCTGCAAACAGCGCAACAAGGGGGTCCTAGGATATTGTGCACTAATCAGCAGACAATCGTTTGGGCGTAAGCAGACATGTTACTGCATGCAACAATCTGCGAAGGAGTAAACCGAGAAGACGGTGATGCAAAGGGGGATAGCTAGCAGAAACGGCAGTTTGCGTGGGCTTCTACCTATTTAGCAGGGTTCAGCCGGAGATCTATCCACGAGACATGCAGCACAAACAATGATTCGATCTATACTAAGGCACCAGTAGACGGAAAATAGTCTAGCGAAGGCCTCCACGAGCATCTAAACATGCAACCTTCCAATGGTCTTGGACTTGGGAGTTCAAAGGGCAAGCTACCTTTGGGCAACGGATTGGAGGCGTTTGTTAAGGAAGAGAGAACAAGGACCGTCAGGGCCGAGACGGCCGTTTTTAGAGAGAAGGGCTTCATCTTCGACTCATAGTTTCGTTTTGCGTTCCGTGGTGTGGGACGCACAGAAAAAGGGCTCAAGGTGGCCCTTTCTCACTAGGGAATTTCATGAGGATCAACACCCAGACTACTCAGAAACAACCGATATAAGTGACTGCACAATATTTCTATGGACACGCTTAGAAGAGAAGGCGTGGACGCCCCAATACAAAGGACCGCACGGTAACTCTCGGGGAACGAGCAACGGCTCTGAGATTATCCGGTTCATGAATGATCACCAGTACTTTGCCGCTAAGTTGCAAAAAATATGAACAGAAAGAAAAGTTACCCAAAAATTTTATTGTTTTTAATCAATAGGAGAGAACACCCTGCAATTTGCCTGGTTGCTCTACCGAGCCTCCCGCCTCACTGGCCTTGTCGCCTGTAGCGACAGTTGACCGATGTAGAACCACACGTCCATAGCAAGCAAGAAGACATGCTTCGTCCACATTTTTAAATGTTCGACCTTTTGTTGTGTCTTATTCATGCCATACGCTAATACCTTTTTCTTCCCTGCTTCCTGTTTTCGCATCCTCTCAACTACTGTAGATCTAGCTGGGCTTTCATTGACGAAATTCATGATGATGGACAACAGAACTGCCTCCGTGTTCTTCCGTGGCTCTCTATAAGAAAACCTCCGTGAACAGCACAATAAGTCGTCAGCTATGCCTTATAGAGCTGAACCAATAATTGTAGCTCTTCAACTAGAATCCCCATGGGGAGACAGTTTCTATAGAGCTAGCACAACACTCGCACCCGCATTGGTCTTTCTGAAAAACTGAGGGCGCCTCGTAAACACAAACACTGAAAGCACTGAAAACCCTGTAGGGCCTTCGGCTAACAAGGCACTCAGTTTGACAGTCTCACCCCTATAACGCAATACTACACAGCGCTGTGTACCCCGATAATCGGGCGAAGGTACTTTTAAGCCGAATGCCTTGACCCAGCTTGATACAGCTAAAGGCTAGTAAGGGTCATTGCTGTCCTGAGTGTCTGTCTCCATAGATTTTGGCCCCCATCTAGCGGATTAAACAAACTTTGGCACCTTCTACTACATAAGGTATATTTAAGCTGAGAACTGGTGGAGAAATGACTAATTTTCTCCCCATTTTTATACGTCTTTTCTTTCGCAAAGTAATTTGAGCTCGGTAGGTGGAGATGCGATGTTGTTTGCTTATGTGCTCGGTGCTGTGTGCTAGGAGCTGTGAATATTTGCAGTGCGTAGAGGGTGCAGCTGCGCGCACAGTAGCTGGCGCAAGCAGGAAAAAGCGGGTGTTCTCTGGTGCAGCTCTCGATTACTTTATGATGTAATTACTGCGTCCGCAGAAAAGTGTCTTCCTGCAGGGACGCCGGAGGGGCGTGACCAAGATCCTCTTAGGCCGTCCTCGATCTGTTTAAATGCACCCAATAACGAAAGTTTTCTGGATTCAGTCTACAAGTCGCTGTGAAATCACGAATTATTAGCTCCTTCGGCATCCCTCTTATGAAATTATAGGGCCTTGTCGACGTTTCCCCCAGCGTCCCAACCGAATCTTTTGAGAAAGCATGCTCCCCATTCGCTGCCCTCTTGGGCCCTTGGTAAAACATAGAAGATGCAAGCCAGTTAGTGCCGTCAAAAGACTTACTCTTACAAAAATGTGAAGCCAAATAAAAACTCTTGGAGCTTAGATCCCTGCAGGTGACCCAGTGCATTCTACAAGAGTAGAACCATCGAGAAATCTGTCTTCACGAAGCCCTACGCATTCCGACTGGCAGCTTTTGCTTTGCACAATGCCCTTTATGTAAGCCTGCGTTTCTCCTTCGAATTTCTCGGCAGACTTTTGTGAGATATTCACGGCTTCTGATCAAAATGTGTATCGCCACAACGCGCACCGAACCACCCTGACATACAGAGCATAAATTGCCTTGTGTTATTTTGCATTGATACTTGTCTAAATCGTTTGGTTGAGCGTCACACTACCGCCCGTTCTTTAGAAGGCTCGCCAAAGCCCCTTTTCTTGTAACAAGGGGACGGGAGAGGCAACTATTGCACGGCTAGCTACACAGTTTGTTCTCAAAAGAACGCCTTGCTTGTTGCCAACATCTCATTTAGTTAAGCAGCTTCGGTTATAAGGATAAGCACAACCTCGAGGTGCCCATCAAACCTTCAACAATGCCAAAATTTGGGAAGTTTTGCCGGTTGCCTCTGAAAGCAAGCAATTATTCGTTGCAACCAGGTGACCGGTACCTGTCAGACATTCCTACAATAAATAATTGGCAGAGTGTCTCTGCATCTCTAGTGTGCCCTTTCAGAGGGATGCACAAAGTTTTCCTCTGTGTATGTTTTTTTATAGTATATATACACTTGCTCTCGCGCTTCTTCTAAGCTTGCGTGAGCACCGAACTTTGCGTGAAGTGACGAGAGGGGGCTTGACCCATGGCTCTCAATGTAGCGATGCCTGCAGAGGGGGAGCTATAGTTGCGTGAGGAAAAGCGCAACCACTGCCAAGCTTCGCAGTCTAATAAGAACTATCATATCGGAAACGCAATCGCCGCCTTGGACTGGGGGTGAATCAGAGGTATGCATGTTTGCCTATAATTGCAGCCATAGGCGTGTGATGGCCCCTACACATGCCGTTAAGCTCTTGAGAGCATAGCTAAGCCCTTGGACAGGAAACCACTGCAATTACGTGGGCTAAGGGGTTTTCTTTTACCGTCCAGCCAAGGGTTGCCGGCCTCTGGCCTCAGGAGCTTCAGGATTTTGTATGAAATGCCACCCTAGAAAAGTTCACATGGCTTCGGTTCAGTGAAGCAAAATGCGAGCCGTTACCGCGTTACTCGGCTGCATCGACTTCCATTAGGCTACAGGTAGTAACATGCTTCGCCGCTTGGGGTGCTCTCACGCGCAATGTTTATTCGTGTTGCTTTCAAAGGAAACGCACTCCGTAGCACGCAATTAGCCTGCAGAGTGGCACTTCGTTCACCGGAAAGAACTATTCCCATCCCTGTGTTTTCAGCTGGCTTGGCCCTTCCGTACGCCAGAACTGCTGCTGGGCTGCAAGCGGCTGCCTCCACTAAACTTGTTGGATTCAAAGGAGGAGGTCTTCTTTGCAACGTTGCTTGGAGAGGACGCTGGCACGCAAGCTCTCTGTCCTAGGCCTGAGATTATACCTACCAGGATCGCCGTGGGTTGAATGCCCATTCGACATCGTTCCCACCAGTATCATCACGGGGAGACTCGTTCGCTTGATCTTCTAGCCAAAAACATTTCCTTGAAGGGGGGTTCTTCGCCTCCGACGGCGCGGCCGTTGCCCCTCCCACATACGACGCCATGCCAAAGCCAGTGCACCGTCTTCCGCAGTTGCATCGTGGAGCGCTGTAGCTTTTATCTCCTGCCTGAGCCTGCTACGCGCAGAATGGCTTCTTTGTAGCAACTTGGTCTCAAGGGGTGCACATACTTTTTCAGAGGTGTGTGTCAGTTTCACTGGCCGTGCACTGTATATCGACCGTCATAACGATCCCACATAGCGTGTGCTGGTAATTCTCATCGCCTCACAGTGCGCGCCCTTCCTTTAGGGTGTCTATGGACCTGCTCTGCGTAATTGGCATCCTCACTCGGAGCCCAACTTCAGGCGTCCTAGAAGAAACTGCAGGCTGTTGTTCAATTCATGCAAAGTTGCACCGGATCCAAGCAGGCCGTCCGCGTCTGTCTCGATGCAAGCCTTGTGCCTCCAGCTGGTGTGAAGTAGGTGGGAAGCACGTGAAAGGGAGAGTGGACGTACCAATGAAAGGGTGTCTGCTGGGAACAGCCCCTATCTGTGGGAAGGAACGAGCCAACGCCAGGAGCCGATAGCGAGTTCCTTGCCCTGTCAAGCTTTGCCGTTGCTCTTGCTGCACTGTCAAGACTTGGAGCTGCCCAGCTATAAATAGGGGTGTCGCTCAGGTGCTTGAGGGCAAGTAGTGCTGCGGTGCAGGGGCCTCCTGGGCTTGCCGCGCGCGCATTCTCACCTGTGCCAAAGCCGCCACTGCACAAACAAGGCACTTGCGTGCCGTGCTGCGTGTTGCATGTTCGTCAGGCAAGTCTGCAGACAGCTCGACAGGGGCCTCACTGGCGTTGAGGCAACGAGGGCAGCCTTGAAGGCTTTCCCGTGAACCCCCTGTTGCGTGCCATACCCGTGATTTTCGGCCATGTTACCCGTGGTGGCTCTACGAGTGTATCTGCACTTTGTGCATTTGCGTGTCTCTGTCACGCTGGGCGATGAACGAGCGCGCCTGATGTTGCAGCCATTCTAAAATTGCCTCCAGCCACTGCCTCTCCTCTAGCCCCCGAAAACGATTCTAGGGAATTCTTGGCAGGCAGGCAGGCAGGCAGCAGAACACCCCTGTAGCGCAGTTTGCTATGGACGCCTCCCTCTAACGTGACACAAGGCACACAGCATGGAGAAAGACCAGTGCCCTCCCCCCCCCCCCACCCCTCCCCGCAATATCTCTTTCCTGCCGCTCTGGCGAAGCAGTAGAAGCGCGTCTTAGGGACCAGGCCAAGTCGCAAAGCCTTTCCCGTCCAAGAGGTTGGTAGGAGCCAACAACAGCCGTAGGTAATAGCCTTGTCAGAGCTCAGGGAGAATAGATATACTCTGCAGCTCTGGAGTCTCTATGCAGATAGAGAAAGGGGAAGCAGAAGCAGAGAGAAGGCAATACACGAACACCGCTGCTGCAAGACACCGGATCGGGCTATGCATATCATACAACAGGGGAGATGGCGATACAGCGGCCTTGTTTGGAGCTCAGCTCTCGGAAAGGTGGAATCATATCCCGAAGCAGTTTGTTTTTGCCATGTCAGTGATTACGAAAAACGACACGTGACTGGCAGTGCGAAGGTAGAGAAAGCAGGAAGGCTGCGCTTTACGCAGAGGTCAGCTCACGTACCACGGCTCAGCTACCCATAAATGGGAAAACAGCACCATCTCAAGGGTCCTCGAATCCGTGTGTGTGAGTGTATGTATGTTTATGTTTATGTATGTATTTATGTTTATGTTTTTGTATGTATTTATGTTTATCTTTATGTATTTATGTTTATGTTTATGTATGTGTATTTATGTTTATGTTTATGTATGTATTTATGTTAATGTATGTGTGTGTTTCCATGTATGTATATATATATATATGTAAATGCGCGTGCTCTTTGCTAACAGTGCAGGATACAACAGCACGGGAGGGAGCGCCTAGCAGGAAGGCGGAGAAGGTTTTTTCAATAGAAAGAAAGACACAGGAAGTCTGCGAGAGCCCAAATATCTGCAGCTGCCGCAAGATTCTCTCTGAAGCGCAGCCAGAAGCAAAGGGAAGCCCCAAACAAAAGCCGGCGGCACAAAAGGCGGAGCTCCAGCTGTTCGCGTTGCGTTTGAGGGTTCTGCTGGTGTTTTTCTCGCCCACGGGAGAGTTCGCGAGCTCCCCCCCCCTTTCGGGTATGTCTTTGCTGCGAAGGCATGGCAGAAAATGGGGGGGGCTGAGGGAACCACGGCCTAAGAAGCTTCTGAGCGGCTGCCTCCGCAGCGTCAGTCCCCCCCTCTGCTGCTGCGGTGAGCCCAACGGGGGATGATGCCCTTGCCTCAGCGCAAGCGCAGCCGCACGTGGTGGCTGCTGTTCGTGTTGCAGCTGCTGCCGTCTGCTTTCCCCTGCTGCATCCAGGTTCGCGTTTAGTCGCGTCTCCCTTGAGATTCCTTTGCCGCAACAGCGCCACTTTCTCACTGCTGGAGCTGCAAAAAGCAGCAAGCTCTTGTCGAGACAGCAGCAGCAAGCCTCGCCCTCTCACGCCGCCGCTGTTGCTGCTGCTGCAGCTGCTCACCGCTGCTGACTGAAGCCTCAGCAGCCGCAAGACGAGGCTCAAGAGAGACACACAGTCCGCGGCAGAGGGGCTGAAGAAGACGCAGCAGAGCCATAGGGGGAGGAGACATTCGCGGGGGAGTCCTAAGAGACACGTGCCTGCAGCACCGCACAAGCGCCAATTTGCTTCCAAAATTCTCTTGGGGGGGGCTGCTAGGAGACAATGCCATATGCCTCACCCCCAAACAAAGTTCAGAGGCTGCCCTCAAGGCTTGGTGAGGCAGCATCGACAGCACAGCAGCACTAGCAACGATCTCGTCGCTAATGCTGCAACTTGAATCCATATTTTCCTGTACAGACCTCATGAGAAACACTCAAGGAGCGCCCTCGAAATCCTGACACCGTCTCAACATCCGCATACATCCGGATATCCGCCTCCTTGGCCTTATTCCCCTTTCCTCCCTGCTTTTCCAGCCCCCTCCCCCCTTATTCCCCCTTTCCTCGCTGCTTTTCCAGCCCCCTCCCCCCTTATTTCTCTTCATTCTCCCTCAGACATCCCCGCAGAGCAGAGGCGCCCAGCAGCCACCTTCGCAGGTGTGCGTGTATGTGTGTGTGTCTCCCTGCAAGGTACGTTTATGCAGAACTGCCCTCGCGAGCTTACTCTTGGGTGTGGCAAATCGCGCCTCCAGTTCCTCCACATCCGAGGAGGGCACGCAGCAAAGGACAGATGCCGCAGGTCGAAGAGGAGCCAAGAAAAGAAGACATGCCAGAGACAGCCAGTTGCAGGGGGAGCGAGGATTTCGCAGCTGCAACGAGCGCGCAAGGCGATACGGCAACGCGACAAAACAAGCTCACTCGTGCCGAGACACACCCACAACTGCAGCAGCACGCACAGTGAGTTGCACATGCCACGCAAGAGACAGAGACCAACAGCTAGCCAGCCGGCGAAAGGGGTACCCTCTTCGCTAGCTCGGTGATTCAGCAGGCCTGCACGAACGCTGCGGAACGTACAGTGCAGTGTAAGAGAAGCGCAAACTTTTGAGGCGGTGTGAGAAGCTCAACAGGAGCCTCACAAAACGCAGCAGCCGCTGCACCACCCCTGCATGCCAGAAACATACGTCGCACACGCACAGAGGGAGGCCAGCAGTAGGCTTGCATGCACGCCAGCAACTGCAGCAGCTTTCTTTGCCGCTAAGGAGAGATACTCCCCCTCGCAGAGGGAGGATTTCTCCTTGAAGAGGCGTTTACACATGAGCCACATAGCGGGGGGCGGACCCCTGCTGAGACTTCAAAGAGTCGAACCACCCACACAAAATACTACATGGCCATCCATACTACGCAACAACCGAACGTAACGCTATGAAATCCACACTTTTTAATAAAAAGAGAGCATGCCTGCCTGCATGCATGCATGCATGTCCGCCCCCCGCGGGTGTCCATACACTTACACACCTACATATCGGTACATATATATATAGGTGTACAAATAAGTCCACACACATATGCATAGTAAATACCACACACATATGTATAGTAAATAGCTGGAATATTCTAAACACACGCACATATATGCGTACAACGTACGGTATAGTGCTCCTCTATATGCATAGGTGTATTGTACATGCACATAAAGCGGCAGGTCTAGTCACGGCGTGAAAATACAAAGACGAAACTTTCTTGGAGTAAAGATGAGACACGGCAACCCACAGCCAAGGATGCGAAGCCTTCGGCGGATGCTGCAATGAGTCGACACGAAGACGAGGGGTTATTAAGGGTACGCTTGGTAGTCGCTCACATGTTGAGTCCGCATACGACGCGCAGAGACAAAAACTGCAGCAACAGGAGCAGCAGGCAGCAGCCCCCACACAGGCGAACAAACGGCAGCACAATGCTAAATATTGAGTTGTGAAGCCTGAAAAGTTCTCAAGACACGGAAGTGTGCCTGGCATGGGAGATTCCAGTAGTCACGGCTCACAAGCAGATGCTGGATCCTCGTGATCTCAGAAGCCTCCTCTTGCGCTAAGAAGACTTCCAAGGGGCCCTGTTGATGCAGAAGCTGCTGCTCGAGGCGCTCATGGGCTGCAGGTTGCGCCGCTTTCGCGCTCTTGCGATGTTGCTGCTCCTGCAGCAGCTGCAGCAGCTTTTGCTGCAAGGGCAGCAAGCAAGCCACACGACGCCTCAGAGAAAGGCCCTCACGGCGAGACTTTGCACCGAAACGAAGTAAAGCGGCAGCGACACACTAGCACCGACACAACTTGCCTGTAGAAGAAGCGAGCGAAATTCAGCGAGAGCTGCGTTTTGTGGGAAGCGGCGGCAGAACATGTGCAGCAAGCCCAGACACTCAGACGTCTGCACAATACACAGACATACACCTGCGTCTCTGCTGCAGCAGCTGCTGCTGCAGAAGCCAGCGATCGATCGAAAGGAAGCAAGTTTGAGTCTCGCATCGGCCGGCTCCTCGTACATCGGCAGCGATGCGCGTCTAGACAGACTCTCGACAGCCGTCCTTAGCTCCTCCCCAGTGAGATGAAAAGAAGAGGTCTTTCGGGTTGTATTTACCTTTTTGCGATTCAGCAGCAAATGAAATTGCAGCAGCAGAGGAGGAGGGAACTGCAGCACACCAGCAGCGGCGGCTCGAGTCCATACACTGGAATTATCCCTCCCTCCTCCCTCCCCCCACACATACGTGCATGCATGCATATAGGTCTAGATACCCCTTTTTTCTCTCTCTCTCTCGCCATAGCGATTCCTGAAACCAACGCGCTTACCAAACCGTGCTGCACTAAGCGAAACAACGCATCCTCCGTTTCGTCTCTGGTACAGAGAGAGACACAGAAACATCGCGATCAGACACCCCAAATTGCGTGAAAAAGCGATGCAGCGAGCTTGCTAGAGGTGAGGCCTTTCCTAACTATTGAGCCAAGTCGACCTTGTAAACCAAGCAGAGAACAGTGATGAAAACACACAGCAGAGGAGCAGCGTGCTGCACTAACAAGTCTACTACTAAGGCTTGCCTGAGATTCCGTGGCAGGCTGTCAACAAGCTTTGACGCAAACATTTCAGAATCAGCAGCTGTCTCCGGAGATAAATCTGCGCCCCTGTCTAGACTCCTCCTGCCATTCATAAGCAGCGGCACTTGCCCCTCCTCTCTTTGCTGCTGCTCTCTTTGCTGCTGCTCTCTTTGCTGCTGCTCTCTTTGCTGCTGCTCTCTTTGCTGCTGCTGCAAGTCAGATAAGGCCTCCTCTGCTGCATGAGCACAACGAGTTGCCGTCACAACAGCTGCAACAATTGGATCGCCATACAGCCGCCACATCCCGGCTCTCCTGTAAACACTCAACGCGTGCTCAAAACACTTATCCTTGCAGAGCAATCCTGCGCAGCTTGACGGCTTCTCGCCAGCACGGAGCAGCGAGCAAGTCTCTGAAAGCATGTCGGCTCGAATCAAAAGCAAGCAGGCAAACGGAAAGGGAGACAGCTCGCAAAACTCTGCATCTTTACGCCGCAAATATGAATTACGCAGCAGATATTCTCACTTGACAGATTCTTCCTCCGCAAGGGCTGTATGGCCACTACTCAAACGCATGTCCGCTAGCAAAGTAACAATTCGTGCCCTCTACACACATACGTACACATACAAAAAACGTATACACATACAAGCATACACACATACATACATGCATGCATACATATACATATACATACATACACACATACATACACATATACATACATGCATACATACATACACATATACATACATGCATACATACACATATACATACATGCATACATACATACACGTATACATACACACATACATACATACACATATACATACACATATACATACATGCATACATACAAGGGGAGTTGTTATTTTTGAAAGTGTTGTTGGTAGCACTGTTGGTCGTGCTGCTTCGGTGAAGGTGTTATTACTTTATTCCACCCGATAGGGGGCCTGCTGGTATTGCGACACTGCCAAGACGGTTGCAAGCGAAGAGGCTGCTGCTGCTGCTGCAGCACATGGCCGTTGCTATAGAGAAAGAAACAAATAGAAAGAGAGAAAAAGAGCGAGCGAGAGAGAGAAAGAGATAGAAAGCTGTTTTGAATAGACATACCGCGCTGGGAGTGGAGGCAGCACATGCATGCAACGTCGTGAACACACATTCTACAAGCGCCTCATGAGCTTTCGCTGCTGCATGCGCCAGGCGCTGCTGCTTGTGCCTCCTGCGTTGGCGAAGGGTGGAGTGGCAGCTGCTGTCGCTGCTGCAGCTAGTAGAACTAGGCAGCTCGCTGCAGCTGTAGCTTTCGCTGCAGCTGCCGCTTTCGCTGCAGTCTTGCAAGTAGGGAGTGCAAACGTTCGCCCTCGGCTGCCGCTGCGCCTGCTGCTGCAGCTGTTGTTGCTGCTCCTGCTGCAGCAGCAGCTGGTCTGCAGACGCAGAGAGCCGAGCATGCAGCAGCAGCAGCAGCAACAACAAATCCCCTTGAGTCTGACCGCTGGGAGCCACAGCCCTCAGAAGAACTCCAATAACTTTCGCTGCAGCTGCTGCATGCGATCCGCAGCCGTACAGCGCCACGGCGGCTGCAGCAGCGTCTGAACGAGCGTAGACTTTCTCGTCTTCGCCTCTGCAAGCCGCTCCAAAGATGGGCAGCTCTATGCCCGCCTCAGCTAAGGATGCTGCGAGGGAAGCAGCTGAGCCTGCAGCAGCTGCAAACGGCGGCTGTTGCTGCAGCAGCAAAGCTAACTTCAGCAGACGATATCTCACAGCTCGCTGTGGAGACACTCTCTCATACGTCTGCCTCGTGCTACGTCGAGCCTTTGCAGGAGCGGCAGCAGCGGCAGCAGCAGCGGCGGCAGCGGCTGATCTTGCAGCTTTTGCAGCAGCTCCAACTCCTTCTGTGCCTTCTGCTTCGCAGTCCTCTTGGCTTCCGAAGGTGGCTGCTGTTGCTGCGTCTCCTCCTTCCTCTTCAGAGAGATCGCTGAGGATGTAGAGCAGCACGTCTTCGGCGTTGTTGGGGTGTACGTACAGCGGGTCCACCTGCGGGAGTTGCGGCTCGAGCGCATCGAGACTCTCGAGAGCATCGAAATCGACGTTTCGCTGCAGCAGTGGCAGCTGTAGCTGCTGAGCAAAGGCAGCCAACGCAACGTCGCATGCTGCGCAAGAGCTGCCGAGAGTGACGGCTGGGTGAGTGCCGCAAGCCCAGCAGGTGTAGAGACACCCCGCTGCGTGAGGGGATTGTTCTTGTGGAGCATGCGGGAAAGTTTCATCGGGAAAAAGCTCCGGCAAATCGGCGAGCGCGTGTCTCAGCAGGAGAAGTGTCTGCGCCTGCCAAATGCTGCTTTCTCCCCGGAGGCTTTCCTCTAGAGCAGGGGGAAACGCAGAGATCCACACGCTCCAAAAAAGTCTGTGGAGGGGGGAGGAGGAAGAAAAATCGCTGCGGGGATTGATGCAGCGGGGGTGCGTGCGACGCCGTCTACGCCAGTCAGATCGGCTGGTCGAAAAGCCGATACAACGATCCAGATACTCCCGACAAGACGCTCCTCGTAATTCTGCCGCGCTCCCTTCTGCACGCCATGCAGCCACAGGAGAAGAAGAAGCTCCTTCGGCTGCTGCCGCACAAGCTCCTCCTTGGAGCTTTCCAGAGGCAACACTCCCTGACATCTCTCCCCGCGCATCCTCTACCCTCATCGAGGCAGCCCGGCAGTAGTAGACGCCTTCACGTTTCGCTGCTCTTGCCGAGGGGGTGTGCTAAAGGGGCCTCTTCGCATGAATGTTGCTGTTCGCGTTGCTTTTGTCGTTGCTTTCGCTGTTCTTGTTGTTGCTTTTGTGGCTGTTGCTGCTCTTCTTGTTGCTGCTGGTGGTGCAATTACACCTCCTCCCGCAGCGGACCCTACTAGCGCTGCTTTCTCAGGAGACGAGTGCCCCCTCTATCTGCAAGAAAAGGCTCTCAAACGAGGTTTCTCAGTGGGCTTTTCTAGTAAGAAGCCCTTAAGAGGGCGCAGCGAGGAGGGAAGTGGACATGTGGAAAACACCCTATTCCCTCCAGAATGCTGCAAAGCTCCGTTACCGCTTCCTTTTCCCATATACGCACAGTAGCAATTTAAAATAGAAGTGTCTAGAGTAGAATACACAGCCTCTTGTAGGCGTGAACTGCAAGCGACATCCGAGGAGAGCGCAGGGGGTAGGGGGCCCCCCTGGGGGGCCCCCTACCGCCTGCGGGGAAGCCGAGGCGATGGAATTTCTGGGGCTCTCGTTGCAGTGCATGCGGCGATGTGGTAACGAGTTAGGGAGGAAGAAGTGAAGCCGTTGAGTGGCCGTGGTTTTCCGGGCTGTTTCAGACTTCTCTATATTCAGCTGTATGTACACCTCAGCCCGGGGGGGGCCTCGAAACTCTGAATGTGCATTCATCTAATATACCATAACAGCTGGAACCCGGGGGCCTTTTCTATCCTCCTTTTTATATTTTGCAGTTGTACAGCGAGTGCTGAGCCGCTTGAGCCGGCAAACATTACTCAGCGCCTCATCTTCAAGTATTCATGATACAGGGATACCCCATGACCAAGAGCGATTCGATTCCTGGCTGCGGCTCCTAGTCTGCAGAAGTCAGCGCAAGTAAGGCCTATATTCCAACTGGCTACTATGCTGCTCCGTCCGACATGCCCAGGTGCATTCAGAGGTCGAAGCAACTAGAGCGGCAGTGACCACAGAAACGCAGCATTGGCGTGGAGGCGCACGAAGAGTGGCGAATCAGCAGTCCCAGCAATAGCAGCAGCAATAGCAGCACTTACAGCAGCAGCCATTGCAGCAGCCATAGCGGCTCAGGAATTCCAGCCGTCATTCCAGCCATCACGACGGCAGCTGCAACGCGAAGCACTGTGGCGACACAGCAGCCGCCTCATTGGAGCCGCCTCGTCGCATGAGGCTTCTTGGAATTGGAAGCGATGGACAGCAGCAGAGACCGCTCCCCCCTTTGGGGGCCCCCCGCGGATCCGCCTCCCAGAATGCAGCAAATTCCGTACGAGGGGGGCCTCTTGGGGGCCCCCAGGGGGCCCCCCGATCCGTCGGCGACCATCAGCCTGAGCCAGTCTATTACGGCTTGGCACGTTCTCACGTATCCCATTCAGACCGTAAGAAGGCTGATTGTCGCTGAATTCGAGGACGGGGGTAGAGGAGCGGGCAGAGAAGAGGGGTGGGTAGGATGTAGGCTGGAGCACGCACTCTCCGGGAAGCGCATGCTGTGACTGCTCTCTTGTGGTGCATATGTACATACGTGCATGCATGCATGCAGCTGCAAAGCAGGATTCTTTGCGCGCGGTACTTGTCACCAACAATTTTCCCCGTCTTTCCTGAGTATTCGGGAGGAGTCGCACACCCCTCCAACAAGCCAGCAGCCTCAGCCGCAGCACAAACAGAAGTCGTGGATAGTCCAAGAGGGGTTCCTGTCGTGCTGCGGCAGCCTCTGCTTCTTGCCAGTTGTAGCCCAAGTGCTCTTAACGTCTTCGCACTCGTGGCGCATGCAATGCGGGTGGTATGGTTTACACGCAGCTGCTGAACCCCCACATCAAAGGCTTTTCCCATGTTGCGCATGCGATGGCCATAGGATGCGCATCTGTATGTGTACGTGTATATGTATCTTTATATGTATGTGTTTGTATGCACATGTGTATGTATCTGTACGTGTGTATGTATGCATGTATGGGTATGTATGTATATATGTGTGTATCTATATATCTATGTGTGTCTGCATGTGTGTATGCGAGTGAAGGTACGTGCATGAATATGTACATGAATACGTATATGAATATGTACATGAATATGTATACGAATATCATATACGTATATGTATCTTTACATGTATGTGTGTGTATGCACATGTGCATGTATCTGTACGTGTGTATGTGTGCATGTATGGGTATATATATATGTATATATATATATATATATGTGTATCTATATGTCTATGTGTGTCTGCATGTGTGTATGCGAGTGAAGGTACGTGCATGCATGTGTGTATGAATATGTACATGAATATGTACACGAATATCATATATGTATATGTATCTTTACATGTATGTGTGTGTATGCACATGTGCATGTATCTGCACGCATGTGCGTGTGTGTGTATGCATGTATGGGTGTATGTACATGTATCAATGCGTGTCTGCATGTGTGTATGCGTGTGAAGGTACGTGCATGCATGTGTGTATGAATATGCATATGTACAAGTGCGTCTGTATGGCTTTGCGGGTGTGCCTTCTAGGTGTACGAAGCGGAAGGCGTTTCTGGACTCTTTAGGGGCTTAGTCCCTTCTTGTCTCCATAGACTAGGCCGGTAAGGGGAGAATGATGGGAAGAAAAGGGAATTAAAAGTATTTATTTGCACGGCGGCGGGGGTGGGGGACGGAGCATTCGTCCAGAGCAGTGTATTCACGCAAACGGCAAAAAAAAGTGCGTTGACAAGGTTTCTATGGCAAGCATGCTCCTTCGTATTCTGCTGTTTTTTGAATTCCTTGCCTGCTGTCGAGGTGGTTCGTTCCTCCGTCCTCGTTAGCCTCATTTTCAGCCTTCTTACGAGAATTGAGGGAGGGAGAGCCTTCGGCTGTGTGTGTGGGCGCACGCAGAGACTGCCTTCACTGGCTGTTGCTGCGGCACTGCTATCGTGGAACTGTCTTTCTGACGCGCGGCGTGTTTGCGACAGTCGGTGAGTGCGAATCGGACGAGCCTAAAGTCGGGAAGAAGGGGAGTGTGGCTGGGAGAGGGTCGTAGACTGTGTGTTTGTTCGCGTGCTTGCACGAGGCAGCAGCGCAAAGTCTTTTTCTGCGGCTTGACTTTGATTTTTTCAGGGTGTCTCTTTCGGCCCTTGCGATGGAAGCGGGCAGAGAATCAGCGCGAGGATTCCCCAGAAGGCAGCTGCGAGGATGGCAAGGATGGCAAGGATAGCAGCAGCTCCAGTGGCAGCGGGAGAGTGCAAGCTATCGGGAACCTGAGAGAGGTGGAGGAGGGCGGTTCAGACGGCAGCTCCATGCTGCTGATGCAGAGGAAGCAGCGCCAACAAGGAGGGCAGCAGCATGCGCAGCAGCAAGAACAGGAGCAGCATGCGCAGCAGCCTGCGCATGCGCTGCTCGATCGTGTAGCCACTGACCTCCTTCCTCCAATCCTTATCAAGGTGCTGCGCCTGACACTCATAGGAAACGCCTCAAAAATCGCCTCGAGACGCTGCCTGCGTCGCGCTTCTCGCAGCGCGCCATCCACAAGCCCTTCTGCGCCTTTTGACGATGGCTTTTTTCAGGGAATTCGTAGCTTTTTAGCACTTTTGTGCTCGCGCTAGGCGATGCGTTCCTTCTTTCCCCGTCTAAGTTCTGTGCGTGCTGCGAGCCGTCCTTTGCGTGCAGCTTTTCGCCGAATTAGCGACATATCCCTTGCTGGTTGTGTCGACGCGTCTGGCGGTTATCGAGTCTCCCTTCCCTCTGTCTCCCCCCGTGTTTCTTCCGCGAGTCTTTTCGCTTTCTGGCTTTTTTGGCTTCGCTGTGGACTTGTTGTCTTCGCAAATGGTAGTCGGCACATCAGAGATGCTGTATTTGACGCTGAAGGCAGACGGTGCGGGAGCCTTCTGGCGAGGGGCCGTTCCGTACATTCTTTCCCGATCAGTAGATGAAGCAGTTACGACCCTCTTCTTCTTCACGCACAGGCGCGACACCGGAGGCAGCAAGCGCAGCCTCTCCGACGGGGGAAGGAGGGGAAAAGGCAGCAGCGAAGGGGGTGCTGCTGGCAAGGAGACATCCTTCCTGCAGCAGGAGCAGCTGCAGCTCAAGGAGACGGAAGCCATCGCCCTCTCAGCGGCTCAGCCTCCTGCTGAGCAGGAAGAAGACTCTCCCGTGGAAAGGCGGCTGCAGCAGCTTGAAGAGTACACGATCCGAGCTTGGCTTTCAGGTGAGCCGTTTCTGCGCAGTGCTTGCTTTCTCGTTCGGAGTCTGTGTAGCGCTCCGACGACACATAATCCAGCGAAAACTTGGCTCACTTCTGATTCATACGGACTGCACAGTCTCTGTAAGCGGTTGACAAAAAGTGCCAAGCTATAATAGGAACGCATGCACATGCAAACTCCGAGCTTCTGAAGCCTCCTTAAAGCCCCAATGCTAAAGCCTCGAGCTTTGTGATGCTTCGAAACAGCAATCCTTGGAACTGCCGCGGCTCCTTTGGCGCAACTCTCCGTCATTCAACGGTGTCAGTCCACGCTTCAGGCAAGCGCAACCCTTCAGTTCGTGTGTTTTGCCTGCCTCTCCTCGAGAGGTTCTCCGTGCTAAGACTCTTTCGCGTGGTAAATCTCAGAGAGTCGAGGTTGCTGTCGTGCGATGCCTCCCTCCGCGCAGGGACTGTGTCAACACAAGCCTTGGCTCAAGGTTCTCTCCGGAATGCCTTGGAAGGTTTGTCTATGTCTCAGCTAGCCGTGCATGCAGTTAGCATGCGTTCGCGAAAAATCGAGGAAATCGCGGCGCTCGCGGCGTCTTGACGAGCGCTATTTCTTCCCGCTTGCTTAGCGTCGACTGTGAAATGCGATGTTTTTGATCTGCAGCCGCTCATGGTTCAACTTGGCGTCTGCTGCCTCTTCCTGGCGCTTAGCGGCGCTGTAAGTCTACCCAGCTGCCCCCGAAGGCTCTCCTCCGTTGTTGCCGTGCGGCTGCTGCTTTCCACTGTGTTCATGGCGTTTCCACGCTTACTCGTGGTGTTATTCTTGTTGCTACTCCCTCAGGCCCTAGCAACGAGCCACCGACGCCTGTCGGCAATCGAAAGCGAAGAGGAAGAAGAACTGATGTGAGGCAGTGTCTCCAGCCAAACAGTTAGCTAGCTAGCTAGCTAGTCAGTCAGCCAGTTGGCTAGCTAGCTATCTGGCCATTGTGTTTTCTGTCTCGCGAGCCGCCGTATTAGCGGGGGCAGGGAAGGGGGAGAGGGAGCGGATGGCTGACTAGTGCGCGAGCTCAGCTGCGGAAGTTGCGGCTGGCTAGCTAGCAAGTTCACGAGCAGTGGAGCTTGCCGGCTTTGGCAGCGAACAGTCAGCGCAGCGCCTCTCGGCTTAGATGCAGACGCTGGGGGAGAGGGAGAGGAGAGGGGGGAGTCTTGCTGCTACCTCCCAGTGTGGCTGCTCACGGCTAGTTGCGGAGTCTCAGTGCTGCGACTCGACACACGCGCCACTCCTACGGATCTGAGCCACCACGTTGCTGCGGCTACCAGTGGAGTGTTGTAACAGCTTTGTCTGCGTCGTAGGTTACCAGACACTGAGCTCTAGAACCTTTGGATAGACTAATGACACACATACACATGGCTTGAAGACGGGTTGGAGTGTCTGTCTGTCCTCGCCATATTGCACACACGTTTTTGCCGCTAAACTGTCGCCAGGGCAGGAGGGAGGCGTAGGTTCAATTTGGTTCTCTAGGATTCTCTCTGCTCAATGCGGTTGCATCTCGCATGACCAGAAAGCTGCCGAGGAGTTCGCAAACATCGAGGAAGCGCTTCTCCAGGTGACCCCTTGCCTCTGCCTTCCCCCCTCTACCTTCCTGCCCCTTTTATAGCAAGAAAAAGAGGCCTCCTGCGAGAGAGGCACCAGCATTTCGGGTAGAAACACCCTCTGGAGAGTTGTTTACCGAGGAGTATTCGATTTCCTGGAGCTAAACGCTTTTTGTAAACAATCCTTGAGTACTGGGGAGAGGAGACTCGCGATCAAATCGAGAGAGAGAGAGAGAGAGAGAGACACGCGAAATACAGACCTCGATCTCCGAATGCCAAACGGAAAAACGGCTAAAAACGCAGCTAAAACTGACTAACTCAGTAACACTTCACGGGAAGAAAGCCATCCGCCCAGCTAGAGCCAGGCAGTCACCTGGGTCCTCGAGCTCTCAAACAAAAGCTTCAACAAAAGACTTTTGTTGGAGACGCTGTGAGGAAAAAACATCGAATAAATGACGCCTGAACAATGCTGCATCACGCCGAGAGACACCGAGTGCACAACCCTGTGAAGCTCGTGCTTCAGCTCGCGTAGACAAGCGAGAGGCTTCCCTGTATATGTATATGCGTGACTGCGTGAAGCAGAATCCTTGACAGCTTGATACAGCCAGGCATCCTCGCAGCAGCAGCAGCAGCAACGGCAGCAAAGGTGGAGAGGCTACTGGTGCTGCTTTTGCTGCTGCAACACCTGACTCCAGATCGGGAGGCTTCGGCATATTAGCCCCCTAAATTGCAGCAGCTGCGGAGTTTGCTGCCGCCTGGACGCTTGCTCCACGCCTCTTCCCCTCTCCTCGTGAGACTGCTGCATTGGCTGCTGCTGCAGTGGTAGCTGCCTCATCCCCCGCCGATTCGCTTGCCGCCTTACTGCTGCTGCTCGACTGCTGCTGCTGGCTTAACTCGGATGAAAGGGACTGCTTCCTCACGTTCGCCAGCCCAGAGAGGTTCCTTTCTACCTGCGTGCGCGGAAAAAGCAATTGCCGCGGCGAAAAAACGGCAGTACATGCAAAAGAACGATCTCACACCGACTCGCAGACACCCCACGAAAGCTGCTGCTTCAAGTGTCTGAGGCAGTGTTGCGCCGCTCGCCCTTCAAAGCCTCGTCTAGGGGTGCTAAAACTACCGTACTATGGAGAGGACTTGCGACTGCTCTGCCCGTGGCAGCTTTAGAAGCAGACATCCTCCTGGAGAGGAGCTGCTCTCCGTCCCTACAAGGGCAGTCATAAACTGCAAAAACACACACAAACAGACACCGATAACATGCAGACACAAACAGACACACATACACAAACAGACAGACAGGCAGACGCACACACATACACCAACAGACACACATACACCAACAGACAGACAGGCAGACGCACACAAACACACCAACAGACACACATACACAAACAGACACACATACACCAACAGACACACATACACCAACAGACACACATACACAAACAGACACACATGCACCAACAGACACACATTCAGACACACATACGCAGCCCCCATCCCTATAACCGCTTTGACATGCAAATGGATCTGAAAGTCGCAGGGGGAAAAGTTGCAAAAAGGGGGGGTGTCTCTGTGAATTTTTTTCGGAGCCGACAACACACCTCCTCGAAGTCGATGACTCCATTCTTCTTTATGTCACACTGCGCGAGGATATCTTCCACCAAGAGCCCCCCGTAAGAATCACCGAGAATTTGCCGCAAGTTCGCCAAACTGATTTCCCCGCTGTGATCAGCGTCAAGCCTACACCCACTCACAGAGCCAGACTCGCTTGACCATGTACAGCTCGTAAGCATGCTATGAGCGCAGCAGCAAGCCTCAAGAAAGCTGCCGTCCATCGACACAAAAAAAGCCACTTTTAACGCCTCTTGTACAGCTAGGAAGCCGTGCAACGTGGCAGCAACACCCCCCCACTCCAACAATACATGCGGACTCTTTTATGTCTGAAGTCACAAAACGTAAACGCCGCTCGACAGAGACGCATGCCAGCAGCGCACCGCTCAAAAGCCTCTCTTATGAGGGACTGACTAAGAGCCACTTGGGTTTGAAACGTAGCGGCCAAGAACTCGCTGTAGTTAATTTCCTGGTCGCCTGTGTCGATACACCGCAAGCAGCAATATATCTCTGCATACAATACATATATATACAGATATACATATAGGTATATATATGGATATATATATAGATATATATAGATATATGTATATAAATGTATGTATAAATAAATATATATATATCCCGCAAGGCTCAGTGAGGTGGGTAAAGCCGCAACCCCCCCTTCATGCGCAGTTCAACGGCCCTTGGAGAGCCTCTCTCTGCTCTCATGCCACGTTTCTTTTTTGCCATATAGCACCTGTCTGATCGATCCTCTGAAATATATGCAGAGCTTCTGCCTCAGGGATGTTGAGCTTCGCCACAAGAGTTTCGACCAGGCCCTCAACCTATAGAAACATATACACACCCCCGCGTGAGAAGGCAACGAAGACTCCTTAGGAATTGGAGACGGCTTGGTATGTGCGCAGCACGTCAAAAGGGGAAGAAAAAAGGGATGGAGAAAGAGGAAAGGGAAATAAGGATGGAGAGAGATACAGAAAGAGACAGGGAGGGAGAGAGAGAGGGAGAAAGAGAGAGAGAGACAGAGACAGAACGAGAGACACAGAGAGATACAGAAAGAGAAAGACAGAGAGAGATACAGAAAGAGAGAGGGAGACACACAGAGAGAGAGAGGGGGGGGGAGACAGAAACAGAGAGAGACACAGAGAGAGAGAAAGATACAGAGAGAAAGATACAGAGAGACAGATACAGAGAGAGATATACAGAAAGAGAGAGAAAGATGCAGAGAGAGAGATACAGAGAGAGAGAGATAAAGAAAGAGAGAGAAAGATACAGAGAGAGACACAGAGAGAAAAATACAGAAACAGAGAGAGAGATAAAGAAAGAGAGAGAAAGATACAGAGAGAGAGAAACAGAGAGAAACATACAGAAACAGAGAGAGAGATACAGAAAGAGACGCAGAGAGAGAGATACAGAAAGAGACGCAGAGAGAGAGATACAGAAAGAGACACAGAGAGAGAGATACAGAGAGAAACACAGAGAGAGAGAGATACAGAAAGAGACAGAGAGAGAGAGATACAAAAAGAGACACAGACAGAAATACAGAGAGAGAGAAAGAAAAAAAAGACGGATAAGAAGGGCAAGCACACAGCGGCGAGAAGGGGTGAGAAGAAGGGGGTGTGAGAAAGCAGCCTCTTGTGAGGCTGTTGCCTGCGTTTTGCTTTCTGCGGATCTGCCACGTTGTATTTTTGTTTGCAGAGGCAGCGACACCTCGTCCTTTGCATCGTGGCACTAGATCTGCGAAGCCTCTTTGCCTACTTCAAAAGAGGCTTTTTTTCTTGTCGAAATAGGAAGCAGAAGGATTAAAAATGTGTCTACTGACTCGAATAGTTCCTGTTCCCTCCGCATCTAAAGCCCAGAAGAGGCGCTCAAGCTCCTCGAGATCTTTGCTGCTAGGCATCGACAATGCAATTAAACCTGTAACAAACAGACGAAGACATGCAAGTGCATGCCTCACATGCGCTTTACTCGAGGGTTGAAGACTCGCGCCTCCACCATGCCTCGGCTGTGCACAAGATCTGCTTCTCCCGATCTCTCCAATGCCAGTAGATAGGTGCTTCCTTCCCCAGACACCGCAGCATAGGACGCCTTTCTGCTTTTTTCACAGATTTACCGAGCGCAGCCCGCTGTATGATGGAGCACGCCGCAAATCGCTGCATGCATTTCAAGACATCCAGATTGATGGGGTGGCTCCTTAGCTCCGTTTCAGTCGCAGCTAGCCAAGGGTGAGAGAGTGCCTGGGCGGCAGACAGCCGTTCGTGAGGATTTCGCCTGAGCAGCACACCCCAACAAAGCACGAAACTGCCTGCATCGTGGCGTTCCCCGCAAAAGGACGCATTTATACACACCTATCTAGCGCTGCAGTTCGCACATACGAAACAGACACCGACAACAAGGAGACTCCACTGAGGGCGACACACAGCAAAACTGCAGGCAGGCAGGCAGTTTCGCATGCATGCATGCATGCATGCAGTTTTGCATGCATACACACACGCCTAAAGGCACACTTGAGCAGCCCCGAGATAAAACACTTCGCTTGAGGCGACACGCCTTGCCATCTAGGCCCCTCGAAGGTGTATTGACAGCGTCGAATCTTGACGAGAATCTCTTGATCCGTCGATCCGGCGAAAGGAGGAGTGCCAGATAGCAGCATGTAAACAATGACGCCTGTACGAAGACGCAGCTCACTCCTCAAGCGACTGCTGTTTTCGCGCAAACCGCCGTACGTTCTCAGCGCCACAACCGTCGTGGCTTCCCTCCTGCCTTATCCCCCTCCCCTCGCCGCAAAAGCTCCTCGCACAGAAAGAAACACCCCAAAGACACCTAACCAAAGCTCACCAATACTCCAGACGTCGCACAGCTGGTCATATTTGCCGTCCATGACTTCGGGAGCCACGTAATACACAGTGCCGTGCATCGCGCTCATCAAGTTGTTCGGCTTAAACAAGCAGCTAAACCCAAAATCAATCTACAAGGCGAAGCACACCACTCACACACGCAGCCATATCCTGCGCTTTGCAAGCAAACAAGGCAGCTGGATAGCCCTTACACCCCCAGCTAAGCCTTCTTGTATGCATCCGCAATCAACAACCACCACCACAACAACAATCGCTTACCAATTTAAGAGGAGCATCTTCTCGTTCATCGAGATATACCCAATTTTCCAGCCTTCAGACACCAAACAGCCAGAAACACACACGCACAAGGCAAACCAAAAGCGCTCTCTTGCTTTCCTTCTTTTGTTTGTTTGCTTTGTTTGTCTCTCTGTCTGTCTGTCACTCCCTCTCTCTCTCTCCTCTCTCTCTCTCTCTCTCTCTCTCTCTCTCTCTCTCTATATATATATATATATATATATATATATATATAAGTATATATATATTATATCTTTCTCTTTTTCTCTCTTCCTGACAGCACGAGGCACGCGAGGCAGAGACACCCGCAGATGTGAAGAGGACGCCTTGTAGAAATCAGAGTGCAAGAGGAGCCACATGCCCCTTCCTTTTACCCCCCTCCTCCCGCCTTCCCCCTCTTCTCCCCACTTTTTCGCTGCCCCTCTGAACGGCGCACAGGAGCCCAACGGCATGCAGCCACGTGTGCATGGGGAAGCTGCGTATACACCTACTTCAAGTCTCTATGGCAGATCGAATGCTGGTGGCAGTAATTGACAGCAGCAAGCATCTGCATCGTAATCCGTGCAGCGTCTCGCTCCGAGTATTTCTTCTTCTTCGCAAGTCGCTCGTACAATTCTTTCCCGCTGCAAAGCTCCATGACCAGACGAAAGCACTTGTGACTGCCGCTGCCAGTATCGCCACGAGAGAGAACTTCAGAGGCTTCATAGGCGGAGACACGAGCATCGCCTGCCCTTGCCATCCGATCTGCTGAAGCTGCTGCTCGAGATGCTGATGACGGATTGCCGCCAGCTGCTGCGGATCCAGCATCAACAGAAAAACGCGATTGCGGAGACGCGAGTTCATGTGGTTTCATGCCGTCGAGAAAGATGTCAAGGAGCTTGGCAATGTTGGGGTGATCGAGCTGCATGTACACCGCAACTTCGTTGTACAGCAGAGCAGCCCTCCTCTGAGAAATCTTGGAAACGTTGAGAGTCTTTACTGCAACGAAGCGTCCACTGACTCTGTGACGGCCCAGCCGCACGGCACCAGAAATTCCTGAGGATCGAAAGGTGGCAAAAAGTCGAAATTCAGAAAAAAACGCACGGAGCATAGCAGATACCTCTTCCTCCCCCTCCATCCCCACTGGCGCCAAGAAGAGGCAACCAAGTCAGGCGGAGACAGCACCAACAGAAACAAGAGCGAAAGCAGTAGCAACAGCAAACAGAGCAAAAGCAGCAAGAGTAAAAGCAGCAACAAGAGCAACAGTCGCAGCAACAGCAGTACCAACAGCAGCAACAAGAGCGAAAGCAGCAAAAGCAGCAAAAAGAGCAAAAGCAGCAACAAGAGCAAAAGCAGCAAAAAGAGCAAAAGCAGCAAAAAGAGCGAAAGCAGCAAAAGCAGCAACAAGAGCAAAAGCAGCAAAAGCAGCAAAAAGAGCAAAAGCAGCAACAAGAGCAAAAGCAGCAAAAAGAGCAAAAGTAGCAGCAGCAGGCGCACAGGAGACGGGAAAAAGCCGCTGAAAGGTCCTACAGCGTCTCTAAGGAAAGCATGCGCGTTCAGATAAACGGTGAAATGCCTCGAAGTGTAGTGACACTTCGAAGGCGCGATGCATGCATGCAGAAAAAAGAAGCGTAAGGCAGCAAGAGGCACAGCCGTCAGGAGAAGCTGAGTGAAGCCGTGATATACCGCTATCGCCAAGCGTATCCACGGCTCACCTGTTCCTAAAACTTGATGGGTGAGCTCATAGTGATCTTCAAAACAAGAGGACGTCTTCAAACGAGATGCGAATAGCGGCTGGTGAACCACCTGCTTCAAAAAACTGCCAGCCCCTACAGGGACTGCCCCACTGTCTTCTGTCTCTGATCGCTGCATGCAAAAATAATTAATAGTCTCAAGCCGCTTATATTTCTTAACAGAACCTCGCACCGACTGAAAACTGCCTGAACGCCTCCTCCTCTTCCTACTGCATACATGACATGTGCATGAATGATGAAGATGAGTATCTTCATGCGTATGTGTCTACCTGCATACAGAGAACTATACCTATCTCTATATACATGCATATGAATATAGACCGATAGAGAGAAAGAAAGAGACACAGATGGATACACAGACTCGTTATGCATAGGTAGGTGGGTGATACGTGTAGAGCATGTATACATATATATAGTACTTGTAGAGTATGTATACATATATATAGTACTTGTAGAGTATGTATACATATATATAGTACTTGCAGAGTATGTATACATATGTATAGTACTTGCAGAGCATGTATACATATATAGAGTACTTGTAGAGCATGTATACACAAATAGTACCTGTAGAGCATGTATACATATATAGAGTACTTGTAGAGTATGCATATATATATATGTATAGATATAGATAGATAGGTGGCTGGAGGATACGCCTTGGCGCATAAGGCTTACAGCGTCGCTGTATGAATCGGAGGAATCCGATCCGAATTTCTCGATCCGAGAGTAGCAGCTCTGCTGCTGCCGATTCTTGGGGCTGTTGTTGCTGTTGGTGCTGGCGCTGTCGGCAGCAGCAGCAGCGAAAGGCAGCGGCAGTCTGTGCTGCAGGAGGCGTCTGCTAGGCTTCAGACCTTTACTGAAAGAAGAGGCACTGCGACCTCCGAGTGCTAGTCTAGCTCTGCGTTCTTTAGGGCTGCTGTTTTGGCTGTCTAGCCTGTTTTTTTCTCTGCTGAAAGCCTTTACAAGGCGGTGCTTGGTAGCTGCGGCGCATGCAGGCGTCGCAGGCTGGCACTCCCTTGGCGATCCTTCCAAGGCGCTGCACGCGAGCGGCGCAGGCGAAGCCTGCCTGTTCGCCCCCTCTGTACGTACAGCAGGCCGTCTGTCGCAGGAAGCAGTGCTTCTGTCTGTGGAGGGATACTGCAGCGGTCTCCTCCTCTGTCGGTCCCCTGGGAACGCCTTGTTGCTCTCGCTCGAACCGGGAGTGAGCGCTGCCACCCTGCTGCGCTGGTGAGACACGGAACACCCCATTCTGGGGGCCCCTCTTCGTGCAACTTCCCGCGTGAAGGTGAATGTCGAGTTCAGCGGGAGAAAATCCAGGAGCAGGAGGCGGCCTCTGCTAGCCGCAGGCTTTCTTCAGAAAAATTCAAGTGTAGTTACTCCAGGCAGAACGCGGGGGAGGACAAGGAAACGTCGATCGGCGTGCGATCGTCGGAAGGCGAACGGGTGCGCCGGCGGCGAGCTGTACGTACAGCGGGGCCCCCAGGGGCCCCCACCAGGGGCCCTCCAGAAAGACAAGCAAAGAGGCGTCTAACAACACAAAGAAACGGCGGACCACGGAGAGACGCAGAAAAGACCACGGTTCGAAAAGGATGTTGCTGCAACAACAACCAACCCTCCACTCAAAAAATCCGCGGAGAGACCCCCAATGAGCCGACAAAGAAGAGATGCGGGCCGACGCCACACACGCATGCTAAAAACGAAGATTTATAGCTCTGAATTTTGCATCCTATCGCCCTAAAGCAAGAACAGACACCGCTTATAGGGGGCGCAGTAGGCGCATGCATCGCCGCCAGCAGCTGGTGCTGTTGCTGTGCAGTCGCTCATGAAACATTCGCCGTGACCGCTGGTCAAATGATGGAGCTTCGCCGCCTGAAGAATCCCAAATGCCGCGACTCTTCTTTAAAATACTTTTCCTCCGATTTGCACTCAAGAGAAACGACACGGTGTCTGTACACCCCACGCCCTAGCCCCTTCTCATACAAGTGGAAAGCCGCAAAGAAACTACACGGGTGTGTTGGCTGTAAAGAGGCAAAGCGGGGCTTCGATGAAAGCAGAGGTTTGCTTGCGCATCTGCGATATAGTGCCACTAGAATCTAGGATTCAAATTGGAATAGCTGGGTGTCTGAGCAGTTGCTACGCCTTGAGCGTCGTCTATGGGGGCCCTCTCCTTCCCTCAGTCTTAAAAGACACACTACGCCTAGCCCCCTTCTACGAATGTAAGGCAGCAACAAAAGCTACAAGGAACTAGCTTAGCCGCGCAGAGGTAAAGCGACTTCAATGAGGGCAGACGTTTGCTGCCTCTGCGAAGCAGTGCCGTTAGGATCTAGGAGGAGTCAGTAGGAATTTCGAAACGTCAGGAGAGGATGTGCGCCTTGAGCGTATCTGGAGCCCCTTCTCCCCTATGTCTCGCCCTTAATATTACACCCTACGCCCTACAGCAGTACGCCGATTCGGCATGGACAGTTGCTCAAGCGTGCCTGCGAGATCTTCTTCCAAAATGCCGAGATCGGCAGCAGCAGAGGCCTGCGGTCGAAGGGCAAAGCGTGTTGCGGAGAAGACGTATATAGAACAGAGGGCAAGGGAGAAGGGGGGCAAAAGACGCGGAAACATACAACCAAAATGACGCTGCGTCGATCAGTCAGGGGGTAGGGTGGGGTGTGGCGGCACATACACATAGACGCCGCGAGGAAGTGGATGTCATGTGCTTGTGGCCTCTCAGCAAGAACTTTGCTAAGAGAGGAAAAAGCCTTTCAACTTTGCTGAGAGAGAGGGAGGGAGAGAAAAAAAGCCTTTCGCGCTGTGTCGCTCGCAAACGCAGCTCAACGCACCAGCTGCTGAAGCGGCATGTAGGAAAGACTTGCGACGAGAGGCCAGTGGAGTCGAAGCGTCTTTCGGAGAACTAGGCGTGTCTGTGCTTTCGTTTCAACGGAAAAAACAGGAAAAGAACATATGACCTTTACCAGCTGCACGCCGCAAAAAATACGGCACACAACAAAGTGCAGGACGCAAGAGTCGGTGGGTGTACGCATTTCGCGCTTCGAAAAGTGCACAAGACAACTCGAGTATGCTGAAATGCATATCCTCCTCACAAACACACGCTCACCCCACGTCCACCATCACACCAAGAAAGACGGAAGGGGAGGCAAAAAGGAGGAGGTGCCTCTACGACTTGGCTCGGCTCATGTTGAGAGTCTTACGTCGGCTGCTGATTCGAGCTGCTGCCCATTCTGCAGCATCTCTTCAAGGCGTTCGCCAAGAAGCTTGAAGTAAGCAGAGGCGCCCCGCAGCAAATTTCTGCGATTGCACAGACGCAAACAGCAGCTTAATTCACGCCTAGTCAAGGAGGAACTGCGCTGACGAGGCACGACGATCCAACGGCAGTCCTTGCATGCCCTGTACCCCGGATTCCAGCGGCTGCGGCTGCTGCTGCGGGTGTAGAACTGGAGGCGACTGACTCTCTGTGTGGCAGTGCTGCCTCTGCGGCGTTTTTTTCGCACGGTCTGCAGACGCTAGACGCCGTCGCAGAGGAACCTGAGGCAGTCCCCCGTGCCTTTCTGGCAAACGCAGCAATCGCGAAAGTCGTGTTGGCCAGTTCTGCAGACTTGAAGGCGCGCACTGCCTCTGCAGCTCGTTGCGTCAGACGGCTCAGCAACTCCCACCGCCTCCCCTCCGAGAAACTCTCGAGGACGGGGAAAGCTTTGCACAGTGAATACGCAATGATGCTTATGCTGCGTGCTCGAGGAGCGGACTGCAAAGCTGCAGCAGGAACTGCGAGACGCTGCGTGCACTGCGTGTCAGTTACAGAGGGGCCAGCAGAGGAGACATGCGCTTCCCCCCAAGCTCCTTCAGCCTTGAGGCGGCTCAGCACTTCGCAGCAAATCATCTGCACCAGCTTTTCGTCCGCGCAGCAGCAGCCTCCCTGAAAGCATAAGACACCCGTAACACCCCACCCATAGGGGCCGACACACACGTGCACGACTCCTCCGCTATGCATGCATCCGCCGCTACAGGGTGTATTCGCAGCATCAGCTGGTCTGCAGCTTTCCACCTTTGATGCGGCCTGTAGCAGCAAGGCGAGAGACTGCCAGCTCGCTCCACGCAGCACCTGAAGGAAGCAGCATCCGCAAAAATCGAAACACGCTCTCCCTCAGACTCCCATCGTCGCCTTGGAGCAGGCTGCATAGCCGCAACAACCAAGACGTCTGCACTCCTACACACAGCAACAGGATCCTACGCCTCCTAAAACGGCAGCGCTGTAAAGGAACGCCGGCATGAGAGCCGCAGCAAATATAAATCTCTCTCTATAAATATATATTTATACAAATATATATACATATATTATATACAGCAGGTGGCAGCACGCCTATCTCTCTCTCTCTATAAATATATTCATACAAATATGTAAATACACATATTATATACAGCAGGTGGCAGCACGCCTATCTCTCTCTCTATATAAATATATCTATACAAATATGTAAATACATATGTATGTATATATTCTATATAGCAGGTAGCAGCAAGCCTATCTCTCTCTCTGTAAAGATATTTATACAAACATGTAAATACATATATATGTATATATATATTATATATAGCAGGTGGCAGCACGCCTATCTCTCTCTCTATAAATACAATTATACAAATAGATAAATACATGTATAATATATATATAGCACGTGGCAGCACGCCTATCTCTCTCTATAAATATATTTATGTGATTATATATATTTTATGTAGCAGGTGGCAGCACGACTATCTCTCTCTATAAATATATTCATACAAATATGTAAATACATATATATGTATATATATATTATATATAGCAGGTGGCAGCACGCCTATCTCTCTGTATAAATATACAAATATGTAAATACATATATATTATATATAGCAGGTGGCAGCACGCCTATCTCTCTCTCTATAAATATACAAATATGTACATACATATATTTATAATATATATAGCAGGTGGCAGCGCGCCTATCTCTCTCTCTATAAATATATTCATACAAATATGTAAATACATATATATGTATATATATTATATATAGCAGGTGGCAGCACGCCTATCTCTCTCTCTATAAATGTACAAATATGCACATACATATATTTATATTGTATATAGCAGGTGGCAGCGCGCCTATCTCTCTCTCTCTATAAATATATTTCTACAAATATGTAAATACATGTATGATATATATATATATATATACCGCGTGGCAGCACGCCTATCTCTCTATAAATATATTCATACAAGTATGTAACACGTATATTATAGATTATGTATAGCAGGTGGCAGCACGCCTATCTCTCTCTATGAATATATTTCTACAAATATGTGAATATATAGATATCGCAGGTGGGAGCACGCGTAGGATCAGGTGTCTCAGGTGTGTGTGTCGTCTAGGGGTGAGAGGGTGCTATTACGGAGTGTGCCCTTTGAAAGATTAGAGGCAGGAGGGGATGGTTCCATAGGTGCAGTCGTGTCAGTCCATTGGCGAGGATAGAGAGGCTTTTTGCATCTGCCATGGGTAAGCCCAATAGGAGGATCTGAATGCACAAAGAATGCTCCGAGACTGACAGCCTGCGCTTTACGAGGCCTATGGCTAGAAGCTGCGAATCAAGCCGATCCTTGCACGATGTTATGAGGCTCTGCTGCTGAGTAGCGTTTAAAACGAAGGAGACTTCCGCGTGAGCCGAGGGGGCTTAGAAGCGGCTGTCTGCGTGCATGGGAGAGGCTACACCTACCTCCTCAAGCGCGGCTAGCATGGGCTGATGCAGAATCTTCGCCTTGCCGTATACCTGAACGAACTCGGCAGCCTCAGTCCACGAAATCTCGCCTTCCCGAGCAGCTCTCTCTACGGCAAAGCCGAGTTTCTTGAGCGCACCAACAGCAGCGGAGGGCGCCGTCTGGAGAGGCTTTCTTGGATTCCGCGCGAAGCAAGACGATCTCAGCGCTTCTCTGGGGAGAAAGCCTTTTCGCGCATGTCCTCTTCTTTCCAAAAAGCCTTCTTCGGCGTTGTCGCAATAGCCAGAGGTCGCTGCGGAACGCATGGGGGAAGAACTAATGGCCGTTTCCTCCTCACCCCTACCCCCACCCCAAGAGTCGAGCTGAGCGTAACAAGCAAATGCTCTGGTTACACCCAAGAGCAACAGAGGACTGAGCGCAGCTGCGTGGCGATCTGCAGCGTCTGCTGCAAGCTGCCAAAAAGAAGCAGCGAAAAAACTGGCTCTGGAAAAGGACGTAAGCAACAGGAAGAAACTCGAGGCACACAGCGAGGCGCTTCCCCCGCGTTGCACCTCTTCGTCCACATGCACAAGAAATGCATGCACTGCTGCATCTGCCCTGCGGGCTGCTGCTTTTGGCGCTTCTGCCAGACGCCTCGTCGAGTGAACTCCCGCACTGCTGGGGATTGCCGCGGCAACAAGGAGCCTCCGCACTGCGGGGTGTGTTGCAGCTGCAGCACAGCGGCTCAGGAGAGCAATCCCGCAGCAAGGCATGTGCTGCTGCAGCTGCTGCAGCAACTTGGGAAACAACAAAGTGTTCACCTTGCGAAGTGCATCGACGGCCGCAATCGCGGCTGCAATTGCTGCAATTGCTGCATTTTCTACACCTCCAGATCCGGGTGCATGCGATTTCTTCCCCGCCAAGGTGTCGCTACACCCCGCGTGGTCCTCAAGCAGCTGCCACAGCTCCCCTCTGACTTGCAATTCTTTCAAAGCCGCAAGATGCGCATACTTCCCAAACGCCTCCCCACGAGCAAACGCCACACGCGAGACAAGGGCCTCTCCGACTTCTGCATACGTATGGATTCCTTCAGCCTCTAACACCGTCAGCACACAGGGAGCCGCAGCTGAGGAGCTTTTGCCTGCTTTCGCATCTACTACTCCTGCAGCTGCTGCCGTTGTTGTATCTACTACTCCTGCGGCTGCTGCCGTTGTTGCATCTTCTACTCCTGCAGCTGCTGCTGTTGTTGCATCTTCTGCTCCTCCTGCAGCTACTGCACCTGCTGCAGCTGTTGTTGCATCTTCTACTCCTCCTGCAGCTCCTGCACCTGCTGCTGCAGCTGCTGCTGTCCAAAGCTTGAGGCAAGGCCGCAACAGCTCTTCTCTGGTTGCGAGCAGCAAGCCTGCTTCTGCTGCTAAGCATTGCTGGTGCAGCAGTGCAGCGGCTATGCTTCGATCCAGCTGCCACAAAGCGGTGGCTGCCGTAGTGGCAGCATCCCTTGCTGCTTCCGCAGGGGCCCCCCGTGCGCTTGCTGCCTTTCGAGCCTCCCGCAGCAGCAGCACCTGTTGGAGGGATGCAGTGATAATCGACTGGATGTTGTCGCTGTTTGGCATCCCCACGGCTTTCACGAGCTGCCGTGGAAGCGGAGAGGCGGCAGCGGCAGTTGCAGCTCGTGCCGCCTTTGCTTCCTCGTACGCTGCCATCAAGTCGAGGGGCACAAGCGATCGCAAGGCCTTGTGTTGAGACTTCTCGCTTCTGCTGCGGGGGCGATGCAGCAGCCCGAAGCCTTTGGATGGAGCGTTCTCGAGAAAGCCGTTGGTGGCGTTTCGGCTGCGCTCGAGCCGAGGAGGGGATTCTCCACCACGGCTGCGGGCGCTACAGAAATAGCGGCGCGAAGCTGCATCTCCCGAGTGTGTGGTGGGTGCTGGGCAAGGCAACGACGTGCGAGACAGTGCAACAACTCCGGTGCAGTACCCCCGCGGCACGAATGAGGCGACTCGCGAAAGGCCGCGGGAACTTGGCGTGCAGCTTCCCATACGCCTGCAACAGCTGGAAGGAGCACCCATCGCCCGCTAGAGAGTGCCTCATGGGCCCGTGAGAATCCCCCCCGGAGCGGTTCTAGGGACTTCTGCTGGAATCTTCATGAGCAAAACGGCAAATAAAACACGAAAAAACACTATAGGAGGGACATCGCCTCGCAAAAAGAGGCCAGCACCGCTAAATGCCGCAGGAAGATCGTCGGGCTCCCAAGGTACGGCCTCGGCAGTCGCTGCGGGATCATGATCTTCCAAGGCGGTTGCGTATCGCGCACGATCGCCTTGAGATACATTTGCAAAATGTCGCTAGAATAAGGTGTTTCTGGCGTTGGGTGTCGAGATTTCAGCGCATCTGAAGTCATCCCGTGGGGCCACCCGACGGGGCTCCGCGAGTCTGTGGATGAACGCATGCATGCGTTCGCTCCAACTTGAATGATTTTCATGCGATACACATTCGCCTGCAGACACAGGTTGAGCCTTCCCAAGAAGGATCTCGAGTTTGTTGCATCGCCTCGAGCTGTCTGCGCACTCGGCGCGAAGGAGTGCGGGTTCGCTTTGCCAAGGGTTGCCGGGCAGGTGTACAGACACCCCACATTTCTGGTGCCGTTCGAGATCTGCTGGTGGTGGTCTTGCTGCATTGGGGCTTTCCGCATGGCAAAAAGCTGTTTGCTTCATTCGGCGAAGAAGCGCAAAGGCGGCGCAGCACTAGCAGCAGGGCCACGTTCTGCCATCGCCAGTATTCAAACACACTTCGTGTCTCTTCCCTGTAGCGGATGCCAGTCATGATCTAGGAATTCGTCTTTTTCTCATGATTTGATACCCGCTGAGAACCCTCCTCCTCGCGCTTCCTGTGTCGTCCTGGTTCTGCAAGGGGTATCCACCTTCATGTGTGGCTGCTGGCACCACATCAAGACGCCACCACCAGCCGATTTCTCAATTCCTGCTTGCTCTATGTCGCGTTGGCCATTCTGCTTCTTTGCAGTTTTTATTCTCATGGCGGCGTGAAGGGAACCGATTGCCGCTGGACTTGTTTATGTGCACGCGCGTGTAGAGCGCGGTGTTTCGTTTCGCGCGATTTTTCGCATGTAGAAATGCCTCTCGGGCCTGCCATATCGAGCACGCCGCATTTCTGAATACTGAAAGTTGTATCTTCCCGGCTCTATTCGTCGCCTCAAGCCCATTCAATGCCTCGACCCTTCACGGGCAACACCAGGCAAGCCGGCAAAGAACCTGAGGAAGTCAGGGGGGAACTCGCGGAGAGGCTTTCCAGCGAGCGCTTCATGGCAGCGTCCGAAGCGACATCGAGAGGAGGAGGCCTTAATGGGGAGTCTGCTACGCAGGATTTCTCTGAAGCAGCGCGTAGCGATGGCCTCTCGGGAGGTGTAAAAGGCACAAGCAGTTCCTCAGGAGGGAGCTCGCGAAGACGCCAAAGCAGCGCTATCCGGGGGGATGGAGAAGTTAGTAAAACTCTTGCAGGACGAGATCCAAGCACTTCATCTCCTGCAGAGGAGGAGACCTCGAAAGGAGGCACATGCAGTGGCATGTTACCGACGGAGGGCTCCCAGGTGTCTCTGCAGCAGTGTGTCGTTGACGGTTTTTGGAGGTGTTTCACTGCACAACAGAACGACTTGGCACTCGCTGCGGTTCACGCACTCGCCACAGTTGTGCACTTGTAAGCCTGAGCCGTAACTAGGACGTAGGGGGATGCGCAAGGCGTCTGAATCTCCTGATGAGCTGAGAAGCTCCCTTCCTCCCCCCTGCATCCCTGCCTGCCATACATACAAACATGCATAAATGCCTCCCTGGGTAAGGCTGCGAGCCTTCTTGGAGTGTGGTTTCGCGCAGATCGCGGGCGGAAAGTGTTTTGGAGCTGTTCGTACACCTGAGGGCTGCAACTGAGGCCTTGGAGGCGTATGCGAGCAGAGCTGACGTTTTGCTGTATATTTCCAAGAGGACTGCAGTGAAGGTATGTAGCCGCTGCATTCAGAGTTGCAGTGCGTGGCTTACGCGCCTGCCTTTCTCGGAGCTTTCTCCTCTCACATTTCCCCCCCTTTTCCCCCGCCTCGGGGGGTGCCTTGGATAGAGGCCTAGTCCAGTTGCAGCTTGTGGGGCTTTTGCTCTTTGCGTCTAAGCGGCTGACGACGCTCCCGCTGAGATCTGCTTGCTCGCTTTACCAGCAATTCGCGGTCCGTCACTTCGAGCGAAAACCTCAAATCGTAAGATTCAGGCGGCAGCAGTCAGGAAACGCAGATTCAGAAAGTCGGAGGCTTGAAGGCCGCATATCCATCCACGGCAGCGCATGCACGCGCAAGGCTGTCACCGAACGGAATTTCTCAGGAGTCAGAGCAGAATTGTGTGGGCGACCCCTTGTCGCTAAGATTTTTTCCTCTCGCGTCTGCTTTTGTGGATTTGTGTGTGTGGAGTAGTCTGTGATGGAGTTGAAATCTCTCCTCATCGCGCAGTCTGCGAAATTCGCCTCCCGCATCTCGCAGAGCAAGCAAACCATTGCCGATCTTGGTGAGCAAACACAGGCATCATCCCCCCCGTCCCCCCTTCTCCCCCTCCGCTTCTGCCAACGGACGGCGCATGCGCTCCGTGGGGCCTTTAGGGAGGTTGAAAGGCGGCTTTGGAAGCGGCATTCTTGATCTTCCCTTTTCACGTTTTTTGAATCCATAAAGCGCATGTCGCTCCAAACCCACCTTGCCACTTTGTGAGGTGACGTGGCCAGGGTGTGGGGGCTGCATATATTTATATTTATATATATATGCATTCGCACATGTGTATGCATGTGTCTGTGCATGTATATATATATATGTATATATATATGTATATATATATATATATACATATATATATATATACATGCACAGACACACACATACACACATACATACAAACACACATACACACATACATACAAACACACATACACACATACATACAAACACACATACACACATACATACAAACACACATACACACATACATACAAACACACATACACACATACATACATCTACATGTGAGTACACATACATACCACCCCTTGGGACTTATGGGAGCGACTTGCCGCACTTGTTTTGCACTGTAGTTCAGAGACTGCGGCTTGCTTGCTTGCATGCGCTTTTTGCGGCGACGTGCGGTACAGGGCGCATCATGTTTACGAAGGATCAGATGGTCGTGTTGACGCACGGCCAAAGCTCTTGTGTGGAGCGATTGCTGTGTAATGCATGGACTAAGCACAAGAAGCGGTTCAGTGTGATTATCACCCAACACGAGAGCGCCGCGGCTAGTGGCGGAGCCTTTGGGAATGACGAGTAGGGCCAGTTGCAAAAAAAATTTGCATGCACCCGACCCCCTCTAGAGAGTGCGTAAGGGGGCACGCAGGCAACGTGTTTTTGGCTGCTGCTGTATTGTTGAGCGAGCGCTTGCAGAGTCTGCCGCTGTCTGTGCGCGTTCTGTGTTGTAGAGAGATGCTGAGGGCTGCTCTGTCGGCATGCGGGATTCCCGCCGTCTTAGCCTCCGTCGGCTCAGTGGCTCGTCTGATTTCGAAAGTTGATCTCGTGGTTATGGGAACAGAGGCAGTCAGCGAAAACGGGGGGATCATCAACAGGGTGAGCGAAGGCCAAGAGGAGCCACGATGCCACGCGCCTTCTGCTGCGTTGTGTGTGTAGACGGATTTTTCTTGCGGCGTGGCGGCAGAGAGCTGTCTTGTTTGCAGCTTGCTTCTGAGAACGTTCCTTCTTTCCCCCCCCCTCCCGAGTCAAGGGGGCGTGCTGTCTGCTTGCTTTCCTTTGGCTCTAGGCCTCCTCCCGCTCTGCGGCCTTTTTTCTCCCTACCTTGCCGTTCTGTCTCTGCTGCTGCATTGCCTTTGCCTTCGAGCGATGCGCGTCTCTGCTGCTGCAGATAGGCACTGCCACAGTGGCGATCGTGGCATCAGAGAACTGTGTGCCGGTATACGTAGTTTGCGAGGCTTGCAAGTTCGCGCGAACAAACCCTCTTTACCAGAAGGATGCGTCAGCATTCTCCGTGGAGAAAGCGAGTCGCACAGACGTAAGGCAAAAAGGCAGCCCAGCTGCTTCTCCTGCGCCTCCCTTTTGGATTGCAGGGAGCGCTGGAGACGCGGCCTCTGTAGAGTGTCTAAATGCATGCATTTCCACTTTTTGCTTGTTTTTTGGCCTTTCGACACTTTTCCGCGGCTTGCTGCGACCTCTCTTGACAAAAGCTACGTACATGTGGCAATGCGCATTTGTGCGGCGCGCTTCAGCCGTTGGAGACTCTGTACTGCCATGAGGCGCTGGACTACACTCGCCCTGAGTACATTAGTCTCCTCTTCACCGATCTGGGCATCTTCACTCCTCAAAGCATTTCTGACGAGCTCACCAAGCTCTACCAATGAGGTATTTATTTGCTTTTCTTGCGGTGGCCTTCGCGAAGCGCCACGCACAAGGGAGGGTCAAGCGAGACAAATGACAGACGGAGAGACAGACAGGGAGACAGACAGACAGACAGCGAGACAGCGAGACAGACAGACACGCAGATAGACATGTGGTAACAGCAGCAGCAGCAGTAGAGCGGCGCTCCGAAAAGGGAAGAAGCGAGCCCAGCACGTTCGCTGCTCGAGCTGGCCTCATCTTCCTTCGAAAAAGCTTAGGTCACACAAGGCCTAGCATCGCAGGAAAAGGAGGAACGCAGCAGAAAATGACACACACACACACACACACACTTAGCACAAAAGAGCAAAGCGGCTCATGCGAGGGTTGCCTGGTCGGTGCTGCTCGTGGAGGGCGCTGACAGCCATAATCGCGCGCACATTCCCCAAATATTCGCAGCAGTTTCCCAGGAATTCATGGAATGACAGTCACAACAAGTAGCCGGGTATTTTTTTAGTTGACTCCCCGTCTATGCAAGCCACAGTCACGCCCGTGCAACACAGACAGACACCGCCTCACGCATCGCCCTCCATCGATACTCTCTATACGTCTCCGCATGCATATTATGTCGCCTCGTAAGTACGAAAGGAGCATATATATATATTTATTTATGTATGGGAACCTCCTGAATCGAGCATTTGCTGCGAGGAACAAGTTTGAACGTTATTACCCTATGTAGCTATAGAGCCCTGCACGTATTCCCATACCTAGCGTATGGGGACAGACAAGCAGGCACGAAGCCTAAGTGCGGCCTCAAGCCTCGTGCAGGAGGCGAGATAGGTACACTTGCATGAGCCAACAACTCTCGCTACGGGAGGGGCCATGGAAGTAGCCGAAAGTGCCCCTATTTGTGCCCACAAAGGCGCAGGCGATGCCGTTAAATTGTCAGCGAAAGCGTGTCTGTAGAGGGGTAGATATAGAGATTTCGGCATGAAGGTGGGGAGTATGCAGCGGCCGCACACGCACAGTATTGCACATAGGACCCCTTTCCTGTTCATCAAAGGCGAGTAGGAACTGTTATACACCGCATGCTCGGGCGATTTCATGATTCATCGCCCTGCTTCCATAGAGCAGTGGGCGGAGTGGGTGTCACCTTTTGGGAATATGCTGTAGATAAGGCTGCTTGCGCAGCAAGTAGAGGGAGCTCTGCTGCCTTTGGAATAGTCTATTAGGCAGTTTGGGAGGCCCCTTTTTGCACACGCCATACACTACCCGTCGACGGGTCATGCGTTTCCGTTCATCAAGGAGTTCAAGTTGTGAATGATGAATGGCTGTCTGTGGCAGCTCCGGTACCGATGCGTTACACCCCATCGCTACACTCCATGGGGCTGAGTGCTCGAACTTGGATCTCGAAAGCGTGAAATCTGACACCTACCTGTGTAGGGAAAGCTAGCAGCAATTCAGGGAGACTCGCTGAGCTACAACTTGCCAGAGCTAGGCATAAGGGGTCGGAACAAATTTTGGGGTGTACAGACACCTGCAGACAGTTTATGAGAAGCTACAAGCGGCCCAGTCTGTTCTTGCGATTCAGTCAAACCCAGTTTCCGCGCCGCAGCCCTTCCGAAAAACCTTTCGCGCACCAGAGGTATTACCCAAAGACGCAGTTTCGTGGACAGACTGATCGGCGGCATACTTTCATGATCGCGCAGCACATACCCATCATATGCAAACGCGAACGCATGTGTGCATGTGCACGGATAGACGCACATCGAGAGAGAGAAGCCGATGCGTCTCGAGGTAAACACATCCTTTTACAGCACAGTTTCGCCCCGTAGCATACGCTGCAGGGAGTGTGGATTTTGAGATCAGTTTGGGGAGGCGGTATGTACAGCACACTAATAGAGATCATTGGGGACTACGCCGCTGTGCTGTCTCTGAAGGCACGTCGACACGACGCTGTTGGATATCCCCTGAGACTCTTATAGAAACGCCGCATCATGATGCATTTTTCGAAGGGCTATTATTTAAACGCTGAAGCAGCGGAAAAAACCTGCCAGCCCTCCTGTGGTGTAGCTCAGTATATATATATATATATATATATATATATATATATATATATATATATATATATACATATGTATATACGGGCAGTTGCAGCCAGAATTTACCGGCCTCTTCGTAAACCGTCCTGTGTGTGTGGATACGGATACATAGAGGAACGTATCCAGGAATAGAATTATTATTATAGGTAGATGGATGGATACTGGCTATACCTCTCCGCATGCATATATTTTGGTATATAAATAGGTAGGTAGTATATTCATATGCACAGCGTGTCTGTGTCGTAGACAGGCGGCATCGCCACATCTCAGCACCCTCCCCCCTGTACACGCAGCCACACTCTGTATACACTACAAGGCGCTGATGCAACTGCTACACCCATTCTTCTGGTGCTTTATATATATATATATATATATATATATATATATATATATGAAAGCTGCTGATGTTTTTGCTGCTGTAAAATGCTTTCCTGCTGACCCCTTGAGTGGCTGCCTTCTTGGACGTCTTACCCTTCGATTACTGTGCATCCTGCCGACTTTCACGCGCAACTGACATCTGCCTCCTTCGAATCCATTTCCGTGGACATAAGAAGATATAAACTACGACGCGTATGTCTTTTCATGGTACTCTCGCAGTGGCTGAGAGATGATGGGCCTACTGATGAGACTGCTGCGGCAGCGGCTGCTGTTGCTATACAGGCTATCAGGGTGAGGCTTTCCAACTTTCCAGAAGTTTGCGCTACAGAGCAATACGAAAAACTCTCGACGCCTACAAGAGGCAGCAGAGAGGGCTTAACCAACAGCGAGGGAGAGAAGGAGCAAGAATCACTCACGCAGCAGCAGCACAGACAAACGCACAAAACGCCTGCCTGCCTGCTGCTGCTGCATCTACCCCGATGCATACAAAAATACACCCTGAGATGCATATTTATAAAGATAGATGATAGGTTTCGTAGGAATAGATAATCCAACTCTACACACAGAAGCACACACACACACAGAAACACACACACACTAGATCCGCATGAGGCGTAAAAGAGGGATGCTGAGGGAGGAGGACCTATATATGCGTGTCTGCTCGCCGTCGATGAGCAGCGACACGGCCAGTGCACTTCTCAATGCTTGCAGCAAAGGGAGAGAGCAGCCAAATGCGCAATTCAAAAAAGACGCAGCGTGCAGTTTCAACGGCGGTGGCATACATATACATACACACATATGGCTCTTCTTCAGCTTGTCGCTACACCCCGACTTGATTCAACATCCATGTCTCTTTCACGACTCCAACATAGTTCCCGCGCAGCAGCTGTGCCCCCCCCGCCTGCTGCAGCTGCAGCAGCAGCAGCAGCTGCTGCAGCAGCGGCTGCCGAGCCTGCAGCAGCGTCTCGCGTTGGCTGGTTTCCCTCAGACTCCGATTTTCCTTCATCAGACTCCAGGGGGTAGTCGCGACTGTCTGAAGAAGAAATGCCGGGGCAGGAAGCAAGAAGGCTGCCCCCTCCTCGCTGCTGCCACGCCTCAAAGCTGTGCGAAGAAGTGCAGGAGAGCTGCTGCAACTGCTGCTGAAACATCTGCTGAAAGGATGCTGCCGCTGCTGTTGCCGCTGCTGTTGCTGCTTGTGGCTCATGTACCTGAGCAGGAGGCGAAGAAGAACTGGCAGGAAGAACGCTCAGAGGAGCCGACAACTCCAACTGAGATCGTCGCGCAGGCAGCCTTGACACCTGCGTTGCATGCTCATAATACTGCTGCAGAGCACGCAATCCAGTCTCCCGATGCAGCTGCTGCTGCAGCAGGCTGACAGGAGAGTCTGTCGACAGAAAAAGAGGCAGCTGCTGGTTTTCGTACACTGGCCCAGAGGGCTCGCCGTACTGCTGCTGCTGCTGCTGCTGCTGCTGCTGCTCTTCTCCCTGCAGCTGCTGCTGCAGCTGCTGCAGCTCCTGATACCGCTGCTGCTGCTGCAACTGCAGCTGCTGCTGTCTCTGAAGCTGCAGCTGGAGCTGCTGCTGCTGAAGGGCGTAGTGCTCGTGAGGGTGCCCTTCGTGCTGCTGCTGCTGCTGCTGCTGCTGCTGCTGCTGCTGCTGCGGCTGCTGCTGATGATGATGATCTGCATGCTCAGGTGCTTGCTGCTGCTCTTGCATGTGATCGGGAACCTCGGCTGCGTCACATGCGCACACGCTTTCTCCCTGCAATTCTAGATCTTCAGCGCGAAACAAGTCCACCCACCCACTCTCTTCATTCCCAAGCTAACAAAAATCTGCTCTCGCTGTCTCTCCCTCACACACAGCCCAACGACCACTACAATGCAAAAAGCAACAGTCGATATATGTCACTAGACGTCGGAGACGCAAGGCACGCCAAACTATATAGCCTCATAGGTTGCAATACCACAACACGCAGACAGAAACACAGACACAGAGAAAGAGCGAAAAAAAATTTTAAACAACACAAACAGCTATTCTTCCATCTGCAAAAAGCCTCCGACCTCCAAATGCGACGATAGGCATCCGTCAAAAAGACGGGAAAATGCGAAAAAAAGAATCCACGCGCCCAAACAGCGCGCAAGAATTAAAGACAGCTAAAAGCCCTTACGAAAATGAGTGGAAGCAGGAACGTCTGAAATTTCCACGACTGCCTCTTCATTTGCTGCCGAGCAATCAACCGAGAGCTTCACAACACTGCGCCCTACTTGAAGCGCTGCCACTGCAAAACACGAATAAAAAAATAAAAACATCCGTCTGCCAATTCACACACAGATGACAGCACCTGCAGCTGTATATCCAACCAAACAGCCTTCTACTTTCTCTATCTCTCCTGTCTCTCTCTTTCCCTCTATCTATATATCTCTATCCATCGATCTCTCTCTATCTATCTCTCCTGACTCTCTCTTTCTGTACTCTCCACTCTCCCCTTCCCCCTCGCCTGCCTGCCTGCCTCCCTCCCTCTCTCCCGTCTCTCTCTCCTGTCTCTCCCCTCTCTCCCCCTCAGCATAGCCTACTATGAAACGGTAAAAATCAACTCTCCTCCGAGCTAAAAAAGCAACCTGCATCCCCTGTTCGTACAGAAAAAACCAGCTCCCGCGAGCTTCTCCAGCCGCGTTTGCAGTCTCTCACCCGAATCGCCAACCGCAAAAGCTTTCCGAAGAGAAACGAGGGTTCCGAATTTCGAGTTGTGGTCTTCCAGCTGGAAAGCGCCATCTACAAAGCGAATGGTGGCGTGATAGCGGGAAATTGAAACGTCAGGGATGCGCACATCGGATTCATGACCTCGACCCTAAGAAGCGTGGCACGCAGAAATTATCAGCTCGCAATTCTAACGCCCTATGTAGTTTTGTGCTGTGTATTTACGTGTGTGTTGGCTACGTGCCTGTTTGCAGCGCTGCACGAGCATGCAAAGCGCTGGAGGAGAGAGCAAGCAGTTCGCAGCCACACTACAAGGACGCAAAAACGGCAAGCAACGGAACGTGCAGCTAGCTGGTGACAAACAAAATGCTGCGCTTCTACTGCCCAAGCGTCTACCATGCGGGGAGGACGCAGAATCAAGCAGAAAACACACATCATCCACAACCAACCCCACACCCCTTCTGCTGCCGGCACGCCTGCCCAAAGGTCTGGCTAGCTAGCTAGCTAGCTAGCTGGCAGCATCTAGAAGCAGCAAGTGAAATACACGGTTTGCCTGAGGCAAAGGCACGGGAATGAAGGGGGGAGAAGGCGTTTTACTAGGTGAAAGACAGAGACACGGACAGATGTACAGACACACCGAACTCCCAGCACAGGACCAGCATGCAGCACATCCATGGATGCATGCATGCATGCATACATGCAACCATACACGCGCCTTCCAAGTCTGCGCATTTGGTGTGCCTGACGTACAAGCTTGAGATCCTTCTTGGCACTCATGCTTATGACATGAACGCCTTTCTGATGCGAGCCGACCATGTTCTCCAGCACGAGAAAAGGCGGCTCTGTCTTAGGCACCGTTACCACTTGCAGCCGTTCTGTTGACACATACACCGCAAAAGATTCCACAAGTGCCAAGGTGTGTCTGTCGCACAAATTAAAAAGTCTCTGCCAGGAGAAGGGGCCCCTCCGCTCACATCCAGCAACACGCAGCCGAGACATCGAAGCACAACTCAACGAACCAACGGGAAGATCAAGAAACGAACGGGCAGCTGCTAGAGAGGAGCACGCGCCTCCCATGAAATGCAAAAATACACTAGCGGCCACACACATGCGCAAGATGATTTTTAGCATTCTCGGTAAAATGCCCAAGCAAAGCAACCCTAAAAGAAGAAAGGCGTCCAAGGATGTCATAAATCCCCCGCTGCCTTCCTCTCCCTTTCTCCCCCCTTCAATCCATCCTTAGTGTTGCCTTCCACCTCTTGCCAAGCAGCACGCCAGCATGACAGATGCGCATGTAGGGGAGTTTATCTACGCCCGTGTGTTTAAGGCGTACATGCACATATATGCGCGTGTGTAAGTATGCATGTATGTATGCGTCGACACACGTACGTAGGCACGTGTGTAGGTACGTCTATGGATACATGTGCCTGTGTGTGTGTATATAGATGTTCATACATATGCAATGTGTAAATATACATATATATATATGTGCGTGCGTATGCATAAATGTGTATGTGTGCTGAAACAAAGGGAGTACTGACGCATGGGCCAAATACGTTGCATGAGGAGGAAAGCAGGGTATGTGTATGCATGTGAATGCATGCATGCATGTAGGTATGTCTGCATGCAAGACGCCTTCGAAAGAACGCCTAGCGGCCTAGGATCACGCAAACGACTCTGCTGGCATTGCCGTAATCCTTCAAATGATGTCTCACTGTTGTTATAATTAATGGCCGTCGGATATGGAATCTTGCAAAGCTCGCACAGCAGCTGGCGAACAAAAATAGGCTTCTGCTGCTGCTCGTGGAAGTTGAGCCGCCCAGTGATCCAGTGACGCAGACACTCCAGATGGACGAAGCGAATGGATCCTTTGCAGTCGCACGGCGAAATTAGGGGATCTCCTTCCTGGTTACCCTCCAGCAAGCAGATGCGACACTGCATGTCGCTGCAGAAGACAGACAGATAGAGGCAAAAGGAAAGTGTAAAGGCGAGAGGGGAGGTGATCCGTCGATCCACACTGCATAGCATGCAGGATACAACAGTGCAGCGAGCCTGCCAATATGCACAGTTAGGAGCCAGACGATTCCGCCGCTTGATTCGCGAGTTTTTCATGAAGACTTGCAGCTTGTCAATGCTCCCTCAAGTGACGCGCGGCAAGCAGACAAACAGAGCCAAGCAAGCAGAGAGACCAACAGAGCCAAGCAAGCAGAGAGACAAACAGAGCCAAGGAAGCAGAGAGACAAACAGAGAGAGAGCCAAACAGAGCCAAGAAAGCAGAGAGACAGACAGACATGGGAAAAGCGTGGAGGCAAGCTGACAGGGGCCTTCTTGGAGGCTGCATCTTCTGCATGCATGCATGCAGGCATGCAGAAGATGGACTGACTTTGAAGCAATGAACGACATAGGCGGCTCTCCGTCGTCTAGACGCAGATCTGGAATCTCCGTGGGATGAGTGCCTTCATCCTCTCGCTTGCTGCTATGCGTCACGAGCTGCTTGACTCTCAGCTTGTAGCGGCCTAGTTTGATGACGTCATTCTCCTGCAAGACGTGTCGATTGTTATTCTGCTCTCGTACAATTGCCCACAGCTTCTGCGGAGTGCATGCACCTGGGGAAATTCCTGCAACAGAGCGATCCGCTGGTACTACCATGTACTTCCCTGCACACGCAGACGTCAAGCAACACAAAACAGAAAGAGAGGCATCTGACCAGCAGGTGACAGTGGGTAGGCACGCAGGGAGGAGACAGAAAAAGCACCTACAAACACACCACACGCTGCTAAAACACTCGCAAAGACGCGCGCAGAAAAGCAACAGTCCTCAGCACACATACACACATACATACATAGAGACATGCAAAAAACACATACACATATACACACAAAAACATACATACACATATACACATATATGTACATATACACATATATGTACATATACACACAAACATATACACATACACATATATGTACATCTACACACAAACATATACACATACATATACACATATATGTACATATACACACAAACATATACATACATGTACATATATATGTACATATACACACAAACATATACACATACATATACACACAAACACATACACACAAACATATACACACAAATTCATACACATACACACAAACACATACATACAGAAGCGGGAAGAATGAAACTCTATTCTGCATGCTGCAACATGGCCTTCTCTCGCAATAACCCTTGTTCCTCGCAACAGCTGAGTTCATCCGACAGAGATCCAAGGCAAAAGACGCGTATCGGATCCACGAGAGGCTACATATCTATATCCAGATATCTAAACTTTAAAATATACATAAATACATATACACGTACATATACATATACACCTATATATACATATATACGTATACACCTATGTATACACATATACGTATACACCTACATGTACATAAATACATATACACCTATATACGTATACACCTGTATATACATATATATACACATATCTGTATCCACATATATACATATATATATATTTATTTATTTATTTAAGACCGCCACAAGGCACAGGGAAGGAAAGACGTCATCACAAACGCGTGCAGCATCAACGAGAAAAAAAGGAAAACGCATGCTGCGCCAAGCGAGGAAATGCGTTTGTTTCTTCCATTCGTTGTTTCGGTTTGTTTTTTCCCGTTCTGGAAGAAAGAAACCGTGCAAGTAATCCAACAAATAGCTGCCGCTACTTGAAGGCAGCGAGACGCGCCGACTCACCGTCTCGAGAGCAACGAATTGAGAGAAGGAAGTCGGTGCTCTGCGGAACTGTTGTTGCTGCTGCTGCTGCTGCCTCCTGCTGCTGCTGCTGCGGCTGCACCTGTTGGCAGGGTGCTGCTGCTGCTGCTGCTCCTCCTGCAGTTGCTGCTGCTGCTCCTTCTGCCGCTGCAGCAGCAGGATCACCGCTTTCCGCTGGCTGCGTCGCTGCTGTAGCAGCTGCAAATTCTGCATCCACCGCAGCTGCAGGGATAGGCGCAGCAGCTTCTCCTGCAGCAGGGGAAGAAACCCCCCCCTCAGGCACAGCCGCTGCAGCGGCAGCATTCCCTGCCGCTGCAGCCGCCCCTACAGCAGCAGATCCAGCTGTGGGGACCGCTGCAGACTCGGGGAGACACTGCACCAAGGCGCCTACTCTGAAAAGCCTCGCTGCACCAGACACGAGAAAATGCCGAACATTCACGTGGCGAGCTTCATAATCAAACAGCCCGTGGCTGTCTCTACTCCACGTCGTGCACTCCACACGCAACCTGCGCACGGCACAATCCGACAATACCACATGTCGCGTGCTTTCCCACTGTCTGCCCCTTTGCATGCATGCAGCAGGCCCCTTTCTCCCCCCCCCCCCCCCCCCCCCCTCTCCCCCCCCCCCTCCCCCCCCCTCCCCCACCCCCCACCCCCCCACACCCCCCCCCCACCCCCAACCACAACCACACACGCAATAAAGCTTGTATCATAACATACGATCTATCTGATTCTTTCTTCTTCCTTTCTCTTTTTTGCTGTTTTCTCTGTACCTTCTATCTGTTTTTACTTCTGCTCTTCCATCATGCGCACATGCGT